AAATTTTAGTGTCTTTGAAAAAAAGTCGTAAATTGGCAGTGAACTTTCCAAAACAGTTTATTCATATCGCTTTGCATTCTCAAGATACTGAAGTTTCGCGATTTCCGATTTATTGTGGAAGTGACGTCATATTGCTTAACGAATCGCTGCACGTTTATGACTATCCTTGCCAGCTTTTGAATAAATCACCCATTCGGAATTTTATATCATTAAGATTCTACAACGACAGGAACTCTGCCCGTTTGTATAACATATAAGCAAATTTTCTTAATAATTCAAGCTCTTGCCGTTGTAAAGCTTCGATGGCATAAAAAAATTTCCAGTAAATAATGGAATCGTGTGAAATCATTATGCCGCGATCTTATTTCTTTTGCTAATGGTTTTGCCTGAAGTTTCTAAAAAGAAAATATTTCCAGATTTGTGTTCTACTTTACCTGTAAGTTCAGAATGAAATTGGGTGAATCGTCGTACTAAGCCGCCTGTTTTTGTTGTCATCAAGGGTGCAACTCCTTCGGGCTGAGGGAACATGTCCCGTCCCCTCCCCCCTCACAAAAAAACTTTTGCAACAATCATAAGGAAAACTACTAGTGTACTCTGAGATTCTAGTCCATCACCAGGCCACCTCCCTCCCCCCCCACACACACACTTTTCAAAGCAAATATGCGTCCTTGGTTGTCATGTCGTCTGAAATTTAGGCGTGCTTTTATTTCTAACATTCAGGTAGCACGTGGTGACGTCGTGTACAATGAGAAAGCAGATATATTCTCGTTAGGAATGCTACTGTACGAGCTCTCCACGGAGGGCAGACAGCCGTTCAGTGACCTAAAATTTCGTAGTGAATTCGACGAGGCCGTCATCACCGGCCGAGCTATCGAACCTTTGACGTTCGTAGGCGCGCCTCCGTGGCCCGATATGCAAAATCTACTGGATGAAATTCTTGTGTTGGAGCCAGATGAGCGACCTACTGCTGAACAGGTCAGAATTTAAGGCTGTTTCTCTTATACTCGTCCGAGTCGTATACGTGTGATTTCGGTTGTGTATACGGAGCTCTGTCCAATGGGCTTGCGTTATATGAAGCTCTGTCCAATGGGCTTGCGTTATATGAAGCTTTGTACAATGGCTTGCGTTATATGAAGCTCTGTCCAATTGTCTAGTGTTACATGAAGCTTTGTACAATGGCCTGCGTTATATGAAGCTCTGTCCAATGGGCTTGCGTTATATGAAGCTCTGTCCAATGGGCTTGCGTTATATGAAGCTCTGTCCAATGGGCTTGCGTTATATGAAGCTTTCTACAATGGCTTGCGTTATATGAAGCTCTGTCCAATGGGCTTGCGTTATATGAAGCTCTGTCCAATGGGCTTGCGTTATATGAAGCTTTGTACAGTGGCTTGCGTCATATGAAGCTCTGTCCAATGGCTTGCATTATATGAAGCTCTGTCCAATGGCTTGCATTATATGAAGCTCTGTCCAATGGCTTGCATTATATGAAGCTCTGTCCAATGGCTTGCATTATATGAAGCTCTGTCGAGGACCATTTGAGGACCAAGTTTCAGAACGCAACTTTTTTGACTGGAACCGAGGACGAATTTTCTGTTGGGGGTGCAGGGCAGAGGGTTCACTCCTCTGAGTAAAATTTTATCTCCCACGTTTTTTAGCAAAAAAAAATGAGCAGTTCATTTAAACTCAATTTTTCTGGGCTATATTTCAACTTTCCTCACAACCTTCAAATGCTGCACTACCAGACCGCCACTAAAATTTAGACCCTTGCTTTGTCTTACGTCACTTCCATACCAGCTCACCCCCGTAAAATTTTTAGCACCACCCCTTAAATATGAAATCCGTCCTTGACTTTTTATCTCGTAATTGCATTTGCCTTCGTAGATTTACCAAAGACTGTGCAACCCGGAGTTCATCGCACTAAAACAAGACATACCCGTGTGTAAGGGTCAGGCGGTAGAATGCATGGCCACACGATACTTCGATGATGGCAATGGAACGAATATGGAAGTGTGGATTGGCAGCGGGGCATCTGATTGGACAGATAAGATAGACGACCAGGCACAAAGTACTTACACGTCCCAGTTGACGCGCGTTGATTTAAGTTCAAAGAAGGTAAACGACAGTCAATAAACCGGGGGGTCCGAACTGAAAATATTTTCACGAGTTTTTTTTCTGGGGGGTGCAGTAAATATTTTCTCCAATTCACCAGACTTCTTGCCTTGATACGTCATAATCTCTTTGAGAATTTCTTTCACCGCACGAACGACGTTGAAAATTTGCCCAACTTTTCAATCTTCAAATATTCTTGGGAGGGTGCCCCCTCGCCTGCCCCCGCCGTCGCCCATCCCGTACGCCAAAGACGTCAGTGGACATTCACAGTTCTTTTGTAGGGCTGTGAAGGTACAGTACTACAAGATGGTCGAATAACATGTATTTCAGTCGTCAGAGAAAATCTTATTGTTGTTGGAACACAAACTGGTCACGTGTGGGTTTACGATGTAACCAAGGCAACGTTTGTTCACGCAATGACTCGTTTACCAGATTCCGTAGTTTCGATGATATATGTGGAGAGTTTGCAACGCGTGTTTGTCGGTGTTGCGAATGGCCAGTTGGCCATGTACGATTTGATGGACTTGTATAAACCTCCAATGGCGACTAAGATTCTCGACATTGCCGGATCAATGTGTTGTCGTGATGTTCCGCTCATGTGTTTTGCTCTTTCGAGAAATGGCAAAGACTTGCTCTGTGGTGTTGGCCACAACGTCATCGTGCTGCAACTTGAACGCGATGAGATATCTCCGAAACATCAATGGAGCGTATCACCGGAAAACGAACCACACAAAGGCCTAGTATCGAATATATTGATGGATAAACACGGCGTGTGGACTTCGACGAAAGCCAGCTCGCGCATTTGTTTGTGGAACAAAAGGTCGCATAAACTCGATGGGGTGATCAATTGCGACAGTCTGGCGATTTCCGACGATTTTGAAGACTGGGGCCGAGGAATGCGCGTCGTGAGCATGTTAATGCACAATACGATTTTATGGGTCGGAACAGGCGGAGGCCATATACTACTCTTTGATACTAAAACCACCTCGCTGCTTATGTCGATGAGCCGTCATAAAACCGCCGTTCGCTGCTTGATCACATCGGAGATCCTCCAATCAGATGGCAAACAAATATCGGTCGTGCTATCTGGTGGACTGGGCTTCGTTCCGCGCTGGTCTTCCTCGCATGAGACCTCGTCACGTGACTTCGGCTACGTGCTTATTTGGGAGTCCGGTATTCAAAAAGAAGCCGAGCATTTGCACGAGTACAAGAAGCGCAGGCAAGAATGGCAAAGTCACAATGTGCTTTAGTTCAGTAATAAAGTAAATGGTTTGAACCCGGGAGTATCGTTACATGTTTGTAAATGTAGATCGTCCAGGTTGGTATAGTCCTGAGAAGGACTGTGTTTGTTGTTGTTGACTCTGAAGATGACTACCGCTAAGGTTGTCGAAACGTCAGTGAACAACAACAACCTGGACGATCTACATTTACAAACATGTGCTTTAATTCAATTAATAATTTAGTCGATTTATATTATCCTGTGTGTGGGGTGTCTCAAAAATCGACGATTCAACTTCAATATGTCGTTACGTCAAAACTGATTGTAGTTTTGAAATTATTACGAAAGACCAGGGTTCTTGCTATGAAATTTCATGAACTTGCCCCCTAGCATTGAGAAGGAAAATGAGCAATTGCAAGCTGATTGAGAAATTCTGGTCAAAATTGCATTCTTTCATGCAGATACTGTTTTTCCGGATTCCGTGATGACGTAAAATTAAGTTGGTTTTTGAGACGGGAAGTTTCTCAACAAGGCTGGACGAATTCGGCGAACGTTTTTGTTCTCGGTAATTTTAATTAATCGGATGTAACCACGTTTTAAGAATAATGATCAAGTTAAGTGTTTGTCTACATGTTTGTGGATGTAGATCATCCCTTAAAAATCCACTGACCTTAACAAGTTCCATCAATACATGCATGTAATAAATGAATAAGACTGCACTAGATTACCTTGCTGTCTATCTAGTAATTTCCAGTGGCTTAACTGTGGGGATGTTTAGGGGGTAGCATTAAGGGTACCGGACAAGAATTACCATAAAGATTTTATTTAATAAATAAAACGCATTTATGGGAAATCAATATTAATACTATCGATAGTATTATGGTACAACTTTGCATTTTAGTGTATGTCAATGAAATCGATTCATTAGTTGAAAAATGTCACTTAAGCTGAGAGTCTTACGAAACGTTTCAGGTTAGCTGAGACTGACTTAACTTATTTTTTGTAAATTTTGTAAAATTTCCATACTTTTTCATAAAGGACCTGTGAAATCAAATTTGTTTTTTTGACATCTCATTCATGCTTTCACAAGCCATTCAAAATGGAGTTTCTACTGGTCTACCCATTCTACCAATTGGCTACTTTTTTGCGATTTTCTAATTAAATATATATTGTGAAATTGCTTTCTATAAATAATAACGTGGAGACTTTGTTGTGGTCTATTTTATTATTGTGATGGCTTTTTTAAAAGTCTTATGTTGGGCTATTATGTTCATATTGAAAATTCGCTTTCCGCCTGGCAAATCTCTGGCCACGATTTTAAATCACCTTGGAGTTGATAAAAGAACTGTTTAAAACCGGAACACTTACCCAATAATTCTAAAAGAACTATTTTAAAGCTAACTGTTTAGCAAAGCTAACCGTTTTACTAAGCTAAACTGTTTTAAAACTGTTCTTTTAGAACAATTGCGTTCCGTGCACTGGTTTCAAACACTTCTTTTAAGAACTATTAAGTATTAAGAACTATTAGGTTATTATTTTTGCCATTCACTCACCGTGGTATTTGCGAGTTTAAAACAATTTTTAAATCCTTCTGTTTGCCATCCAAAAATATCGAATATGTTTTATTTTTGTCTCACATGGATATCGAATGACCAAAACTGCTGAAGTAGCCGTCGTCCACATAGCTTTCGTTTGCGCCGGAAAGAGCATTTACATAATGCTTGTTTGACAGGTAAGGCAAAGGCTTGTTTATGTTGCGTATTTTACAAGTCAAAGTTTCTCCATTTCTGATCACGCAACGCGTTTGTAAGTGTTCATTTTCTTGTTTTCTTGTCAGTCACCAGTTTAATCCTGCGAGTCAACAGCTCACTCCCGAGTACAAATTTCTGTTTTTTCAATAGTCGGTAGAAAATCAAAGAAAGAATAACTAGTAAACATTCGTTCAGAGGGTGGTACGAGCCTCCACCGATATGTTTCAAACATACTTTAAATGGGTAAGGTATTACGGCTGTAACTGTAAACATGCAAATTATGAATGATGCAAATTTGTTGAAAGAAAATAGCCGAAGAATATTGTATAGTTCTGTATTTTCTGCGTCGTACGAGGTAAGTCATTTATAGCTTTTCTTTTTTATCTGAAACGATTTTCGCCGTCGATTCGACACTGAATGCAGAATGCCTTGTGAAATTTTCGCATTCGAAATTTTTCTTTCAGAGACCATATTCGCTTCATGTGTCTTGAGTTTTGATAAGTTTTGATTAATTTTGTAAGCAATTCTACTGTGTTTGTGCGATTTGTCTTGGACCGTTTACATTTATGAACGCAATGAGTCATTATTGTCATGCTATTTTGAATTTGATTTCGCTCATTTTCTGACATTTTTCTAATTACTGATACGTGAGAGGCTTTGGGTCGCAAAATATCAGGATTTTCTGGCGCTCACATCGTCCATGTTTCATTTAGACGGATGTTTAATGTGCAAATGTTTATGAATGATGATCGAACTTCTGTTTATCTAAACTCCTTTTCCTCATGGCTCTCGAATTACCAGATGGTGAATCTGGTCGGGAGTTGATAAAGTGTGTTGTGGTGGGCGATAGTGGCGTGGGAAAGACAAAGTTAATATGCGCTCAAGCACTTGGACAATGCGTACAACCAGAACCAAGACGAAAACATGTGCATTGTATCCATGGGTCGCACGTTCCTTCAGTATTTGCGATAGACAGGTACTACAAGTCAGTTGAGATTCAAGCAAGAAGCAATATGGTAGTCGATGGTGTGCCAGTGGCACTGCGACTTTGGGATACATTTGGCGATCATAACAATAATCGAAAGTTCGCTTATCAACATTCCCATGTAGTTGCCTTATGTTTTGCAGTAAATTGGCCCACGTCTTTGGAAAGTGTGAATCGCTTTTGGTATAATGAGATAAAAAACTATTGTCCAAAAACACCAATTGTTCTGGTTGGTACCAAAGCAGATCACAGAGCTAGCCATTCACCCGTCGAAGAAATGCCCAAACAAGGGGAAATTTATCAAGAAGAATCCGGGAGTGCAAAACGGTCACTCCGATGATGGGAAGACAGATTGCTCAAGAAATCGGAGCACATTACTATGAATGCAGCTCTTTGACAATGTGTGGACTGCAGGATGTTTTTCAAAACACCATTCGTTCAGCATTATGCAATGAGCGAGCAAAGAGGCTGCTTTCTAAACATTTGCGAAAGGTGTTAATGCCACAGTTGCAAGTTCCACAATTGCCTCCATGTCCGAAAATGCCTGAGATTGTTGTGCCACAGTCCTCCTATTACAAAGATTTTGCAGCTCTTCTTGATACACAATTATACTATGATGTGATCATAGTAATGCATGAAAAAAAGTTTAAACTACACAAAGCAATTCTCTGTGCTGCAGGTTGTGAAATACACGAACTATCTTGCAGGGAATGTGGTATTGATTATGAACAAGAACAAGATGCTCAAACATTAGTCTTAACAGATTCAACTCTTAGCATCAACTCGTTCAATAATCTTTTTTGTTATCTTTATTCTGGTTCATTGCCTGACAATACATCTATCTCTGAACTAACTGAGTTTGTAGAATGCTTAAATGCATCAGAATATGCTTCAAAGTCATCACTTTGTTTTGATAAGGATTGCAATATTTTTGCATCTTGGAAGAGGAATATTGCTACGAACATGTGGAAGCTAGTGTTTCAAAAGCAACTTGTGCCCCCTGATGTTTGGTTTGAGTTAGAACAGACAATCATCCCTGCGCATAAAGCAGTTGTGGTTTCGAGATGTCCAATGATGGCTGCCATGTTTCAAGATGGACACTTTAAGGAGGCAAACCGACAAAATGTAAGTGTTTATACAAATGAGATTTCTTGCTGAAATGAAGTGTTTTATTGCTAGTAAAGTCTCTCTTTTTAAATATGTTCTTTCTTTCAACCTTCCTTTCTTGTTTGCATCATCAAACATGTCAACATTAGATTTTCCTTGTATTGAAGGTAATTAAGTTAAGAGGGGGGTACCTCCACCCTCCTTTAGTACTGTATGCAGATCAATATTTGGGAGGGAGATATTCATTTAAGAAACCTAAGATGTTTACTGTGAAAACTGAGGAGACTAAGACCTTTGGGAGAACTCATCATTGTAAGCACTGGCTTGAGAGTTCACACAAATGTCGCTGTGGTTTGCATAAGTCTGTGCAAACACAAAAAACATCTTTTTATTCTTTTATGAAATAACAGCAATGGGAAACAGACAAATTTAAGACAAACATTTAATAACTCTTCCAATATGTATTCATTATTGATTTCTTCATCAATTCTCTTTGATTGAATAATTTGATAGCTTCATTAGGTTGAGCTCAGATAGGTTTGCACAGGCTAATGCAAACACAACCATAGAGCAATGATCTCACACGTTTTGTTTTTATTTTATAAATATTCATGATATGCCACGTTAAGCTCCTTTGAAATTGTTTGCTTTTTATGTATTATAACTTGCATACATGTATATCTCTCCCTCTACCCCACACACACACACACACACACACAGAGATATCGATCTGTGTACAGCACTGCCCTCTCTTATGTGCACTTAACTAAGAGAGAGATTTTAATATCTCATTATCTTAACAAAATGGGAACGTTGCAAATACTTCAAATTTGCATGTTGTTCAACAATTTCATGTTTCTGTGCTTTTCAACAATTTCATGTTGCTGTGCTATACAATACTTTCATGTTGCTGTGCTATACAATACTTTCATGTTGCTGTGCTATTACAATACTTTCATGTTGCTGTGCTATACAATACTTTCATGTTGCTGTGCTATACAATACTTTTATGTTGCTGTGCTATACAATACTTTCATGTTGCTGTGCTATACAATACTTTCATGTTTCTGTGCTATACAATACTTTCATGTTGCTGTGCTATACAATACTTTCATGTTTCTGTGCTATACAATACTTTCATGTTGCTGTGCTATACAATACTTTCATGTTGCTGTGCTATACAATACTTTCATGTTTCTGTGCTATACAATACTTTCATGTTTCTGTGCTATACAATACTTTCATGTTGCTGTGCTATACAATACTTTCATGTTGCTGTGCTATACAATACTTTCATGTTTCTGTGCTATACAATACTTCTCATGTTGCTGTGCTATACAATACTTTCATGTTGCTGTGCTATACAATACTTTCATGTTGCTGTGCTATACAATACTTTCATGTTGCTTTGCTATACAATACTTTCATGTTCTGTGCTATACAATACTTTCATGTTGCTGTGCTATACAATACTTTCATGTTGCTGTGCTATACAATACTTTCATGTTGCTGTGCTATACAATACTTTCATGTTGCTGTGCTATACAATACTTTCATGTTGCTGTGCTATACAATACTTTCATGTTTCTGTGCTATACACTCTTTGTTGCTGTGCTATACAATACTTTCATGTTTCTGTGCTATACAATACTTTCATGTTTCTGTGCTATACAATACTTTCATGTTGCTCTGCTATACAATACTTTCATGTTGCTGTGCTATACAATAGTTTCATGTTTCTGTGCTATACAATACTTTCATGTTTCTTTGCTATACAATACTTTCATGTTGCTGTGCTATACAATACTTTTATGTTTCTGTGCTATACAATACTTTCATGTTGCTGTGCTATACAATACTTTCATGTTTCTGTGCTATACAATACTTTCATGTTGCTGTGCTATACAATACTTTCATGTTTCTGTGCTATACAATACTTTGATGTTTCTGTGCTATACAATACTTTCATGTTTCTGTGCTATACAATAGTTTCATGTTTCTGTGCTATACAATACTTTCATGTTTCTGTGCTATACAATACTTTCATGTTGCTGTGCTATACAATACTTTCATGTTGCTGTGCTATACAATACTTTCATGTTTCTGTGCTATACAATACTTTCATGTTGCTGTGCTATACAATACTTTCATGTTGCTGTGCTATACAATACTTTCATGTTGCTGTGCTATACAATACTTTCATGTTGCTTTGCTATACAATACTTTCATGTTTCTGTGCTATACAATACTTTCATGTTGCTGTGCTATACAATACTTTCATGTTTCTGTGCTATACAATACTTTCATGTTGCTGTGCTATACAATACTTTCATGTTGCTGTGCTATACAACACTTTCATGTTGCTGTGCTATACAATACTTTCATGTTTCTGTGCTATAAATACTTTCATGTTGCTGTGCTATACAATACTTTGATTGTGCTATACAATACTTTCATGTTCTGTGCTATACAATACTTTCATGTTGCTGTGCTATACAATACTTTCATGTTTCTGTGCTATACAATACTTTCATGTTTCTTTGCTATACAATACTTTCATGTTGCTGTGCTATACACTTTCATGTTTCTGTGCTATACAATACTTTCATGTTGCTGTTATACAATTTTCATGTTTCTGTGCTATACAATACTTTCATGTTGCTGTGCTATACAATACTTTCATGTTTCTGTGCTATACAATACTTTCATGCTGTGCTATACAATACTTTTTGTTTCTGTGCTATACAATAGTTTCATGTTTCTGTGCTATACAATACTTTCATGTTTCTGTGCTATACAATACTTTCATGTTGCTGTGCTATACAATACTTTCATGTTGCTGTGCTATACAATACTTTCATGTTTCTGTGCTATACAATACTTTCATGTTGCTGTGCTATACAATACTTTCATGTTGCTGTGCGTACAATACTTTCATGTTGCTGTGCTATACAATACTTTCATGTTGCTTTGCTATAATACTTTCATGTTTCTGTGCTATACAATACTTTCATGTTGCTGTGCTATACAATACTTTCATGTTGCTGTGCTATACAATACTTTCATGTTGCTGTGCTATACAATACTTTCATGTTGCTGTGCTATACAATACTTTCATGTTGCTGTGCTATACAATACTTTCATGTTTCTGTGCTATACAATACTTTCATGTTGCTGTGCTATACAATACTTTGATGTTTCTGTGCTATACAATACTTTCATGTTTCTGTGCTATACAATACTTTCATGTTGCTGTGCTATACAATACTTTCATGTTGCTGTGCTATACAATACTTTCATGTTGCTCTGCTATACAATACTTTCATGTTGCTGTGCTATACAATACTTTCATGTTCTGTGCTATACAATACTTTCATGTTGCTGTACAATACTTTCATGTTCTGTGCTATACAATACTTTCATGTTGCTGTGCTATACAATACTTTCATGTTCTGTGCTATACAATACTTTCATGTTGCTGTGCTATACAATACTTTCATGTTGCTGTGCTATACAATACTTTCATGTTGCTGTGCTATACAATACTTTCATGTTGCTGTGCTATACAATACTTTCATGTTGCTGTGCTATACAATACTTTGATGTTTCTGTGCTATACAATACTTTCATGTTGCTGTGCTATACAATACTTTCATGTTGCTGTGCTATACAATACTTTCATGTTGCTGTGCTATACAATACTTTCATGTTGCTGTGCTATACAATACTTTCATGTTGCTGTGCTATTCAACAACTTCATGTTGGCGTTCGAGTGTAGAAATTCTTCATAAAATCAGTTGATGCATTTTAGGTTAATCTACCGGACATGAATTTGAAAGCTTTTCTTGCCGTTTTGGAGTACATATACACAGATGAAGTGAACCAAAGTTATCAAGGAAGTAAAGTTGCCGTACTCGCCGTCGCGAACTTCTTTTGCCTTCCGCGTTTGGTTGCGCTGTGCGAGAAATTGATTGTTAAAGAACTGCAGAGTGAAATACTCAACTTAAATAATGTCGTTGGTAAGTGTCACTTATGACATGAAATAATGACATATTAGCCAGCTCTTCCCACGTGAGAGGCCATCAAACGGTGTGTTTGTGCGAGGACAATCAGGGTATTTTCTATTGCAATAAAATTTACATTACCATTGGTTAGCTTTTCGTGGCAGAAAGACAAAACTGATAATTAGTTGCGGGGGGGGGAGGGTATTATTCATATATGTGCATGTTCTATGGTATGCTTCTGATATTTGTACATGAATATTACATGTTTGTAGATGTAGATCGTCCAGGTTCGTAGAGTCTTGAGAAGGAATGTTTTGGACATATTGTGACAACCTTAGCGGTAGTCATCTTCCGAGTCAATATCCTCAGTCAAAAAATCAATAGTCATTTTCAAACCATTCATTGAATATTACTCCACTCCCACACACACACACTTTTTTAGCTAGTGTCGCCGCTGTGCGCAATCAGTTGCCTGTGTGTGTGCGCTCTAAAGTTACATATATTTTAAGGCTGGTATAAGTTGTTGTATATACTCTAAGTAGAATGAACGCATATCTCTCATGACTTACAGCAACCTCTCTCTTAGAGTACCTTATGGTGGCCGAGATGCACAATGCAACACAGCTCAAGGCATGGGGCGAGCATTGCATCATCATTAATTACGATAAGATTAACACGACCGCTCTCAACGCACTCCCGGCGAAGACTTCAAGAAGTTTGGCGTCCAGACGATGGCCACCCGTATGGTACTTGCTGGAGAATGATTGGTATGAAAAAGCCGCGCGAAAGCAAAGTGTCATGTCGCCAAAGAAATACAAGTAGTCCTTGCTGTCTTCCACTCACCCGACATATACTGACCTGTGTTCAACTCAGGTTCAAGATTAACCTAGGTTTATTTTGTCGTTTATACACTACTGTTTATTCTGGGTTTAGTCTACCCATCTCGAGAGGTAGGTAATACATGGGTTAGTAGTGCTTAGGCGCAAAAAAAATTAACCTCAGTTGTTTTGAACGCGAGTTTAACTCAGTTTACTTTATGTCGTGTGAATTGGATCTTTGTCACCCAGGAGAGTTCGCTCGAATTACTAATATAAAGTTAAAACATAATTTAAACGTACTTTATCAATAGAGTAGATTTTTGATATTTTGCATAAAAAAACTAAAAAGGACCTAAAAAAACTCTTGTTCATGAAGTCAAGTATACTTTAATAATTCGTATAACAATGTATATTAATGTATATTAACGTATGTATAAATATATTTATATTCAGTAAAAATATATGCGAATATGGTTGACGTGCGTGCTTTTTTTAAATCGTCTTCGGTAGAAGATGTCTTAAACTTGCACTAGGTCTGCTTAGATTATTTCATTATGTTTAAAAGTTTAAAATGTTTATTATTGGAGGGGAGCCGTCAAAGATATACTTGATTTTTGCATTGATATTTTATTGACGGGTCGAAAAGTATTTGCGGGTCGAAGAGGAATTTTAGGGAGGGCTGTGAGAGGCTTAGCAGCACATAAAAGCGATAGTACTTTTATAAGAAATCTGTAAGGCAGAGTTGAATATGTGAATATTCAATCCCCAACCTCCATTTACAGCGTTCTAGTTCGGCCCTATAGTTGTGTCGGCCTAATATGGCACTTTGCACTAAAAGACCTCACTAGCTCCTCCGAGCTGACTACGTGAGAAATTGGCTCAGAAGTAACAAAAAGAAGACATGATAATGTGGCGAAAAAGTATGTCCATTGGGAACGGCGTAGGAAAAATGGATTTCATGAGCATACTTGAAGCGGTATGAACTTGTTCCAGATGGTGTAGGAGAAAATGAAAATGTTGAAGTTTTTGTGGGATATTTATTTTCCCTAAGAAAATGTGATAGAGCCTAGAGGCACACGGAGACCAGATGCCATTTGAATTGAATAAGAAAGAGCGAAAGAAGATAATTATGGATATTGTAGAGCAGCTGATGTTAGAACAGTGGAAAAAGGAAAAGAAAAAAGTGGGAAAATACCAGCTTTTGAAGAAATGCGTTGAAAGATTATGGCAACCTAAAATTGTGGAAGTAGAGGCTGTCGCGATAGGAACCCTCGGGAATGTCACTATGAAAAGTGAATTGAGAAGTTGGGATAAGAATTGACGTCGGATTGTTCCTAATAATGCCTCGTAAAGAGAGGAGAGAACATGCTGTTAGACTTTGGTCATTGATTAGGCGTCGCCCCTTGCAGAAGGAAACGATGGAAACGAGAACAGCCGGAATACAATGTTAAATTAGCAAAAATGACAGCAATAATAATCCCCATACCTTGTTAATGACTGGCGTGGCATAGCTTGCCTGATGATCAGGGAATAGTCAGTGGTCATGAGTGGCAAACCTCCTTGACATAGTGCCATGATGAAAATACCAGTGGCTATATAATCTAAAATTCACCAACTCATAATGAGTGAACCAAAATGAACCAAAACAACGTGTGTGGAACACAAGCTTGTGATGAAGATGTCTCGTCTGGCTGTTGTTTGTGGTTAAATCCACGCAGATCCAGTCGTCATTGCCCCCTAGCGTCCTTATAGATATATGGGCGGGGAGGCTATTTCTAGGTCAGGGGCCTTGTGAGTTTCTCAAACGCTAACCTTAGTCTAAAATACGCATGTAGTTATGGTTGACAACGGCAAAAGAAAATACGTTATCGCTGACGTTGCTCTTGATTGGCGAAAATGAGAAGTCGAAAGGATTTGCGATAATTGCAATTTTGATTATCGGAGCACTTTGGAGTGTGAGGAAAAAACATGGTGGTTTATTTGATTAGGGAAAATGGATATCACACTTAGCACCTCTGCCAAAGACAACATCGTTAGGAACAGCCAGTATTTTGAAAAAGTACTGAAAAGCTGAAAGATGATGATACCCCACAGATGACCCTTGCCATTGATCTTGGCATGCTCCCCTGCGATGTAAAATGTTCTTTTGCAAAATGCCTGTTTTATGGAGGGTGAAAAAAATTTTCGAAAATCGATGGCAATTTTAATTAGAAACTAAAATAATTACAGTGATATCCTTCAGATTAAATCACGTAGAAGATAATTCATTGACGACCGGAACGGCAAAACGCACATCGTCTCGATGCCAAGATTGAATTTGTTACCTCGGCCTTCTTTGTAAGCACTTGTGACAATTCTCAACCATCCTTTCTCACCCCACGGTGTTCCCCAGGAGTTGCGCACTATCCAATACTCGACACCATTGGTATCCACGCCCCACCCGGCAACAGAAATGGCGTGATTTATTAAAATTTCGTTACTGTACTCCGAATACAGCCCACCCCTATACTTGTCAAACTTCGGAGTCACCATAATGCCACAAGCTATTGGACCGCGTTCGTATATTTCTGCTTTCATTTTATCTTTACCACTGACACGACCTAAGAAAATAACGTTGATTTTTATACTCAGTTCTCTGCATGGTATTTCTTTTATTCTGGAATTACTGTAGCGAAATTGTTCTCATGTTTACTAACCACAAGAAAGGCAGACGATTATGACAAGAATCGAGAAAATTGCAAGCATCACACAAACCGTATTCCTTGACTTTAAATCTTGTGTAGTTTGTTAAAGCAAAACAATGTCCCGGGTATGTACAAGTTTTACATTGATGTTCCTTATTGCAACCTTGGTCTTCTGCTTCATAGCTGTTGCACGTTTCATCGGGGATACCCTTTCGTTGTGCGTATTCATATACAGGTATCATGTTACCACCTTCACATGAGCCTGCGTTACCTGTTGCGATCAGAATTCAAATTTGAATTGGTGTAATGTATTACCCCACCCCCCACCCCCACCCCTTTTAAACGCTCATCTTTCAACAAACTTTCGGCGTATATTTTATAGCCACAGTGCCACACATTGTCAACAATGTCGAAGTGGAGATTTTAAAGCGAATACTTGACATTATAATTGTAATTTCTTTCAAGAGTCAAGACTGTGAATTTTGTGTAAAAGCGTCGTTAGCTGGATGTTTTGGTTGTTAAATAATTTTCCTACTGTTAAAAGTCAAGCTGTTTTAATTCTTTATTAGCAGTAAAACTAATGTCAACCATCAGCAAGCCAAGGTGGGAATACATGGTTAGTTTTTTGCACAAATCATGGTAAACATACTTCTCTTTACTGTCTTCTCAAGGTTTGCAGCCAGCCAACAAAGTTAAAATATAAAATAAGTTTCATTTATAGAAAGACAAAACTTGCAAAATCTTCTCAGCTGCATCAACAAATATCCAGTAACATAACGGCCCAGTAACATGTGTTAAAAATTCCCCAGAAATAACAAATAAACAATAACATGAAATGTATTTTTCTCAATGAGATGAATGTGATCAATAAACAAATCAAAGTTCTTACCACAGTCAAGTACGTTTTGAACAGAAAGATAATTTGATGGCCATTTTCCTTTTCTCTGAATATTAATACGGTCAGATAGTGCACTTGTCGTTGCCATGGCCCAACACGAACCGCAGTATTGTGGAATGTGTTGGTTTCGTGTAACACTGGCATAATTCACACCATTCGCGTTTCTCCAATCCCATGTAACTGGAAGATCTTCAAGCTTCAGATATTCGTGAGGTCGAGGACTTTTACTTAATGCAAAGAAAACATCGTCGTTGATAGTGAATCATGCGAAGAGCAAACTTAAAAAAGGCTACGTCATGTACTAGTTGAAAGAATCGCTCAATAGCCGATCAAAAGAAAGTGAGTTGATGAACAGATTTCAAATTAGTCCTTGCTATTTACAAAATTAGTATCGGTAATAGTATGTTTTTGAGTGCCCCTACGAATAAAAAAAGCGAGTATGCTTTTTAAGGACTGCAATGGAAGAGTAGTAGACATGTAACGAGTGAGTTTTTTAAAGATAGACACGCAACTGAGAGAGTTTTTTAAACACTGCAACCAAGATTAGTCCATATATAATATATTTCAAGATATTTCTCGACTGTGACGGATTGATTGCAGTGCATTTTATCAGTAACTGAACAGTAATAATGTGTATTTACTGTGCAAAAATGTGTTTATTACTGAAAAGCAGTGGAAAGTCTAACAAGCTTCTTTTTAATAGAAAAAAAAACATGGCGGCAACTCTATAAGTAAATAAGTAGCTAAACAGAAATTTTCACAACTGCACTGAATTATCCAAAATTCAAGAATTACTGGTGAAACAACGCAAATAAAAGCGCAACAGCAAGTACTGTTTTTGGTGAATGTTCACAAAATTAGGCGAGAAAACGAGGCTTATTTGCAGCCATTGCAGTGATTTCTGCTGAAGCGATAGAAAGTTATTAAGAGAGACCGACATAGACGGCTTTTTGCGACTGAAAATCTCTAGGTATATTAATAAAAAATAAGTCTTCGGTTCTATTATATAAATTTTAGTGTATTATTATAACTCATTTCTTCATACATGAACAAATTTAACAGACGAAACACTAAAAGTCTTGCATACATTTATATAGTGTTATTATTAAGCGGAAAATCTTGGAAAACCGATTTGTGTTCACGTCATAGTAATTTTCTTTGATTCGCCTTTCAATTGCGAAACGTTATTTTAAAATATTATTTTGTAAGATGATGAAAGAGTAAAATATTATTGCATACTGAAGCAGCTTTTGCTAGTTAAGTTGTGTCCATGACAACCGCAAGCAGGCACTCACCAAAGGTGCTTTCATTGTAAAAATATTTTAAGAAATGCACGTCGGCTTGCTATGCACCCAACTGGCTCAAGTGCTGGACCAAACAGGGTAAAAGTATCATCTGCCATGTTCAACAGGATTATTTATTTAACTTCTGACTATAGGTGAACGGCCACGTGACTACTGCATGCTTGGGACGGGGCGGGTGGCTGAATGGTTAATTGCGTGAGTTGCAAGCCAGACGGCGCAGGTTCAATCCCGGCTCGTGGCACATCTGGCAATGTGTCTGTAAACCTAGCCCGGGTTGACCAAAGCCATGTGAGGGAAATTTGGTAGAGGAAACTATGTCCTCGGATGGACTGTATCTGCATCTGCAATGTTGCAGCCTTGTCACAATGTGTCACGCTGATATCAGCGTTGTAGTTGCGTGAAAGGTACGAGTGATTGTAGTCTGGTCAGCTGCCTTCACTATAATTTAAGTAACCAGGATGTTCCACTTCGTGGAACCCTCATATGTCGAAATCGACGGAGTCCATTATTATTATTACTGCATGCATGGGCAGGTGATCGACCACGTGACTACTGAATGTATTTGCGCCTGCAGGGAGATTGCCTCCACAATAATATTTTCAAGACAAATTCTTCATTTCTCTGAAAACTAAATATGTCTTAATCACGTACATGTCCGGAGCAATTTTTGGCGTTTTCTCACCCCCCATCCCTTCCCCGTCCTCATAAAAACTAAGCCGGCGCCACTAACTGTTGCGATTTCCGAAACATGGTTAACAGAGCCATGCATGAAAAATGAAAATTGCCAATGAAGCTACCTTACGCATGAACAATATGCTTGAATTAAATGTTTGAGAAACTCTCGAGCAGCCTTGTAATGCTACTGCTTTGACTATCATGAGAGTTACAGCCGGCACTGTTTGCCTTGATTTGTATGAAATTGAGGCTTAGTTAGCCCATAAATATTCTTTGAAAGAAACGTAAGCATTTCAGTCGGATTTTGACCTGCAAGGGAGGGAACACTAATGGGTTAAAGACAGGCTCCAGCACATCAATTTCGTGCTGTTACGGATCCCCACAGACTGAGTTGTTTCGCCATTGTATCATGGCGTTGCATCATGCAAGGACTATGCATGGCCTCTTCGACCAATGAGCCCGCGATGATTTGACAATCATATCGAAACATCTTTCGATTCTGTCAAACCTGCATCAGTATAGGCACTGAGGTATGTTGAAGTAAAAGTAGCTCAACCTTCCGCACGATTTATATAAATTTCGTGGTTGATTTAACTTCTTTTCTTGCATGATAAACTGTTTGATTCATAGCAATTGCGCAATCTTTAGTCCGCACAGCTCACTTTCAATTCCCAATGGTACAAACATTGTATTTTAAGCAAGAATTTTCACAGTCAATCGCTCGATCGTTTTTGCTCCTATTGACTAAAAAGACCTATCATAGGAAACATTGTAACTTAGTATCACACGGTACACAGATAAGATTGTCTACATGTAAGCATTACAACCAAAATTAAACACAATACAAGAAAGGAAATTTCTCCAAAAACATATTATTATAAATTTGAAGTATAAATGAATATGGAAAAATTCCGGAAAGCACTTATTAGGCTTACAGTAACTTTTGCTAAGTGCCTCGCCTCGTGACGAATGAGATCACTCGTGCTTTAAGAAAGAGCGTATCGTCCTTGAGCTCAAAAATGAAAGAGCAATAAATTACATCGGAAGAATCATTATTAAAAGACTTAAGAGTCCCACTCGATCTATCTACAAGTATTATAAATTCATGTATAATAAACGGTGAAATGAAGACACCGTTCCTTATACATTACAAAGCGAAGACAACTTTACTTCTGTGTTAAACTTACATCACTTCCTTGTAATTTTTGTCTAGCTCTGGATCAGAGTAACAGAATCTTCGTCGGCCAGGAATTGTGTTTGTACGGACAGAGAAGCATTGGAGAATTAATAAACTGAGGCAAAACCAACATAAGTACAAGGTATGCATTTTATTTTTCAAAGGTACTTTAAGATGTTTCTCACAAGTAGAGATGAACTGTGGACTATGTATGAAACGAATTACCATCATGTGATAACCGCGCCAACATTGCATAAGAGAGTGATGTCAATCCGTTTTTGGTTTGGCGTAACACACAGGGACTAGTATTAACTATATTTACAAACAGTGAATACAAGTGAAATTACTATGATTTCATTTACAAATTTCAATCGGGGATAACACCACGGCACAGGGAACAAAGTAAAGAAACAACTTCTTGTGTCACGCATATCTTATTATACGCATGTGATTACCATATTATGACAGCCGCTCGATTGTAGTTTCTGACCAATAAGAACGCTGAGATGGCTAAAAGCATACAATAATCAGCGAGTTTTAGAACGAAGTGGTCTGACTGTCTATTCCTTATATAATGAGATATACCAATGTACGAAGTACAAGATACATCAAGATAATAGTGTAGGGATTGGGAAGAATTTACCACTTCAAGTTGAACGCATGGTGTTAAAATGTTAAAAAAGAATATATATTTACACTGACACACAATCCTTACTCACATTCACATTCACTGATAGCGACACAGAAATTGCGCTCCCACTAATCCATTGGATGGCAGGATTTTTGATAAAATGTTTCTAATCCGGCTAAGCAATCAGTGGAGAGAAAATACCGCTTTGGAAAAGCAATTTGCAATGATTTTGATGCTCCACTCAATTACCGTGAGTGCTAGGGATTTTTACAATACAAGCGTTCGTCTTCGTACAACCAAAAGAAAGTATGCATATTTGCGCTTCCAACGTCATTTTCGCCGCTCTCATTCATGTCTCTCTGACATTCGTGTAACGGTGTGTATATTAATTTTCATGTACACTTCTCAATCGTTCTCGATATGTCTGGTTTTCTTCGTAAACTGGGGCGTTTCCTGATATTCGGGTCAGAAATATTGACTTTTTGAGGACAGACTTGTGTTTAGGTCTCGTGCTAATTTTCCTATTCATCACATTGCAATACTGCAAAGTCAGTAGATGCTAAAAACAGGGCCTTTATGTGATTTTAATGCTATAGTGTGAGTAGTAAGCCACTTGAGTAACATTCAATAAACAAAAAATTGCACGACTGTACTTCGGATTGAATGTTATATTTTGTTTTTTTTAAAGACAGTTTTTAATTAGAATAATTACACTCATTTACTTCGGTTAAAATCATGCAGATAATTCATCAGTGACCTCCGGAACGGCAAAGACGCACATCGTCTCGATGCCAAGATTGTATTTGTTACCTTGGCCTTCTTTGTACGCGCTTGTAACAATTCTCAACCACCCTTTCTCACCCCACGGTCTTCCCCAGGAGTTGCGCACTATCCAATATTCGACACCATTGGTATCCACGCCCCACCCGGCAACAGAAATGGCGTGGTTGATTTCGATATCGTCACTGTACTCCGAATAAACCCCGCCGTGATATTGGTCTATCTTATGAGTCGCCATTATGCCACAAGCTATTGGACCGCGCTCGTATATTTCTGCTTTCATTTTGTCTTTACCACTGACACGGCCTAAGGACGAAAAACGTTGATATTTAAACTCAGTTCTTCACTCGGTTCTTTGTATGGTATAAACTTTTGATCTAGAACCACTTAATCGAAATTCCTTCTTGGACATTTAATAGCCATGGGAAAAGAAGACGGTTTTGAATAACTTTGCAAAAAGAAGAATGGAGAAGATTACAAACATCACACAAACCATATTCTTTGACTTTGAATCTTGTGTAGTTTTGAACAGCAAAACAATGTCCAGCGAATGTACAAGTTTTACATTGATGTTCCTTATCGCAATCCTGGTCTTTTGCTTGATAGTTGTTGCACGTTTCATCGGGGATACCCTCTTTCTTGGCGTATTCATATACAGGTATCATGTTACCACCTTCACATGAGCCTGCGTTACCTGTTGCGAGTTGAATTAAAATTTGAAGGTGAAATTTGCAATCACATATGCTGTAGGACCCAGGTTGCTCAAGTTTAGCCCGCAGAAACTTGCATAATTTTTCGTTTCTCAACTGGAGCTATTATTGAGTATTATTCAGCAGCAATTCTACTGTAGCCCTTACCAAAAGTTGATGAGATGAATTTTTCTCTAAAACAAATCAAAGTCCTTACCACAGTCAATGACGTTTTGAACAGAAAGATAATTCACTGGCCATTTTCCCTTTCTCTGAATATTTATACGGTCAGATAGTGCACTGGTCGTTCCCATGGCCCAACACGAACCGCAGTATTGCGGAATGTGTTGGTTTCGTGTGCGCTGGCATAATTCACACCATTCGCGTTTCTCCAATCCCATGTAACTGGAAGATCTTCAAGCTTCAGATATTCGTGAGGTCGAGGACTTTTACTTAATGCAAAGAAAACATCATCGTTGTCAGTTAATAATATAGTATGATAATTTATCATGTTTCATATAAAATGGTGAAGGAGCAAAGAAATAAGTTGAACAGTTGACTTACTGAGCTTACAAAAAAAATAACATTTGCAATGCATCCGATTATTTCCTGCCACGATACATAGAAGTCAAGCTCGACAAACATTCACCGACTTGAACAAGAAAAATCTTCTTCGCGAGTGCGTCTTACCATTTGCGTTCAGTCTGCGTTTTACCACTAGCCATGTAATAGATACTTTGTTTGACCTTGTGCGGTTGTTCTTCACAATACCCAAATGTTCAAACAATGCGCAATAAAAATTTGTATTATTTTACACGCGCGTGTTTGTGTATAATGGACGGTCTGCCAACGCTCAATTTTATATAAGTATGCAAGATTATAAATTTGAAGCAAGATTTTTTAAGAAGCAGATTGCTGCATACAACAGTACAAAGTTTGTGAAAATGCGCGCCTTCCTACACCAAAAGAATGAGTTGAAGGAGTCTTTTGCAATCTATTTCTATTGCGCGTTGATATTAGACGTCATTATCAAGATATCATTCCCTTTATCACAAAGCAAAGACAACTATAATTTTGTGTTTGACTTACATCACTTCCTTGAAATTTTTGTCCAGCTCTGGATTCGAGTAACACGAATGTTTGTTGCTTGCTTTTATTGTAGTACGAGCAGAAAAGCATTGTAGGATTAGAGAACAGAGGCAAAACCAGCATAAATACATGGTAAACATTTTTGACGCACTCTATAAACAAGATGTCGCTCAGTTAACGTTCGCCGGTTCGAAACTTCAAATGAATTACTGTCTGATTAACGTAATTATCATCATGTGACGTGTGTGACGATAATATAACACATTGTGATTATGTATCATCAAGCCGTTTTTAGTTTGATGCATAAATACGGGTACAGGAATGCCGGAAAACGGGCAACTAGGTATTTTCACTAGCGGTCGTTCATTTAGTACGTATGGAAAGAAATGGGGGGAAGGGAAAAAGTATATGATAAATGCGTACATTTGTGTACAAAAAGAAAGGTGGGCTACTACCTTTTGTTTAGTTGAATGGGATTTTGGAATTTAGTTTTCACTCACAAAGTAAGCATACTATTTGTACGTTCTGACGTAAGAACCAGATAAAAATACGGCTAACCTGACGTTTACTCCTCATTTGACTCTGAAAATGACTACCTCTAAGGTTGTCGAAACGTCAGTCAACAACAACAAAAACAGTCCTTCTCAGGACTATACCTACCTGGACGATCTACATCTACAAACATAGTATGATCATCATAGTAAACTTTGGTCTTGAAACAATTCAAACGTTAAAGTTTGAGAAGTAAGCCGCTTGAACCAATCTTGAACCGAGTAACATTTATTAAGAAAAAAAATCGCACGACTGTTTTTTCGATTGAAATTTATAGTTGTTTTCAAAATTAGTTAATTTTTAAGTAACAATAGTTGTACGTAAATGATAAAAAAAACTAAAGCGTTTATTCCATTACAGTTATAATGAGAATAATTGCAGTGACGTCATTCGTGTCAAATCATGGAGATGATTCAGCAGTGGTTGGAACGGCGAAGGTGCACATTGTCTCGATGCCAAGATTGTATTTTTTACCCTGGCCTTTTTTGTATGCGCTAGTAACAATTCTCAACCATCCTTTCTCACCCCAAGGTCTTCCCCAGGAGTTGCGTACTATCCAGTATTCCACACCATTGGTATCCACGCCCCACCCGGCAACAGAAATAATGTGATTGATTCCTATATCAACATTGTATTCAGAGTACAGCCCACCCCTATACTTGTCTAACTTCTGAGTCGCCATTATGCCACACGCTATTGGACCGCGTTCGTATATTTCCGCTTTCATTTTGTTTCGACCACTGACACGACCTAAGAAAATAACGTTGATTTTCATACTCAGTTCTCTGTACGGTATTGGTCTGACAAAATCGCTCCCATGACAATTAGTAACCAAATGAGTGAAAAACGATCATGACTAAGAATCGAAAAAATTGCAAGCATCACACAAACCGTATTCCTGGACTTTAAATCTTGTGTAGTTCGCTAAAGCAAAACAATGTCCAGCAAATGTACAAGTTTTACATTGATGTTTCTTATCGCAATCCTGGTCTTTAGCTTGATAGTTGTTGCACGTTTCATCGGGGATACCCTCTTTCTTGGCGTATTCATATACAGGTATCATGGCACCTCCTTCACATGAGCCCGCGTTACCTTAAGTTGAATACAAATTTTAAATTCAACTTTACATATAGAGAAGAACCCATAGATACACTTCAAATAACTCGAACTCTCTCCACTCAAAATTCATTAAATAAAACAATTTGCCGTCTTTGTGTTCGAGTAAACCGGGTTTTTAGTGTATCTGTTGTATAATCTCGACAGGGTTGGCTTCATTTTCTTCGATGTGTTAAATCAGCTTAGCCGCAAAACAAATTAAAGTTCTTACCACAGTCAATGACGTTTTGAACAGAAAGATAATTTACTGGCCATTTTCCCTTTCTCTGAATATTTATGCGGTCAGATAGTGCACTGGTCGTTCCCATGGCCCAACAAGAACCGCAGTATTGTGGAATGTGTTGGTTTCGTGTAACGCTGGCATAATTCACGCCATTAGCGTTTCTCCAATCCCATGTAACTGGAAGATCTTCAAGCTTCAGATATTCGTGAGGTCGAGGACTTTTACTTAATGCAAAGAAAACATCGTCGTTGTCAATGAATCAAGTGAAGAACAAACTTTAAAAATTGTTACGTTGTGTGCAAGTAGAAAGAACCGCAAATTGAAACAAAAAGAAGTGATTTGATAAACAGGGTTTATAAAAGTGACTATCTTTCTAGACAAATGGCATTTTATTCAATTTCTGTATGTTTCGCACTTTTGGTCCAAGCGTTTTACTTATCGAGTCCAGTCATCATTTTACCAAGTTAGTACAGTCCGCGTTTTCTTATTCCAATGCAGTGCGCTTTTTCTTAGTCCAGTCCAGTCCGCATTTTCTTAGTCCAATACAGTGCGCTTTTTCTTAGTCCAGTGCAGTCCGCGTTTTACTACATGCCATATAAAAGGCCCTTCGTAACGCAAAGACAATGCGCGATAAAAATCGTTACAAAGAACAGCAGCTGCAAACTGTTTCATAAAACTCTAATTATGAATACGAAATTGTAAACACGCCGTGGAGTTCAAAAAATTTATCATGTGTAGGTGTCACATATCAACACTCAAAACTACGTATATCAAAGTTTTATATTTAGTACAGTTCGAATGGGGGGTATGATTATATGAGGATTACGTTCAATATCGTATTATACATAATTATGCAAGATTATGGATATGACAAAAGGCTTTTACATTGACGGTTTATTGTCGACAAAAATTACGTGAAAATGCGTTCTGAAAAAGTGAAGTAGTAATTGATACATCGAAAGAAGTTTGGCGCAATCTATCCATTGCGCATTTATAATAAACGTCGAAATCAAGACACCGTTCCTTATACATTACAAAGCGAAGACAACTTTACTTCTGTGTTAAACTTACATCACTTCCTTGTAATTTTTGTCTAGCTCCGGATCGGAGTAACAGAATCCTTGGCTGCCAGGTATGGTGTTTGTACGGAAAGAGAAGCATTGGAGAATTAATAAACTGAGGCAAAACCAACATAAGTACAAGGTATGCATTTTTACGCACTCAGAAACAAGGTGTTGCTCGGATCACGTCTTCTGGAAATGAACTGTTATCTGATTATCATCATGTGATGTAACCGAAGCATCACATGACGATAATCGTCACGTGTTGTAACTGAAACATCACATGACGATGTGATGAAGATATGGTTACTCTATCGTCATCAATTCTTTTCTGTTTGATGCAAAACAACAGGCAACGGAAAACGGATAAATAGATATTTTTACGTGAATAATATTTGGATGGTTAGGTGCAGACGCGGTTGAGCGAGGCTTAGTGTCTTACCACACGTCTGCACCTTATCACTCCAATTATTTGGTGGAAAAGCTACAACAACAGCACGAAATAATAATGCTGTGTATTCTGCAACGTACTTTCTAAAGACAAGCTCCTACACTCGTATTATTATATATCTTATACTGCGTGCTAAGCGCTGGGGGTCTCGTGCCCATATCCGCGCGCCGCTCTTTTGCTATTATCCTTGGTTACTCCATAACCTCATTAAAATTTTTCGATAAAATTTTGATGATCAATTAAATTGATCAATCCGGGATATTACTAACTTACAAAATGTACTAAGATACTGATATTCTGGTGACAATCTACCATTTGTGTTAAAATATTAAATACAGAATATGTATAAAGCTTTAGTCATGTCTGAATATATAAGAATTTTGATCGAAAAATTACTGTCTTCGTAATGGCAAAAGAAATTAAGTGAAATTCAGCGAAAAGGTCTTGACAATTGTCTACAGCGCTGTTTATCCAAGCTACGTGCGAGAAACTTGCGCGCGTTATTCGAGACCGAAAGTCAGAAATAGGATGTTTAATAAAGCTTTTATATTTACTTTAATCATCGATAAGCTCATTAGGATGTCGAAGAATAAATATGAAATGTCACGAAACGACCATTGAGTACTACCCGACTTACCTTGTTTGTCCTTACTACATTTTGACTCTGAAGATGACTACCGCTAAGGTTGTCGAAACGTCATTCAACAACAACAAAAACAGTCCTTCTCAGGACTATACCAACCTGGACGATCTACATCTACAAACTTGTCTTTTGCCACGCTGGGTATTTGATGTTTTGGCGGTACCAACTCTCAAAGCCGCCAGTAAGCTATGTGTATTACAATCGATCGTAATTTGAAATGAATACTTTATATAGCAACTGTTTGCTCAACGATATACCGACATAGACATGTAAATTCAAATTGTTCAAATTGCGTTAATAAGCTGGCTGCACTGCGCTTTGTAAGTAGATTAATACCCTACGTTTTATTCAGGCATAGCATCCATTTTCAAACATTTGTTTCACTTGTTTCTTGGCAGACAAAAACGAAAAAATATATAGTTTATGGCATATTTTGCTCCATTCATGTATTGAGCACTCTTTTCTTAGGGTATATTTACACTCAGAGACGCACATCAAGGGGAGCTGGGGTGATATCGCCCAGGTTTTACACAAAATTTAAGTCGTTTCAGAAATTGATAGAGGATGAAAAAGTCGGTCCGGCAAAAATCTAAAAAATATTAGTTTTGAAAAAAAGTTGAAGATAGTTTGATAGAAACGTAGATATGAACGCCTAAAAAGAATATATGCGTATCATCTTATACAAGCAGAACGTAAAAGCTCCGTTTTGCGACAATTGAAAGAACATACGTAATATTATAAGGTTGAGGGCCTCTTGGTTTTAAATGTAAGCTCATTTACGCAAGCTATCTCAACAGTTTTCAACCTCACTAAACCGAAAGAACTCGGGACAAGGAAGTAATGACCAAGTTAACTTGTTTCCCAATTCCCACGCATGTAATCTTAATGTTGTTTCATTGGTATTTATTAAGGTTCAACCAGCGTTTATATACGTAACTAGAACGTTAAATTCACTTTCAAAAGAAATCGATCGACGGACGGCACAACTGAATATGCGAATATACACCACACCCACCCACCCACTAATTTACCTTTCAGTTACGCCGCTTCTTGCGGTATTGGTTAATTTGTCTCACCCCAGCAATAGTTGATATAACTCGACCCATGTAATTGGCCCTGAGTGTTAGTACTTATCGTGGTCTTGTGTCGTAGGGAAAAACATGAATTAGAAATAGATAACGCCAACTTGCAATGTTTGATGACGATCAATACAATTAACAAGAAAATATTAATGATCTTACATTACTCTAAACACGAGCTTGCGACGGATTAAAGTTGTTTACTTCAATATCAGACAATGCTTCATATGCTACGTATGTGTTAAGAGTGCATTGTTTCCCTGATCAAAACAAAGTAAAGTGGATATTTAGGGCCTGTTTATATGGAGCCGAGTTACCCGGCTAAGCGAGTTACCGCTCAACCGGGTTTGACAAAGTGATCTGTTTGTATGGCACCGGGTAACTCGGCTAGTACTTCCGTTCATTTGTCTTAAATGAAGTTTGGCTATGCTAACTTCGAGTAAAGACGCGAGATTTTAAAAAGCCTCACAGTTTCGCAGCAAAAATGGAATGGGTGAATATGAAATTGAAAATTATGACATGTGTATGTTTTTGTATTATAATACTGCAGTACAAGGCTTAGTACGCATGCGTACCAACAGAGCCAATTTTCTCGCCTCGCCGAGTTACCCGGCAAATGCGTTTATATGAAGAAATTCATCCCGCCTAGCCGGGTAACTCGCTTACACAAACCGAGTTCCCGGCAAGGCGAGTTTTTCGGATGTATCATATAAACGATCCACCGGGAAATGCATTCATTTTATATAAGGCCGAGTTACCCGGCTTGGCGAGTAACTAGCTCAGCCGGGTAACTCGGTTCCATATAAACAGGCCCTCAGATCACTATATTAAAATTAGCATTTGAATTTTAAAAATGGATGTCGGTAAAAACACAAACCGTTAAATATACAAGATTGCTTACGCACTTTTTAATCGAACCCACTGATTGCAATCATATGCTTTACAAATTTTTGCAAAAAAAACTGCAGAGAGCTAGTTTCAACTAGTTTCCAAATACCTAAGTAAGACCTGGCTACTTCTCGGTCAAGTATGCCGGACGGATGGCATAGAGAATTTACAAGACCGTTACATACACAATGTAACTGTTACTTATATACATTTACACTCGTTCTTTAAAAAAACCGAAATAATGTAGCCAATAACGATTTGATCATCGACATTGTCGGTTATTCTCAGGTGAATTGCGGTCCAGACGTAAACGTCACCAAAATATTACAACGTTGCCATGCAAATGCACAATACTTGCAGCTTCCAATGCTGTTGTACATTTCTCATCTTTAAAGCAATGCTCTCATTTCTTCTTCTTTTCAATATTGCACTTTGGACAATACCTTTCAAAAGTTAAAGGAAACCATTTAAATGAAGAAAACGGAAAATTAAAATAACGTGGTCAAAAACACAAAAGAAAAAAACCCCGGAAAACAAGAATCACGAACGTTTTCTCTTTCATCAACAAAAACAAAAGTAGATTTGGAGGCGAAGAGATATAACTTAACCTTCGTCAGATTTGCATAAAAAGAAATACTTTAGTTGTTAGAAATCTCTCATACGGAACTACCGCCAAAACTACGTATCAGTTTTGACAGGTAGTAAATACGAATACGCAATATTTGCTGGCTGAGTAAGCTTTTCCAAACTGGAATTCATTTAAATTACTAAAAATAACGAAAAAGTTGAACATAGAAAAACTTACCATTTGCCTTTTGGTTTCGTCGTCAGACCAACACAAGGAAAGTGAAACCATTCGATTGGACACTAAAAAAAACATCTGATGTTTTGTCTTCTTTTGTTGAAAACATGATAATCAATAGACGTGATGATTATGCTTTGAAAGATAAAGTTATTTCCACTTTGACACAAAATTTCATATAACTTTTCGTCACATGTTACGAGTTCTCTAAAAGTTCAGGTGTTTCTTTTCAAGCTCATAAATATTAGTCAATCAAATTGTTTACTTAAAATAAAAACCAGTTATGATTAAAAGGCTGTTTACATGATCCCGGCTAACTGAGATTCAATGAGGCGTGAAACGATTTCGAGGCACTGAAAGGAGACAAAACTTTAAGCCTAAAGATTACAATTGTTTGTTAAGCGCCACAAGTCATTCCTGTTGAAATTCACAAATTTGGCCAAATTGGTTATTGTAATTTTAAATGTTTTGCGTAGTTATTAAATCAGAATGACGAGTATTGAATCGTTTCCATTTGCCAAAATCATTTAATACTAGTTTGAATCTCGGCTACCCGGGCTCATGTAATCAGCCCCTAAAACATGGACAAGAAAATCTGAACTTTTGCGCTAATTCGTTAATCTACATTAAGGCCCGTTCACACAATCCAGTTGTTTCGGTTCCGAATTTTCGTTACTTGTTCAGACGGACCGATAATTTTGTTGATATTTATGTTCGTTTTTAAAGTCGTGTGAGAAGCCATTTGTGCTATCCAGTACATTTATTGATATATTTTCGCATTTTTGTTCTTATTTCAAAGTCATTCAAATCTATGCAACTTGACGAGTCACCTTCCTTTGATCTTGTCGGATAAAAATAGAGCAAGTTCTATTCCATGCGATTTTTTAAATTGACGGATCCGACTATCGGAAGCTCACTCTATATGTATTCCAACGATTCGTTTTGTAGGATCCAAAAAAAATCGGATCCGACAAATCAGATCGTGTGAACGGGCCTTTACACAGAATACTAAAATGTCAGATTTGCACCTTAATAATTCATCTCAACTTATCGTTATTTCTTAACTATACCTCCAAATTATCGCAGCCAATCATCTCTCCATAAGAAACCTGCGAAAAGAAAAGCACAAAGCAATGGACTGACTGTTCAGTGCAAGTATAAATGCGAATACCCCACGTGCAATATTTATGTGAAAGCTAAATGCAAATTGTACAAATCGCTAAACCCGTATGCGTGCTTTACAATTCTTTGATCTATTAAACAGGTGAACAAGACATTGCAAAATTGAGGAAACTATCTCCGCCACCCCCACGTATCCGCCACTGATTACCTTCCTGTGCAGATAGTATAAAACAGAAAAACCAGCCCATGCACTAGGTTCAGAAAACGATGTTAAGCGTTGAAGAGATATTGAGGTTTTTTACTTAATTTGAAAATTATTTCATTTTGCAATTCGACTACCTGAAATAAACGAATGGATTCCTGTTTCCGATAAACCTTACATTAAGATAAACTATATAGTAGATAACACTACTATATAAATTAACAGATAATGCACATTTATATGAGAAACACAAACACACTGCGGAAGAAACTGTGCATAAACAATCGCAATAGCTGTTATTATAATATAGATAAGCACGAACAAGCTTTTTGTAAGAAAAGTCGTTTTATGTAAAGTATTTGCAAACGTGAGGAGATTACTACACGAGGCAAAAACCTATTGCAGTTATGAAGGTAAAAAGTGTCTACGCATGTTTAATGTGGACATCTGATCGAAATTTTCTGACCCTCACGAAAAACCTCGTGTTCACCCAAAACCTACGTAGCTACATTTAATTCTCACTGAGCTACATACAGGGTGTATAAAAAGGTTTGGTTGGGTAGTTGGACTTTTAATGGTTAATCTGATAGTAAATTTGTCGTAAATAGTAACCCTTTTTAAAGTGAAAATTGTGCTACCGAGAAAAGCACGTTTGAAAATACCTTGCGCACCAAAATTGCAAAGCTAAAAGCAATTGGAACACGTAGGGTTATAATATGGCACATTATAGCGAACAAAGTTGTGGAAATTTTGACCAAAGGGTACACGAACGAACTCTAGACACCCAAATGAGAGATTATTTTTCGCTTTTCATTTTTTAATAAAATTTTTTAAAAGACATTTATTATTCATGCTTGGACCAAATAAAGCTCGCGTTCATGCATAAATGATGAAAATGATATTTAAAAATCAAAAATTCAAAATAACCTGCAATTTGAAAGGCTAAGCGTTTACGTAAGCGAAAGACAAAATTCCTGTGTTCCAATAGCTTTTTAGCGGTTTCATTTAGGAGTAAAAGCTATTTCAAAAGTACTTCTCGGCAACTCTTTTCATCTTAAAAATGCTTATTATTTACAACAATTTTACTGCCACACCATTTCCACCAAGAGTTTTGGCAAATCTTGCGCACTGATGACTTTGTTGACGTTTTCCCAACTTCTCATTTTTTACACGCCCTGCATTGCAAGAATTACCGGGAGTACATACCTGGTGACAAAGACAGTAGGTGGGTTCATTTGGATCAACAGGCATATCCAAAACTTGTACATCAGGACTGGGTAAAAATGCCGTGACTGCAGCTAGTGGTGGAATGACAGGTTCATCACTTCTGAAATGCAAAAAATCAATTATTAATTATGCCCAAACTATTAGCGGTTAAAATAATTAGACTAAATTGAGGTTAAAAACTACTAAAACTTAAGCTTTTGCCGTTCTACATCGTCATGGATGTGTATACTTAATGATATTCTAATGCAAGAGAATGGCGTAGGTGGGATTTTAGACCCCGTTCACACGATACCGGTAGAGTTTGAAAACGATCCTGAACTCTTACGGTTAGCATGGGGTAATGTTCACACGACGCCCGTATGAAAAAATATGAACCCGTAACGCTAACCGTAATACTTTAAAAACGGTATAAAGCTATACCGTTTTAATTACGTGTGAACACCAAACCGTAAGAAGTTCATTACGATTCAGCGAAACTTTTTTCTCTGATAAAAATGCCAGGATGAAATACTGGAACGCAGTCGTCACGACGATAGATGTGGTGAGAAAAAATAGATACACTTCAAATAAATATAACTCAAATAAATTAAAGCCAGCGTCAATCCAGGGTGGTATGAACACAACGCCAAAACGGAGCAAAACTCAAATACTGTTCACACCATCACTAGCATGGTGAACAGTACAAAACTGTATGAAACTCTAACAGCAGAGTTTAGTAGCGGTATCGCCGTGTGAACGTAGTCTTAGGTATAGCTTAGGCGCAAAATGGTAAGGAAAGATAACATCTGAAAAATACACGTAAATATCTTTCGTTTAATTAAGGAGTGCATTCCTTAAAAGAAACGCAGTTAACTTTTCTCGAGCAACTCTCGAAAGCAACAATATATTTGTCCGGTGTTTTTTTCCAGAAAAAACCAAGTGTAAAACTCTCTCTAAATGCCACCTTAGCATGCAAACCAGGTTATTTGTATGCTCACGAAACGTTGTTGCCAAGCAGAAGTAGTCTTTCTTGTCTCTAAACATCAGTTCGCTATTTTAGAATGTTAAAAGCAAAAATGATAAACTGATTTTAATTATGGTTGCCATAACATAGCTACCGTTTCTTCTTTCGTGCACTTTCAGCGCCAGTCGACTTGCCGCGCGATTTCTTTCGCTTTTTCTTCCTCGACTTGGAATCCTTATTTTCTAAAATTATTCAATCATGCAATTAGAGACGGAACCACTTTGAGATGTTGTGAATTTCGTGAATCAAGAGTTGCATGTCGCTTACCTTCATCAGAAGCGGCGAGTTCTTGTTCATGCTGCTCTTTCAAGTCTGCTTCAAATCGTGCAAGATCGAAGTCCAACTTACGAATATGTTTGTCAACCTACAAAATTTCAAGGAAAAAAGAACTCAGAATATTAGAATGTAAGAAAGCTCACGCAAAAGAGAAGGGATTCGACCAATAAAGGAGTGGAGGTATTTGAAATATAGAAAAATTGCAGTAAAGTTTTTCACTACGTAGCCAAGCACTACGTACACTCCCCTCCCCGAGATAAATACACCGACCAACTTTCCAAACTAAATAACGAGTAATTCAACTCACCATTTCGTATGTCTGCATGGCAAGCTGGACTTTGTCTTCTGATAACTCTTTTGCCTTTGCAAAAGATTCCTCGATCTTCGTCAGCTGCTCTGTCTTTTCACTTGGAGAGAGATTCCTCGCGCATTCTGTGTAATTATCAGCCATGTCATCAATCTCCTTGAGGATATCTACAAATGATAAATATCAAGATGTTATTTAATTAATGTCATTCATCAATGTTGCAATTTACATAAAACTCATTTCAATGATCAATCTCTATAGATAATTAATAATCTCAATTAAAGTGTCGTATGTATTTTAGTGCGAGAAATCAAGAAATCCGAAAATGATGCAGACTATGATCTTACAGGATTTATCAGATGCTCAATGATCCTCAATAATCTAGTGTGAAGCCAAATTGCACATAATATTATGCACGATCTAACATGATTTTATTGATTGCCTAATATAAGCGAACTTTAACAGAGCCTACGTGTGTTGTTATATCAGCGTACATAATCTTTAATCATCGGGAAACCATTATAGTAAGTAGTCCGACACTTTGTACTTTGTGGAACATGTGACGGACACCAGGGGGGGGGGCAAAATGATTTAATTGATAATTTTAAGATTTGAACATAGAGGCTAAAACATTGGGCTCAAAGAATAATTTAATTAAACAACTCAAGTCAAACAAAAAAAAAACTTGATACGTATGTGATTATTTGAAAAATAATGTGGGGGCACAAACCAAACCACATGTCTGCCCTCTTGCAAAATACGTAGTTCTAACAACCAATTTACAGAACTGTTTCTTTGCTTACTTCTCGAAATTATTAAAACCTTCAAATAAACACTGGGTTGTAATTATAAATGATAAAAAAACTGTAGATTGTTCCGTGATACAACATGTTGTGAATCATGATTGGCTGCAAGTTCATAAACTCTATCCACTCTGCTAAACAGGAGTAAAATAACGGACAGTCACATATCAAGTCTTCCTAAACAATCATTCATCGATTTTTTTTCGATGTTTATTGTAACTTTATTTGAAGTATTGAACGTCAACTTTTCTAGAGAAAACAATATTTGCTTTCGTAATTATGTGCTGGGTGAGCTTGGATAGAGGCCTTCGATTCCGCTTTCATGTAGTGTTCTGATTAAAATGCTTGGCTCATTCATCAACACCTATGTAAATTTCTATTTGTATGTTTGATGATATTATTATGAGGTGATGTCGTTAGCGCACATCATAAACGGTAGTCTCAAAAAGTCTCGGACACATTTTTGCGCTTATTTTAAAGAAATGCTAAATTATTATCAGCCATACACTGAGTAAATTGGTTAAAACAAGTGTTCTGCAATAACCATAAATCTTTTTTTTCTTCATTTTCTCACTCCAACAATGTTTTTACCTTATCTACATATATAGTCTAATAAAGAACATCTCATTCAACCTTGTCACAAATTTTTGTGAAACAATTCAAAACGAAAAAGTAAAGTAAATTAAAAATGACAAAGTTTTTTAACATAAACTTGTTTCGGCCTTTTATAAGTCTTCTTTAGTTTTAATGAAGAAGAATATTACAGTGTTAGATATATAAAATAAGGATATATGATATATTTTCATTATGAACCGTACATCAAGTGTCCTAAGTGCAGGAGTCACCATTGCACTATGGTGATAGCCGGAGCACATTGTTATACACATTGTAAGGATATATGATGTGTATGAATTACTAACTAGTAAAAGGATGAATTGTGAAAATGTGTTAGGCAACATATTTACATGGCATGTGTATGAGTATGATAGTCATGAAATGTTGCATATATTTGTCTAAATCAGGTTTGCGTTTGCATATGTGAAGGGCTTATGGGTATATCCTTACACTTAATATACCTAACACATTCTACTTCTTCATAACAAAGATGACTTAATGTTAAATCAAAACATGTTCATGCTAAAAAATTTCATCATTTTTTCCAAATGCCTCATCAATCTTGTGATTTTTAGATCATAAGGTAAAAGGCAAAGATTCGATAGTGAAAAAAAAATTAAGAAATGGTACCAGGATGACTATTTTGCCACTTCTTTGTGGGTGTTTTGTCTTACCATTTCAAACATATTTTGTTAAATTCTGCAACTCATTAACTTGATTGGAAAATATTTTTTGGAAGTTAATTGCTTCTGCTTCTACTTCTATTTCTTGGTATATTACAATTTTGTAAGGAAATCAGCACCCGACCTGCCCCCCTTTAGCTAAGGCTAGTAGGCATGCACATGCCACCTGTACCCAAGGGTAGGAGACATACACATCCCAACTGTACCCCATGTAGCAAAGGCTAGGAAGCATGCACACCCCATCTGTACACCCTCTAGCCAAGGCTAGGAGGCAAGCACACTTATCCTGACTGCATTCCAAATCTTACACATGGATACAGAAATGTATGTCGTACAATAAATGTTTCAAAGCAAGAACAATATGAAAACATATTTCTTGCCAAACATCACATCTAGTACCAATACAAACATTATTACCTTGGGTTCTCTGGTCAAGATCCCGCATGAGTGTGAAGTTTCTTTGAAGTTCATAAGGAAGATTTTCAATACCTTAAACAATAAAATAACGCACCTTGTTATAATGTGAAAATAAATGAAAAAATTGACTGAGTGAGAAAATGATACAGTAAGCAAAGCAAATGGATATTCATAGTGAAGAAGCTGCTTCTCGGGAGACAGTTACCAAAAATAGGTCAAAATCAATGTAGTAAGACATTGCAAAGAAATGACATGCTTTAATTTACAAAAAAGCTTTCTGAAAAATATTTTCAATATTTTACACACAGAGGGCAAGATAATCAACTAGTTATCCAATTTACTCCTTCCACTAGATGAAGACATTTGAGTTGGTGGCAAGTCTCAGTGGTTTCATTATTAAAAGAACCAAGTTATGGATCAGAGCTTGCAGCAAGACATTTTAATAGAAGAAGAACACTAATTTAAAACTTTGTAATGAAACTAAACTTTTATTAAAACTAAAAATTTTAATATAACATACAAAGTAGCCAGCAGTGACATTGGAAGTACAAATTGCTGGGTGCCGGCTTCTAATAAAAGACCTGATTTCCACCAAATGGCCCAACAATGTAACGATAACAAAATCTCAATATAAAAAACTTTCAACTTTTTGCAAATCTTATGAAAAACTTGTTGCAAAACAAAGTTTGTATATACATATCATTTGAAAATAAAATCTAGATTTTCAAAAATTTATCCTTGATATCAATTAACTCTGAAGAATATTACTTCGCAATGTTGAAAAGAAAGGATGTGCTTATTGCTATCTGATTTATTTGTGGCATGTTAGTACTCCCCAGGCAATGTAAACAAAGGCATGGTTTCAATATCCTAGCAGTGATCCACTGATCCTTGATACGTACTTGGAAAAGTTTACACAATTTTATTTAACTCTGAAAGGTGCCTCACTGGCAGAATCTTGGCAAGTTTTTATATAATTATCAACGACCCGAGGACATTTTACGAGCAACACCTGGACACAACCTAGACCATTTGCTTTACAATTTTCCAAGCCGCCAAATGTCAAGACAAAGCCCTACAAATGAACCGCTGCGGCATAAGATATCCCTATGAGCTGCTCTATATTTCCAACTATATTCACACAGGTCAGATTTTTCGTTCTTCTTATACGCAGAGTTAAGAAAAAGCAAAGTTACCGACGCCAAAACAATGGGATTTAATCCAAGTTTCACAATTCAAAACAAATGAAATGGCGGGAACCTACAAAGCTATCTTATTCAATGATGAAAAAAATAACGACATATGACTTTCGATATGAAATTCAAAATACTTACTGTCTAAGTAGTGCTCCAAGTACATGACTAAATATAAATAATGTTCCAAAATAAATTCACATTTTTGACAATTGACATTTAGTTCGCCGTCTTCCACAAACCTTTAATAAAACTTGTTACATTTATGACGTACGCTCGTTAAACAGTCGTCACAAGGATCGGTCTGCTGTCGGACACTCGATCTTAAAAAACGACTGTGTGAACGATGGCCTCGAATAGTAGATGTTTTCAAGAGATATGATCATGACGTGGCGGCAATCGCAATAAAATACACTTTTGCCCAAATTTCCTAATTTTCCGGCTAATCAGGATGAATCTTGTTAACTATAGCTTAAAAAATAATTTGTCCGTCTCGAAGCAGGCCTTGTGTTACCAATAATACTGAATGCAGACTCAACTCCAGTGACGTATTTTTTGCTTCGCTAAGGAGAAAGGTCAAATTTCTGCTCCGCATCAACTGAACTAAAGTCGATATACCTTAGGATATCAACACGATCTATTAAATTGAAAATGCAAATTTAAATGGAAAAACACAAGTAATAACACAATTTCATTTCTTTTAATTGCAATTGATATGTTCTATTTTTACAGGTGATACAGCGTGTGCTGATGACAAGGCAAACAAGGCGTTCGTTCTTTTGAATTTTTTCACAAATTAATGAGTACATGAAGTAAATATTTTCTAACTCGTGTGAAAATTGTAAACGAAATCTCATAATCAAGCAACAGTGAGCGGCCAATCAGATTCATGATGACGTATTCCAACCAATTAAAACGCAGCCGACACTTGCTACTCCGTTGCAGTGGAAACCATGTAAACAGTGTGTGTTGCCTTTTAGTTGTAATGGAAGTGCGGCACTAAAGTCTTATAAACTTGTAGGGGTTTTGTTTATATCACCCCAACTCCAAAATCAAAAATCATACCGAACAATCATTTAAGAATTTCATTGTCGCATAATTGTTCGAAACGTTTGGCGAACATCCAGCATTATTGCAAGACTATGTAAAGAATTATCAAAAATATGGCCGTTGTAAGTATTCATGACGACTTGAAATTCAGAGAAGTTTTTCCTGACAAGGATTTTGATCACTGGAGGCAACCTGAATCTCCCAAAGAAGGGAAACCGCACTCGCCTGGGTCCGTACAAGACAAGAGTTCGGCTGGCTTGAAGGACTTGTCGAGACTGACTCGAAAACGAAGGTGTTACCTTTCAGCGAAAGGGGCTCGACTATCGTCGAGGAAGCGTATTGATGATAAGATGTCAACGTCAAGCAGCGATATGAAAACCAGGTTTGCTAGAAAAGGTAAGTATCTACAATTAAATATATTTCACTGTAGAAAATATCACATATGATCATTTTTTTGGGTCCATTTTTCCTATAAAACGTTGTATATTCAACCGTCGAGATCTTATTGGGCTACAAATGTGCTCTTTCTACGAGAAGTTCTAACTCGAACGTGCCGAAATACATAATAATCATGCCTAACGTAGCGAGCGACTATTATCCATTGACGACGTATATTTAATTCGTTCGTTGAGATTGAGTATTGCAAAATAATTCGCCTTGATTATATAGGATATGGCTGCACAGCAAATAGTTGGTAAATATTTTAGAGGGAGGAAAGTTCGCATGGAGTTCTCGAGTAATTTTGCTCTAAGCATTTCTCTGATGGGGGATCATTGAGTACGCGTCATAAAATGTCACAATTGCTATGACGTAATTTGTGAATGTAATAACAATTCTCGCGACTCCGTTCTACCACTATTTTGTATGATGTGAGAAAATGGTTGATGATAGTTGAGTTGAGAAAGTAACGATAACTAGGTATTATCAACAAATACGAAGATATTTGAACATAACGAGCGAATTCTAATGGCTACGTTCAATTTAAATACCTGTTCTAGTGATATTTAAATTTTAATGGGTCATTAATCTTTCTTTGTACTTCACTTGTGAAATCGAATGCATATTTTAGGATATTGGATCGTCAAATAACATTGTAATGAAGAGCAAATTTTGTGTTTACACAGCGATTCCACTCGCATTTGTTGAAAATTGCTTTTTATGTACAAACGATTCCAGAGTTATAACGAAAATTCGAATTGATGTCTTCCACGACAAGTATAGACGATGGAAATTGTATGGTTTTATAAAGCATCCTTTCATTAGAAGACATGAGTCATGACAGCCTATTCTGTCTATAACGTAGGCTGCATTCAAATGTCGTTTTTGTTATTCAAACTTTTTTTGTACGTAATCTGGTTAAAAAATCATTACGGAAACATACTTCGCAAAATTTAATGTTTGTGATAGCTAGGTGCATTTTGCTTCGTCGATAACTTAAGACGATCCTCTGCTCTAACTCGCCAGTGTTTCCACAAAACATACATTTCATTTGACTGAAGATTTCTCAATGTACGTTTTTGTTTAAAATTAAAAATGCGCACCTCGTCACAATCGTTCGAATTCTGACATTGCATGTTTCATTAAACTATTGCATATCTTAATACTCCTGTAATACGTGGACAAATGAACAAGATTTATCGTTTGCATGTGGTCAAAATTTTTCATCCAGAATTCTCCAACGCACTTTCAGCCGCCAATCATTTCTATTCAAACGCTGTTATTTTCTAGGAATATTTCAGAATTGCCCTAAATCTCTCTAACACAATGCAGATCTTTTTCCCAAACATCGTTATTGCCCAACGCGATTTGCGTTGGCTATGTCCAGGCACAAGGAAAATTGATATAGTTAGGGAATTCGCGCAGACATATTTTCTGATGGAGCAGGTGCAAAAATAGTGACAAATAGCCTATATCTTCGGGGGAGAAAATTTTACACACTTTGTTGTAATACAGAATATCCGAAGTTTTAAAATTTCTTCTCGAACCTATTACCATTGCTTTAACTCAATCGGAAGACTACTCTATAATCCAATCATTCTATAAATTATCGATTATTCTCATCGTCATGAGATCAAGCGTTTGTTTCTCGTGATATGCAATAGATATACGATTGTGTTTAGTTGTGAGAAATTTGCGTGGGCTTTATGAAAAGCATTCACAAATCAATGATTTCCTGGCAAAAACTTTGTATTTGGGCGAGGCCTTTATAATATTCTTATTAAAGAATACGCCCACTCGGCGTTCACTGAGGAATTATTGTTATATCAAGTAATGACAGGCAGTGAACATCGAAATGTTATCACATTAATCGTGAAATGACTCGGCCCAGTTCTTCGCCCGACTTATATGCTGGTGAAATCTCGATTTGCTTCTGTCTGTCTGTCAGTGGACTTTTCAGGGGGGTATTTTACGGAATGAGAGGGAGCGTATGCTGGAAGAAAGATTTTGCAATGCGCACGCAGTACCTATGTGTTCTTCCATTCGTATTGAATCAATACGGTTGATAAACATAAACGATCATTTTAAAACTTAACTTTTTGTAACTTTGATTTAACGAACAAACGGGAAGAAAATTTGCGAAGATTATCTGATACTAGTGGTGGTATGCCTTTATTAACGGCTGCTGATTTGCACATGAAGGCGATCCACTCGGATAGAAAAGCAAAGTGCTTTCATGTTATTATCGGCTGTTTTAATGGAACGAATATATCATTCACCGCATCACACATAGTGGACAAAAGTACATTTTATAATAATAGCAGTAATATGGCTTTATCAACGGTTGCTGATTTGCATTAAGGCGATTCACTCGGTTCGAAAAGTGATGTGCTTTCATGTTATTATCAGCGCTTTTAACGGCAAGAGCATTTCATTGACCGAATCACTCATGGTAGACTAAAATACATTTTAATACTACTAGCAGTAAAATGGCTTCATTAACGGTTTCTGATTTTAGTCGATCAACTCGAAGAGAAAGCAATATGCTTTTATGTTATTGACGGCACGAATATTTCATTGACCGCACGGTGGACAAAAGTACATTTAATGTGTTATTACAAATAAGTAAAAGCTCTCAAAATTGACCTTTATTGTCCTAGAAACAATGATTCATCTAGTGCAATTTAGTCATACACAAGTAAGAAAATACTAAAAAACTGCACGGCCTGTGCCCCATTAGTGATACAGTCAGTTGTATATAATCTTGTAAACATTATTGACTCAGTTCATATACAGAACTAAATTTTGTTCGATTTATCCGTGAACGACAATTTTACTCTTCACAAAGCCCCTAAATGACAAATGAAGATACAGTATTTATCTAATAGAAATGGTTTTCAATGAAAATAGCAATAAATTTAATGTTAAATTTGCGAGGCTGTCTCTATAATCAATGCAAGCCGAGCACCGGAAGCGGATGTACTTATGCTCGCTCAAGCTTACCGTCGGCTATCCGCGCGCGTGACTTCGTTTCTTCCGAGCACTCACCCTTTTAGTGAAAATGGGGGGAGCAGCACGATAGTAACTTCTAGTATATGACTAAATTATCGCACGGTAAGATGCATTTGGGAACTACAACTATCACGACAGGCATATCTTTCATTGTACATTTCTCACGTCGTTACAGCAGGTCTTCTATAATGAGTCCGAATGCAGTTTCTTATTCATGTTTTGCTATCAAACTTTAGTTGAACAATCGTCTACGCAATGTTCGAACTTCCACACCTTTTCTTTATTATGGCCGATTTTCATTCAGTGCAAATTGTCGCGCGATCGACTTTTTGAGATCACTTTCATTTCAGTTGTAAGCTCTCGGCCGTAACATTTTCACATTCGCACAATTCAAAAGAAATTGATCGCAAAAAATCGATTGCGCGACAATTTTCACTGAATGGAAATCAGCCTTTGGAAGCCTTTTCTTGTGGTTTTTCTTGTTTGCTATCATTTCACGAGAAGCGCAGTCTATTTGTACACGCAAGGAAAGGCTGCTGTGGTGTATAACCTTTATTTTGCTTGTAGTCCCTCGTAAGCCTGTGCGTTGTAGCTTTTCCATTATTAAATTTTAACTCTTCGGTCGAAATGCGGGACCTTATGGCCTTGTTTTAAATACGAGAAAATACCGTTTTAAAAAAAATGTATGTCTTTTCCAATTTTATTGTTGATATGGGAGATGTCAACTTTATCCGCCGGATGATCGCGCTCCTTGGAAACCCGATTGCAAATGGCGCTCAATAAAAGTGAAATATTTCGGTTGTTTTCCTTTTTTTACTTTTAGCGTATCAATGGTGCAGTAAAGTGTTACGCAAATTTTTCCTGTTGGAAATTTTGCTTTATCTTATAGATGCCAATTCAACGTTGCTGCATTGAACAATGGCCGTTTGTGACTAATATAGCTAATAGATAGAGCACTTCAAGTTTCACTGCATTTCAAACGTGTTTGAAAATCTCGTTATAAGATCACAATATTTTTTCCAACCAACCAGAACCATTACCAATGAAACAACGGTCGCTACCACAATCATTTTGGCTTCAGCCCAATTCGATCAAGTCAAGTTCCATGGCTCAAAATACGTATTCCTGCCTGCCCCCACTTTTTCCGGAAGATCACAACCCCGACAAGGAATTGATCGAGAGGCCAGTCAGCCCTTCTGATGAGAGACAAGAAAATCCCAGGCCACCAAAGAGAGTGGTCACATCAGCACCGGACACTGAGTTACTATTCAGTCTTTTTGAAAAAGTCAATGGTAATCCATTAGAAAAAAAGCTCATAAAGAGAGGAAGGTATGTAGCTATAAACTCATTTTCTCAGAGGCCACTAATTAGGTGTGAAAAGAGGAATATTCATATATTCGGATCTGCCCTATTGATTTCTATGAAATAAAAATAGCTTTCCAACCAAATTAGCATTATTTGGTAGAAATTCATTGTTTTACAGTGAGAGAAGACCAGAATATTTACCTATCACGACTAAACTTGTGAGCTGGCTACCCCACAGGTTTTCCGCTTTTACTAGTTTAGGTTAATTAATGATGCAGCCTCCTTATTTTTACAAAGGAAGCTACGTGCAATAACAAATGCAATTTTTTCTTATTAGACCAAAAAAAGTTCACTCGGAAAAACATACTTTACCGACATTAAGTTACGATGATGATCCTTATATTGTCGAAAATCTCACGGGAAGGTTATTTCCACAACTTTCCATCGAAAGCCATCGAAGTCCCAACGTGAGACTTTCCTCATTAACATTGACTACTGGAAGTAATTGCATCGAGCTGCCTTCACTCGCCGTTGAAAATAACTATCCTCAGATGTTGAGTCAACTGGCTCAGGTTTTGTGAGTTTTTAAGCATTGAAAGTCTTTCTTTTAACAAGAACTATTTGGAAATAGTCATCTACGAGTCTACATTAGAAAACTTAGACGATAAATTTATTTAATTCAACTGGGGGGCTTAAGCCTCGGAAATAATGTGTTCTTGCTTGATTTACCATCGCTTTCATTCAGGTTTATTACAGAAAAATTGTCTCTGGATAAGAGCTGTTTTCCATTGTAAACATTTCATCCTATATTCAACAATTATATTGCAGTACCACCATTGATTGATGAACTATAGGAAACGCTGTAAGCACTGTACTGTACTGCAGTGTGACATAAGTTGTTCTTTTCTTGCGTTTCTTGTTTGTGATCTGAAGCGTTTAAAAGACTTCCATGTCATATTATTAGTCCCGCATGATAAAATCATATTTATTGTAATAATTTTTCCTTGTTTTCAAACAACATAGTACCCTGTCTGGTTACATATTTGACTCCATCTAAAGGGTTGACAAAAACCTAGATATTACAGTTTTAAGTCGTGAAGGGTTTACATTAAAAGTACCCATATAAGGGTGAGAAAAATATCTTTTTTAGATCATTAAAATTGATTTTAAAAACATTTGCAACATATATGATTCGTCAAAAATTTCATCTTCATGGGCCTTTGGTGCCTTGAATTAGGGGACTCTGCACTGTATGTTACGTAAAACAGAGAAAATGCAGCTCTACTTTTTGAACGTTTTCTTCTGTTATTCACTCAAGTGACGTAGTCAATCTATAAATCTTTGCGGCATCTTAAACTTGTAGTGTGGTTTTTTAAGAAAATTTGCAATAACAGCTCTGTTCAGTATGATAAGTGTGTATTAAATGCATACGTTCTCCTTTTGACGTCACATCCGGTACGGAGTCACATACTTCTAGGCTACAAAAACCCATAAAGATAAAATATTACTCCTGTCAAATGTATATTGCAAATGTTCAGGAATTTGATTTAACTGTTAAAAGAATTTAATTTCTTGACCCTGATATTGGCATTTAAAGAGGAATAATTACATGAAGCATTTTTTCCCTGCAGGGTCGAGTTTACTGAGTATAGTCAATACTCAGGATAGCCGGGACAGTCGCATCTTATAATAAAGTCCCTACGTGTTAGCTTTTTTACTAAGCCAGGCATATGCTCTGTATTTAAGATTAAGATGTTTTAGATGTATACTGCTGCAATACACAGAATATTTGTAACCAGGCTTGAAAAGCACGGTAAAGTGTTACAAAAGCAAATATTCAGGACTTGCGAATTGCAAACTGTACATTATGGAAAAATCCTGTAAATATATATGTATAAAAAGATGGTATATATTTAAAATTAATAAAGAATTCCATTCAGTGAATGTAACGTCTTCGTCTATAGTAGAAAGCAGTTTAAATGCGCAATAAATTTTGACGATGCAAATTGAGTGAAAATTTATGAGCAACTTTATAATCGCAATGCAAAAGAAAAGTTATCTCTGTGAACAACAACAATTATACGCATGCGCTGATTGGTCTCTAGCTGAGTTGGCATTAGTCTGTGCAAACCGATCTGAAGCCTGGCGCACACTGGAGCTTTATCTGCTCGGCAATATGTCATTCGTGGTATCGTGCTTATGCAGGAAGCTCCAGTGTGCGGTTGAATTTTGCGAGTTTTTGTCATTTGTAACAAGTGGCACAAATGTTCAACATGTTGAATTTTTTTCGTCACGAATAACGATCTCCAGTGTGTGTGCGCTGAAAGTAAAGGAGTATACTTTTAACAAATCAATAAAGCGCTTGCGTAAAAACTCAATAAACTAAAACAAAATGGCGCGTCAAAGTGAATTACTTAGTGAAGTCATTTTAGAGGACAAGATCTGGGATATATGGCCCGAATACCCGTGTTTTTCTTATGTAAAAACCATTAAAGAACGGAGATACGGAAGTCAAGCAATAAAAAATGAAATAGAGTACTATTTAATCCACGCGTTGTAAATATATATGTGTATGTATGGTTTTGAATATCATTCTGTCTATGGATAACTTTGAAATATAAAAACATTTTCTGATGTAAAAACCATGTCCAGCAGACAATTTAAAAAAATAAAGTAAAAAACAAATTCCGAACAAACAAGACACCTTGAGATTACAAAATATGAATCAGAACACGACGCAAAGTAAACTGTAAATTTTCGACTACATTTCAAAGTCATCCTCAGATAGAATGATACTCAAAACTATCAATCAGACGCCAAATTCATTTATGAAGCCATCAAAAATGCAACATCTGCATATAGAAAAAAACGACACCACGAACTTCATCGAAAATTACAAGAATCCAGATCTTAATAAAGTAAATGGTTTGAACCCGGGAGTATCGTTACATGTTTGTAAATGTCGATCGTCCAGGTTGGTATAGTCCTGAGAAGGACTGTTTTTGTTGTTGTTGACTGACGTTTCGACAACCTTAGCGGTAGTCATCTTCAGAGTCAAAAAATAAAAAAAAATATTTTTTTGAGGTAATACCAAATGCTAGTCTGAAAGTTATTAATGACCGAGATGTAGAATAAAAAGTAAAAGCTAAAGCAATAAAAAAGAAATTTTCTAGTTTTGACTTTATTTTTGCTCTTATGTTCATGCGAATCATAATAACAAAAACATAAATCCTAATCAGACAACTGCAGAAGGAGGAACTAAATATAGTAGATGCACTTAACCTGATTGATGCTACAGTAAAAGATGTTGATGCAGAAGACTGCTGTATGAGTTGGAAATTTTCAATAATATTGTGTCATCACAATATAAGTCAGAACCCAAATCGTTTCAAGACGTTGCTTTATTTGCTTCCAAACACAAAGAAGTCTTTCCAACGGTGTGCGAGGCGTATAAATTATTGCTGACCACTCCAGTGTCCATGGCAAAAGATGAAAGGTGTTTCAGCATGCTTAAGATTGTCAAAAACTGCCTGAGATCCACAATGAAAGATACGCCATTAAATGACTTAATTGTTCTTGCATGTGAGAAAGATCTTACGGACAATGTTGACTTAAATATTATTTTAAAAAATTTTGCAACTGCAAAGATGCGAAAACTGCTATTAAAGATTTAATAATACGCTAAAGTGCGTTCTGCCACAAGAATACAACATGTATTACAAAAATATATAGTGAAAATCTGTTCAATCAACCCAATATTTCATTATTGAAAAAGTACTGTTCCATACGATCTGCGGGGCATCTTGTTTCCTTGTAGGGAAATTTCATCCCCAGCGTCTCCCCGTTAAAAAGGTGCTAGTTTCGCCCATGATAATCACGTTTCTCATTCAAGAAATTACTTTGACAAACATAATTACACCGTCTAATGGGTGCCTTATAGTCCTTGGCTGGAAGATTTCGTGAAGTTATAACGTCAAACAGACGATAAAATATGCGAATGAGTTGCAACGCATCCTTTGAATTGAGGAAGTTTAAGCGTACATTCACAGTAGAATACTATACTACACAAGCGTAGAATACTAAAGCATCCGCTACGCTGCTACTCTGTGATTGTATTGCAAGGTTTATGTTCATTTTTTGAGATTGCCAGTGGATGTGAGAAGTACAGAGATTGTTGGCTAACTAGAAGCCCTCTGATTCCTGTAACTCTACCAGTTTAACCAAGTAATTCCACTTAATAAAATCATTAATTGCATCTTTCAGCTCTCCCAACTGAGTCAATGCACCTCTTACAAACTTGATCATGTGACATGCATCTAAAAAAGTATAAATTTTTGATTGTGAGTCACATGGATGCAAAAAGCATGCTTGAAAATCATCTTGTGAAACAACTTCATCATCATTTGATGAGGAAATGGACCATCAGCAGTTATGCTGGTTACTGTCACAACAACATCATACAGTCTTGAAATACATTCCTTTGACAGATCAGCTTTTATTTGCCCTGAAATGCCATCAATGAGGAAATACCCAACAGGGACAACGAAGAGTCAAGTGCAACAGTCATGTACACTAAAGCCTCTGTTGCTTCAGGCAACGAATCATTATCATTGACACCTGTTCTCATATCAACATATCCAAGAATTTAATTTCCATCAAACTCTACGTGTTTGCGAATGGCCATTTCATCCAACAGTAAAGCACAAACAAGTTCTTTGCCTTTCTTTTTTTCTGCTTCTGCTTTTAATTTCATTGCAACAAATGCATCCCGTGTGAATCCTGGATCACCATCATAGAATTGTACCAAGTGCGGATTGTTCTTGGATTAGGCAATGCTAAATTTTTATTTCTCAGGAACATAATCATAAGCTTTCCTGGAATAAAACTTCAAAGTAAGTGCAAATGACCTTAGCTCAGCTGGATGCATTGCAAATTTTTTACATTGCTTTTAAGACATTAACAAACTCATGACATCCCCAGGCACTTCAGATACAGTTTTGTTAAGAACTTCCGCTTGATATTATTAATAAGGCCATTTTCTGTCAAGTTACAGACTATTAGGGATAAATCATTGACCTCTCTATGTAAACTACAATTCTGTGCCCTGCTTATGCACAATTTCTTTTTCATAGAATCAACTTTTTCAAACGCCTCCTCCAAATGACGCTTCAGACGAAGTGGATATTTACAACAGTAATTGTGATCAACCAAAGCATAATTAGGAAAAGTTACATAATCATCATTTGACAATACAGCATCTTTATATGCTTGTTCGTATAAGATACATGTTTGAATAATTACCTCCTTCTCAGTTTAACTTGACAATATTTTTTTATTCATGTATAGACTAAACATTGAAAAATCTTTTCCCCTATCAGATTCATTTTTTACTATCTGTCATAAAATTATAAATATATGAAATAAATAACTGAAAAAAAAATGACAAATTCAAAAAAATGTTCTCATTTTGTGAGACATACCACATCACTCTTGAAAATTGTTGGCACCGCTTTTGGTTCTAGCAATACTCTATTTCCACTGTTTGCTTTGCATGATCTTCAGAGAAATGCTCAGAACAAACCCTACTACACTTTTTTGGGGTAAAACCAATCTCTGCACCAGCGGACAAATTTTACTGAATATTTGTCATCCACAATTTAAAAAGAGAGGAGTTTTTTGTGTCACTTGGAAAGCTTAAATGTTTTAACTAAATTACCAACTGTTGAAAAAGTCATGAAAATTGAAAATATGCCATAAAATAACAAAAGATAAATTATAATGTGAAAAACGATAAAGAAATGATGCATTTGAAAAAAGCTACTGGACTGAATTGAAATGATGCAAGCAAAAAAAGCATCGGAAAAGCATGAACAATACGAAAAAGAAGTAATAAAGTACAGTACATTATAAAAGTTACAATCCATCTTTCTTACCGGTGCATTGAAAACTTTCCGTTTTTATCATTATTGCGACACCCAGGTAAAGGACAATATATTGGCATTTTGAAATTTGAAGAAAAAAAGACTTTGAAGATGTTTGCAAGTACGTTATCGCACAATAAAAATATGAAATTTAAAAATTTTCCTGTGCGTGAAAAAGTTTTAATTTTGCAAGCCGGCGCTCTTCCGCTGACATTTCATCTAAAATCAGCCATGTTTTGATAACCGGCCGCGCGTTAATAAAATAGACAGCTTTAGCAAACACAACGCGACGTCGACGCAAACGTAAAAATGGCGTGGCATGGCGTGCTTGTGTTTCCGGTCAAGTTTAGGATGGCGTTTTTGAGGATTTAAGGAAGTGAAAATGGGAGAGAGTCAGAGAAGGGAGTTTGTTGTGAGACGTATGTGACCGAGACGGAGTCCATTGCACAATACAGTAACGAATGTACTTTATAGAGTTTTACTAGTTAAAATACCTTTGTAAACCTTACTGTCGCGTGATTTTATTTAGTTTACTTTGATCGATTGTGACTTGTCGAGGACTACAAACTTGGAGGGACATTTCTCGACACATTGATCATGAATTCCAACTCACTATTTTTTTAACAAACATTTGTATTTCGTGAGCAATATGTGTTTTTTACTCGTCTCATCGAAGAAAATAAACTCTTTGAAAGTGAACTATAAATTTTCACATCCTCGACTCCCCGTCTCAAAAATGCTAAACCAAAACAAGTTGACAACACAACGTCGCCCTCGACTCAGTTCTCCTCAACATTTAGACGTCGTAGATGACGTCACGTTGCGTTTGCTAAAACTGTCTAATAATTTGGATGAGGATTTCCCGTCCAGGTAATTACTATACAGGTCAGTGAGCATGACGGACTTTCGTTGGAGTTGTGCGAAAAGTGGAAACACTGTTCTCAACTTCTGACGCCTATTTCATTCCATAAACATTCGCTGGTGATGAAAACTTTCCATGTTCAATTTGTCTCAATCGAATGTGTCAACATGCTTGAATGTATTTGTCAACATAACCTACATATTTTTTGTCTTTAGTCTATAGAAGGAGCATCTACGAGTTATGGACAAAGATGTGCTCAGTGACAGTGTCAAGACAGTTTGACAGTACCTAAGCTTGCAGTCAAATTCTCTTGACATTGTTGTACATACACGATTATTGGCTACGGCAGCGGTGGTTTTCCTAAATTGATACATGTTGAAGATCTTCGATTGTGGTAAATTGTTTTTGTCGATTTCAGTTAACTTTTCAAATGGCGGTTGCCAAGTTACTTTCTAATGTTGCCAGTTACATTTCCAAATATGGAATATTCGATATGAACTTGTCAACTTGAGTTGACAAGTTGTGTAATTGAGTACTGAAGTTGTGTACTTGAGTACTGAAGTTGTGAACTAAAGTTGCGAAGTACTAGCAAACGCGAAAGGTCTTTGTACCCTGTAGACATTTGGCAATGAATCTGTTCAGTAAGCAAGGAAAAGCTTTACCAATAGAAGTAAGAAATGAAATACTTGAAAGGTGGTTAAATAACGAGCGTTTGACAAACATTTCGAAACAACTAAACCTAATTCTCTTGGTTTTATAGACTTCACGAGGTTCATAGTTATTGTTTCTTTCTCTGTGATCTTTATATTTTCTGAGCGTAGGATATTTTATGGTGTTGGGCTGACTTACATGCTTATTGCTATTGTTTTCAAAAGCTAATTTATTTTCTTGGTGAACAACAGATTTGTTTCATAAGATTCTTTATTTGCTCTCTTATTAATCTTATAGAGTTGGTGTTTATTTCGTTGGCCTTGTTGGTAATGTAATAGCTGTAAATGGAAAGCCTTACTTTTAAAAGCAGTTGAACTAGTCTTTTCCACATCAGTTTTACTTGGAGAGGCTATCGAAGTACAAACAAGCCACTTCTCATTTCCTTCAGTTGGCTCGGTTTGTGATAGACATCGTAACCGCGCATGAGATTTATTTCTCATTGGTGAGATGCACGGGTGGGTTTTTATCTTGCAATCAATCGTACGGGGGAATCAATCTAATGAGATTTAAGAAATATCTACCGACAGTTCTTAAATCTCATTTATGTAAAACCAACTATTCACCCGCTTGCTTCAAAATCATAGACACCGCAGACACCTCATTCTCCCTTAAAATTAAAGAAGCATCCCACATTAACAAAACTAACCCTGACCTCAACGTTCAAGTTTTTAAATTCAACACAATATTTAGTTAATATGTATATATTTATGTTACTGTATCATATCAAGGCCGGGTGAAACGCATACAACATTGCATTCAACATCAATCAAAATTGTTGAATTCAACACGTTGAGTGCGTTTGGCCACATGTGTTGAAATATGTTGAAAAATGTTGAACGATGTTGAATGATGTTGAATGACATAATTTGTCCGTTTGGCCAACAAATTTTGAGAAACTTTCAACATGATTCAACAATGTTGAAGACAATGTTGAGCGTGTTGTTGAAAGCGTTTGTTCCGGCCTTTACTTTTATATAAACTTTGCATTATATATGTAATTATTCATTTATACTGAAGATGGCATTCTGAGATGTCGACACATGTCTATTTAAAAAAAAATTGTGGTCTGCATTAAATGCGCACTAGCGATAGTGCTTTTACGAAATTATGGTAACAATATTTATAAGACTATTTGGTACAGGGTATGTGTGGGTGTGCATGTGATGTATCTAAGAAATTTGATTGGATATCAAACCTGTTAAATATTCATAAATCTCTGTTGAAACTGCTCTCCGCGTCTTCAGTGTTTTCCATGCAATATTTTATAGCGTGTCTAAATAAAGATTTTTTACACAGCGTGTCAAAATAAAGATTTCCATTTATTTATTCATTTATCCATTCGTTCGTTCATCTATTCATTCATCGCCGCATTTCCCTGGTAGACGCCATTGCTGGCAAAAGCCATCAAGGCTGAAAAAACAAGGTAAACTGATTTCATGAAGGTTGTGGCAAGCGTTTTTCGCAAAATTTTCTAATGAGAAAGAAAGTTTCGGTAGCATCATCAAGTCGAACTATCGGATGTTTGCGATATTCACAGCAAAAAGGAAATATACAAAATTTATTTATTAAACTGAACAAAAATTCAAAGCATCGTCATAAAAAGTACATCAAGAGCAACAATATGAACGCAACATTGCAAGAAGAAACGATTTCTCCAACCCGGTTCAGCGCTGTAAAAATTTTTGTGCACGACGCAAGGCTTAAAAATTTGAACAACGAAATCATTGTTTGAAGCACTAACTACGCTTACAGTGCAATTAAGTTTTGCTGTACAAATAGTGGTTCGTTTTGGAGTGCATGCGATTTGCCATCAAAAGCACATATTTTATTCCACAAGATGACGTTCGCAATCAGTAGACTTGGGTCGCTGTATCCTTAATGACCACCTCTCGAAGGAATTTCGCTTCGTAGGATCGCCCGGCGCGACATTATAAACGTCCTGGTTACATCCATTCAATTCAAGTAACTAAAGAAAAGTTTCACAAAATCAATGTAACACAGCTCTGCAGTAATTTGATATGAACAAGTAGGAGTTTATAGCTAGCTACATGAAAGAAACTCGTTTTGCATTAATACATGAAAATTTCGAGCTTATGTTATACTACGTAATTTTTATTGTCACTAAGCAAACTATAATGGATCGACGCAAGACTTACACGAATAGAGACTAGATGAGCGAGGAGGCACCATAGCTTCCCCCACCCCCACAAAATACACTAGAGATTGAGCTATGTTTAATCATTTATACTTGATTTGTTCAATAAATTACACTTTCAGGCCCTTTGTTCAAAAATTCAAATTATCACATGACTAATTTTACCTCTCACCCCCCTTTATTTCGGGGGAAAATAAGATGGGAATGAAAACCTCTGCGAGTGAATGAAAACTAAGTAGAGTGAACATTTTTCATTGCAAAATTATTCCCATTCCACACACGAGAATTGTGACTTTCCCGAAGCTATTCTACATAAATGAAGATTTTGCCGCTCTAAACACGACAGCATTGGTCGGGCAACTCGAGAATAATATTCTAATACTAGTCTGTTTACTTTTATTTTCATTTTGAACAAACTCCTACCAAATGTCAAAAAAAGTAATACGTACTATTATACGTAAATTTAAATTGCTGCACATGCGTTTGTTGCCATTCTTAAATTACTGGCATCTAACAGGTATGACAAAGCAATTTTTGATGCTAGTTAAAAATAAACATGCAAAATTTACCTTTAATAATAAAATATGCAAAGAAACAATAGTTACAGAACAACACTGACAATGATATGTTATGCTTTGCTCTATGCTTACTCAGTATAAATACACAAACAATTAAAACTTTGTGGAAAGTAAACACAATGTAAGCAAAACATTCAATCATTTCTACGTGTCGAGTTTCGACGACTAAGGTGGATATTAGTTTACACGACCAATTGATAATACAAAATCTGCATGGTAGTAAAAATCACTGCAATGGCTTTTAGATCGGTAGGAAATTTGGGCAAGTAAACCACTACCCCCTCAAAACTTAAAGCTGCCGTACGCCTATGGTTGTCAATGCCGTAATCATTATTACCATTTTTAGGACAGAAATTTCACTTCTTCAATTGTTGAGTGGCATATACGGCTGCATATTCTTCATTATGACGGAATAAAATATTTTAAAACTGATCATTTATTTTTTAAAATTGAAAGTTTGGAAGCCATTACAGGAAAATAACAAATTTCAGGAAAATTTGGAAAAATGTTCAGGGGCCGGTTGTAATGCGTTTAAACTAAACGACGTTTGGCCTCTATAAACCGTATAAAGTTCTTATCCGGCGGATAGTTAAACGATGGATAAACTTGAGTTGCACGTTTGAAATAGCGTTTAACTATAAGCTGAAATTTAAACGAGGAAAACAAGAAAAAACCGGTTTTTACTGTTTAATCATTTGGCAACTAGGCGGGAAAACTCGAGAAATATAATTTTAGTATATTTATTACAGTCAGTAAATTTGTTTACTTGCTGAAAGCCTTCGGGTGCAAAAAATTGTAGCGTTATGAAGGCTTATTTTGTCCCAGACGTTGGCTGACTGCAATTTAGTGGACTTTCTTCGTTTTTTCATACGACATGGTGTAAAGAAACTGCCAAAAAGACATAATATCTTCATATAAAATATAGAATACGATTCAAAGTTTCATATGAGTCTTGTAAGACGCCGATAAATTTTTTTTTTACTCTACTCCTATTGTTTGGACATGGTTTTTGACAAGACGTGTTATGTATAGCCAGTAGCTTTTTTACTGAAGCGACAGCGTTCATGCAACTCGTTACTCGTTGCCACTGTAGTACGTTGAAGCGCAGGTCGTCTATTTTACATCGCATTTCACACCTATAAATTCGATCAGCCGGTCTATTTACTTTTTGGAGAGCGTAGAAATGAATGCCATGTAATCTGAAAGTCTTTTGAGAAAAAAAACTGCAAAACAACAACGCTTTATCTGACGTTTAGCGACTTAAACGGTCTCATGAGACCGTTTAAATTTATACGGTGAATTGGCAAAATTTAACTGGTGAACGGGCTTTGTACAACGGGATTTTCAAGTGTTTTAAATTTATAGGGTGGACTGCAATTTAAACGGTAATTAGCGACTTAAACGCCTTTCGTACAACCGGCCCCAGGTAGATATTTGCTACCCCCCCCAAACTGAAGGTCTTTGTGACGTCCCTGGTCTAGCAAAACCATTTTCAGAATAACTGCTTCTAATCTTCATTTCTAAAAATCAGAGCACTGCGACAGCGCACAGAAGTGTGAATCGACAAAAAGGAACGAAAATCGACGAAAAGAAACTATTCAACTGGTCTTGAGAATTACGTAAAGTGCCCCTTTTGGCAAAAATAGCAAATTTTCGAAATTTAGTGAAATTTAGAGGAAAAAAGTTTTTAAGTTGGTCAAATTGTCCCATTTTTAAGGCTGTTTAAAGCTAGAAAAAATGCTTCTTGTAATGGACCTTTTCCATCGTACAAAAAGTCTGAAATAACTTATTTTTGTGACGTCATGCAAAGGACTCATCGATGCAAGATGCATATACCAACTACCTTGGATGACGTCAGAGTTTGGCTAGACCCAGATTTCATGCTACGCCGGACAAAGTGCATTGAAACGCAACTTAAAACCGTCATAAGAAGAAGACAGTTTGACCAACTTCGATAAACTGATAAGTTATATACACCAAGTTTCAATGTTGCAAATAAACGCTTTTACTGGTAGAGACACTTTAACGGTTGCCGTGTCGTGTTTTGATGGCCTGTTCCAAGCACAGTCTTTGACTAACCAGGGCACGCATTATACATAGCTATGTTATGTTATGAATTTATGTTCGTAGTCGCTCTTTTAAATTTTTCCGTTAGTTGTTATCGTGCAACGAAATCTTAACTTCTCTACTACAGCCACGTTCATCACAAAAAATTTAAAAGTAGACAGAGATTCCCTCTGGGATATCTGTAAAAAATCTGCAAGAAATAATTATATAATAACTAGAAGAATTTGAGCAATTTCATTGGTCGAGAGCTATGATCTATAAGAGGACATAAGGACGTCACAGAAAATTTCATGTTTATAAAAACAAGCAAATGGCAGATATATTTGAAAATTTATCGCAATACCTCCCTGAATGGGAAAATAAAGATATTCACGAAGACCTAGTTGAGGCAGTTAACGTATTTGAGCAAAAAGAAAAGAAAAAACCCGGTTTTCAAACATTAATTTGTACTTCGTCTTCGATAACAAAATTTCAACAAAATTGATCAGCCATTGCTTGTTGCTTGTTTATTTTGTGAGCCAATCACATTTTATCACGTGATTCATGTTTGGAATTGATGTCACTTGAATTGTATTCCAAAATATTATCACGTAATTATGCTAGCCAACAGCATTTCTTCAATACTATAGATCACGTAAGCGTTATATTTGCAAAATCAAGACTTTTCAATGTTCCAAGTGTTGGGAGATAAAGAAAACAAAATGTTTGACCGTTTAATTTGAGAATTTTTTTGATTTTATTATAAAAAACAAATAGATAACATTTAACCGTTGTCTATACAGTTAGAGATACACGGGTAAGACGTCATTTGTGATAAAACTAAAAGTGACACTCGCCCCCGACTATCAACTAACCTTGGTAACATTGTCATCTTGGCTGTTACCAGTGACTTCATACTCTCCTGCACGTTGACTGTGACGATAAAGACTTTTCGATCTTGGACGAAAACTACGTCGACTGAAGCTTCGCGATCGTAACCACCCGCTCGAATTAATTCTATACAACAAAAACAGTTTGATTTAAGAAAAGTAATGGTGAAATTGCAAAATGAGAGCGTCAATAGCAAGGCCAAATCTCGTTAAATGCATTGCTTTGAGCCTTCTTGATATAGTTGTTTTAGATTGAAGTGCCTACATAAATGTTAGATCGAATTTAAGAACATTTGCTGTATGTTTGATAGGTGCAAAATTTTATCTTTGTGAACGTTTTAAGGGTAAAAGAAGGCGACTTCGCACCGGAAGTGACGTAAAAAAGATACATGAGCTATAGATGTAGCTTTATAAAGAGGTTTAAAGCTGTTTTAAGCTGTTAGAAAATCTTCTTAAAAAACAGCAATGTAAACTTCATATGCCGAAAAGGTGTATAGTTTAACAACATCTTTTGAACGAATACTCAAAGAAAACGTTTAAAAAGTAAAACAGTTCGGAGGCTATTTCCCACAGAATTGTAATCTTACTGTACGGTATTTATACTTTACGAAAACGAGTGTTTTCTCCTTTTTACGTCACTTCTGGGGCCAAGTCATACTTCTAAATTCGAGAAGTCCAGGAATATAAAGTTTTCGACGTATCAAATATGTTGAAAAAAGAAGTCATTTTCCTGACCCTGGAATAAGAACTTTAAGTGCACAAGAATAATCAAAATTGAATAAACAGCGAGGGAAACAACGTTTGAAAAACCCGATCACTAGCTTTGCGAAATGTGCATCATTTTACGACAAATTTGAACTTCTACTCTAGGATGTTTTCAAAGGATTTTTCATGGATTTTATATGCATACCAGATTTCCATCTTTCAATTCAAAGCCATTCGATGATCAAACAATTCATACGCGAATGCTGGCGTCTATTATTTTATGCTTATTTTCCATCGTGAGGAAGGCTAAAACAGTTAACGTTAAAGGTTGCAATAAATTGCTAAACAAGAATACCTTGCATTGATCATCAATGACGATAGTTCTCCAACTAAATGCTTCCGTATGGCCGTTTTCTCCTCGGGAATATTTAGACATTTGGCAAATTCTTCGGGACCAAACGAATTATTTAAAACAAGAAGACCACCAAAGACACCACTGGAGCGTAAATTACTGGAGTATTCCTGTACAACAGAGATATAGTTGTTGAGAAATGGAGCATAAAATCGTTGAGAAATGAAGCAATTTGATTGGTCAAAGCTATAACCAATAACCCATGTTGTTAAACAATGACATTGCATTCTCGATTGTGATAGGTTAAGAGCCGACTGATGATTCTCAATGTTTACCAGCTACAAAACATTGAAAATTCACTGTACGTGACGTAATTTTTATGTTACAACCAACACCGCACTAAACGTATTATGTTTCAATCTTTTTTGAGACTTGCAAGCGTTTTGCAAACAAATTTGGATAGGATTTTTAAGAATAATGACTCAAAAAAACACAAGCATAGCTACACTGTCTATCAGAAAAGTTTTTGCGAGATAAACAAGGAAGCGAACGACTAAGATTAGTTTATGTGGAGGCACGGAAAACTTTATGACTTCCGTACAAAATAGTTTAAAGTCTTTTGCATTTATAATTGTATTATAAAACAATTGAATTCAGCTTTCCCATGATATCAAGAATCATTCAGACCTCGGTCAAAGTCATCCGCCTCAGATTCGCGAAAGCAGATAACATTGTCCTCGGTCTGAATAATTACTGACACTATCCACAACCTCACCTCATAGTTGTTTAATATAGACCAAGTAATGACGTCAAGTTTATTTGTACTTAGTTTTGGACGTGTTTTGCACTCTGTCGAAAGTCAGTGATGAAAATATTTTTGGTAAAAAAACACTTCCCAATAAAATGAAATCGATAATATTTAGTTATACTAAGATAGTGTTTGAGTCACAATACTTAGTTATAACTGAAACAAAAAGACTACAATACACGTACATCACAATGCATATCCATATCAAAGAGTAAAATTTACTCGCTGGAAAACATTTCCGATCGTTCAACGTAAATTATTTTCAAGGAAATGATTACCTTGAGGTTAATGGCATCACACCAACGAATCACTCTTTCGTTACTCCAAACCAACGGGTCATGATCGTACTCATCGCACTTCTCTTTACGTCTCGCAAGAACCTAGACAAAATCATGCATCGTCTGCAAGTATTTGTGAAGTCGATACAATTGCACATCGATGGGGGAGAGAGGCATTCATGGTAGTCCTGGATAAAACATTCCCCCTTCTTGCGAGCAAATTTCATAAATTAATGTTTACTGCAGAAACTTTAGTTTGCACAACACAGTTATTTCTCGTACTTATCATGGTGATATATACCATAGCTACATGAAGTAACTGTTTTGTTCAAGTTCTTACCTCGCGATCGTAGTCAAGATGCTTGAGAAGATCAACCCCAAAAAGTATGCTTTCCTAAAAAAGTGTACATTTTATAAAAAGGGATTACTGAGATATGATGTTTACTTTCAATGACTGGTATTTAATAAAACGAACAAGAAAGTGAATCAATCTCAAACATTACATCCGTTTTTTTGGTTGGGAAAAACCAATGCGATGTCTTATATAGCCTTGAAAAAATGAGTATTGTTGTTTTGTTTGGTTTTGCATGTTGTAGAGAACAAAAAATGAAATAATTATTTTCGCTGGCTATTAATATATCTGAAAATATCCAGATTAGGCATAAGCAATATGGTAACATCAACTTCTTGCGACTTCAATGTTTTGCAAACCAATCGCTTTAAGAGAATCTAACAACTTTAGGTTCTATACAAAGAGAAAGTGAGCAGACAGACATCAAACCTCCAAAAAATCGGTAGAACTTTGCGCATTTTGATTAAATGAAGATTGTATAGTTGATGACTTCTAACAAACTGAAATTTTAATGATAACTTATTTAGAACATTTCCAGAAAGGTATAGGCTAAATTGAAAAAACCAATGCCAGACACTTTTTTCCCAAAAATTAGTTTCGGAAATATTTCTCGATCAACTAAGCTTACCTGATGAAACTTTGAGGTAATGTTCAAGTATTTTTCAATATCCTTTCTCGTTAATGCAGTGAGAACTCGACCGTCAACCATTTGCGTTTCGAAAGTGAAAGAGTATTGGCTAAGACCAATATGGGCGAGCCAATCGTGAGCGATAAAATGATGATTGATTTCACCTATCTTCGAGTATTTTCTATAGAAACGTTAGAAATTGCACAATATGTTAAATCGCATCATAAAAGATTGTTTAGTACTTAGAAAACACCAACCGTAAGGCTAAATTAATATATTTTGCATAAAAATGTCAATTGCTCCCAAGTTATTTTGTCGAAGAGGAATAGGGTTAGGTCAGCGGCAGTGGCATGCTGGTAAAACACATACATACATATATTTTGTTTCTTTATTAAATTTTGCTTGGGTGAGAGGTAGCCAGCCCCTTTAAAAACGAGCGACTAAGGCCGGTGTCGAGTACTGCAGATGGGAGTCGTAAGGCGGTCTGTACACATGCTCCGTCAGAAAATTTTTAACTTAAGAGGCTCTAAAATTGCCTGGGCTTTACATTATTTCAAATGCATTTTCTAACCTAAATTAAAATTCCACGCTTTAAATTCTTTTTTGTGCCAACCTCCACAAAAAACAACATCAAAAGGGTGGCCCTCTCCCCGCATGCCAGCACACCACTGGTCAATGGTCAACAAACGCAAAGTTGCATACATACATATACAACACATCTATAAATAAATTTAGAAGTCGCGCAGTTTACATTAGTTTTGTGATCAAGTTTGTGATCAATGAGAAAGAGAGCATGATATAATAAGCATTTTACAAATATAACTCGCTTACATTAAACACGCATGCATAAATTCTTAAATATAAGGTGTAAGCGCAGGCAATACAGGTCACGTGACTTTCTTCGGGATAACATCGTTGCAATTCATACACAGGCAGTGAAAAAGGACTGGTCAGGCAGAGTTAAATGGGATAGTAAAGATAATCGTACTCGGTAAAGATTAATTAACTTGACATACAGCATGGGTAATCGATACAAAACTGTAGTTAATTAAAGCAAAATAGTACGTAGTAGTTACTATACATACCACTGTTCTTTGTTTGGCAACTTGTTTATAATCTATTGGCTCTTTGTCCCATCACTAACCTATCAAACTATTTTCATGCCGATGAGCAGTTTCTTTTTAGTGCCTGTATATGATAATGGTTGATAATCACAATATGGCGCTTGTGATCGTTGCTTTATGCGACAGGCATACGTCTGCAGTCGAGTGAAAACACTAAGTGTGGAAAAAATGAAAAACTAGCTGCTAAGGCTTTCTAAAGGACTGCGTTTCTTGTGCTGCGTTTGCAATTCGTATACAAATAAACAGGGACGTGTTCGCGAGGCAGCCGTGGGGGAGCACTGTTATGAATAAACACGTCAAATTTTGAATATTAAACAACTAAACAGTGGCATGCTGGCTGAGAGGCTGGGAGTGCTCTAATGAATAAGGGTCGCCAAATTTTGAATTTATTGCTGGAAAAATTCAAATTTTGAATTTATTGTATTTGAAACTATACATTAAGTAGTATTTTACATGCAAGAGTTCAAGAAATGACATTTTAGAGCTTTATCATATGAAAATTTTTGGGAGTAGCATGCCCCCAGTCCTCCCTAGTACGACTCACACCTTTGGTGCTCGACACAGACTCAAAAAAATGCCATATCTTGAAAGCGCGTTTTCAGTGAAAAATTGTTTCCATCACGCCAAGGAAACTATAGATTGCTTAAACTCACATAAATTACATACACAGAGGCGGGATGGCGAAAATCCTCGATCGCCAGGCGTATCTTCCTTCGATGCATATAACTTATGATTCCCAGACTCCTAGATAACTCGGCGTCACTCATGTCAGCAAGAATTCGGCCACTTTTCACGTTCTCCATACACCGATCTGTATACATAGGCATCTGAAGGTGTACATGTAAAAAAGCGATGACTGCGGGTGACTTCCATTGTGATATAGGATTCGATTTATTGTTCTCCCACAATTGAACAAGATCCGACACTTCGCTGTCGAAATCGTCGCTAACAGACGATACCGGAAGACCTTTAAGACAGAGAGTTGTCACGATGGAGGGAAGATTAAGGTTTTTTACAGTGAATGTAAGGCTGTTAAATTAAAAATAAGATAATTACTGTGTTCGTACAGGTTTATTATGCAAACCAATTAAACCAATGAAAGCCCTGGACCGCAGGTCGAGGGTTACATCTGCTCGAGAGTCCTCTTAAACATCTCCGTGATTTTTAAAAGCCAGTGCAAACATGAAAACCATTTTTTTATTTCTTTTATAAAATAAAAATGATGCGAAATTTTGAAATTCATGTTTCTTAGAAGCCAAATACACAATTTTACCCATTTAAAGCGTACACTAAAATTGAATTAATTTTAATCTGCTTTGCATTTTGATTTCGAATTAATTTTGAGTGAAATTTAAGAAGTCAGTTTAAAAATTTAGAACTTAATGTCAAATTTTTGCAAAATTCAGATATTTCACCATCTTACGGAAAAAGCACTTTGGCATGACACACAGGTCCGCACGAAAAGGTGAGCCAGGCTGGCCCTGCCTCATTTTTACGGAAGTCAGATTTTCATCCCATCTTTAAAAACGGTGCGCTGCCACTGTTGCATAACATCCAAATACTCTGTCTTTAAAAGATCATTACATTTTCACTTCATCGATTAAGTTACCTTTTAAGTCCACCGATTTCCTTTTACTTCGGCTGAACACTCGTACTAGTCCCAAACGGCCGTATCGTTTCCTCTTTTTGAAGTAAGTCGACTCATTTTCGTCAGCATTCCCGTGATTCGAAAACACCTCGCAGATGGTGTTTTCAGATGCCAATGAATCTAGAAATATTGCAAAGACAATCAAAAGAAAACGCATGACAAAATAAGGAAATTTGCATGAAATAAATTGACAAACAGTAAGGTAAAATTGATACAAGGCTATCTAATGCATTCAGGATCTAACATTTAGCAAATAGATTTTAAGAGAACATCATTCTTCAAAATATAGACATTTCAAAACATCGTGTTTAAAGACCTGAAATGGAGTTTTAACAACAAAGATTTGATGCTTTGAAAACTGAACAACAATACATGCTATCACTGTCATTATGGCATTTTGAATGAGAATTGAGCAAGTGTAACATATTTTGACTACAGCTGAGTCTCCCACGGAGAACGAGTACATGCCAAGAGTGCGTGCTACTAAATCAACCGTAAATAACCAAGATTCACCATTTACTTTAAACACATCAATATAATGCAGTTTTGAGCTCATTGAACGTTTTGGCCGATTTGTGTGACGAAATATACTCCACGGCATTGTCATACAAATCAGGAAGGGCAAGGCGACATAGTGGGGCAAGCCGACTCTTGTACAATTTGTGACAAATTTAGCTCAATATCCGTGCATATCACAAGCACGTCACAAAAACAGGAAAATTCAAACAACATATTCCCATGTCGTTGTACTATTTTAAAATCCTACTTTTTTGCACAGCTTTTAAAAGGAAACTTGTAAAACTGTTGAGTACCACAATACCACAAAAGTACCACAATATTCTAAAGCCATCATCATCATGAAAGAAGTGTGATATAATTCTAATCTTGTTTCCACAACATTATTATTCGTATTTCTATAATACTTCCACGTTGCTCTGCGGGGTTTTTTTGCCATTCTTATTATGTTATAAATGCAGACTTAGCAAATTGTTTATAACACATTCCATTTTATAACTATGGACCATAACATAAAACGATTTACAGCCTTCATTAACAATTTTGAGCAATACACAATTGTCGACGATGTTTTAATTTAAAACTTATCGTATTATGTACACGATGTTTCACACAGACGTAGAAACATCAGGATGAGCAAAAACAAAGATAAATGATAACCCATCATATGAACATAAAGAAGCCATCGCCAAAACAAGGTTTTTGCACTTCAGAAAGACAGAAATCGCAAGCAATAGCCAACACCTAAAAACCGCATAGATCTTGTTGGCAGCTCTATAACCTCTCTTGTGGTTTTGAACACACCAAAAACCGACATAATAGACATATCATGTTTGGAATTGATGTCACTTGAATTGTATTCCAAAAGACTTTTCAATGTTCCAAGAGTTGGGAGACAAAGAAAACAAACTGTTTGACCGTTTAATTTGAGAATTTTTTTGATTTTATTATATAAAACAAATAGATAACATTTCACCGTCGTCTATACAGTTAGAGATACACGGGTAAAACGTCATTTGTGATAAAAACTAAAAGTGATCACTCGCCCCTGCAGCTCGTGGCCACTTTTTGCGTTTTTATCACAATTGACGTCTAACCCGTGTATCTATAACTGTATAGACAACTGTTAAATGTTATCTAATTGTTTACTATGTTATGTTAAGTATATATTTACGAATATAATTAGCATGAGGTTATTCGGATAATCTAGACGAAATAGTGTTAGCGAACATGTTTCAAACTTGTTGTCGAAATATTACAAATGACGACTTTCTTAATATTCATTGTATTGTTCTTGAAAAAATTTATGCGAAACGAAACCGCACCAGATTCATTTTAACGATAAAATCCTTTCAAGCATACAGTACTGCTCAAAAGTAACTGCGTTCGCGTTCCATTTGCGTTTCGAACGCGTCCCGAACGCGTTCCAAGAAAATTTGAGGACACGGTCTGAACGCGCTCCCGATTGTTCAAATAAACTCGGTATAACATGGAACTTTCCGAAATTGAACACTTATATAGCGAGTGTAAATGATAATTACCGATCAATGGAACGCAACTGGAACGCATTTTGGAACGAGTTCGGTACGCGTTTTCGGTAAACTTACTTCTGAGCAGTACTGTACAGCGAGAGCACGTTCTTTATTTCTAGAATCATCCATCTTGTCAAGCGAATATGATTACCGCAGACATGAATTTTAAATTTTATGTACTGTCTTTTCAACTTCATCGTGTGGAAAAGGCTATTGTGCCCATGTAGTTCGGAGAAAATAAGCGCATACAAGGATCTTTTGCCATATATTATAACATTTATCTTGATTCGCGCGGCTTTGGAAAATGTTTACGTTGTTGCTAATGCATTTTTATACGATGTATCTCGTTAATACAAGATTATCGTTGCATAATTCAAACAGAAAATGAAACCTTCATCAGAATATGACTGTCTCCCGCATGAATAATGACCGCATAGGGTGAAAATCAAGTCGCTATTTACAAATGAACTTCTACCACGTTTTCGTTGTGAAAGGGATTTGTGTGAAGCACAAAAGGGAAAAGAAAGGAAAGCACGCGTTGTAATATCGACAAGCAAAATATGCGAAAAGGCTTTTAAAAATTTTTGCCAGCGATCAATATCGATAGACAGCTTTAATGCAAATTCAAACAGCAATCAATCGAATTTAGTAAAATAACGACGAGGCTAATGGAGTTCGTGAATATAGCAAAGATAATCGCAGTCTAGTGTAAATAAACTTTCTAAACAATAGTGTAAACAATCGCAAAATGTATTGCACACATAAACGCACATCCGAAATCCTTGCCTATAAATTTCCAAACAAAACGGCTGGTAAACTTAGTAAATTTCTGAAATATTACGCCTACATACCTTCTCTACGAGTTGTACTTTCAACGTGGCTTAAAATGCCCGAATCGTGGGCGGTTGTTGCAGCATTAGAACGGTTCGTTTTATGATTGTCCGATTTGGAAACGGGACAGTTCAAAGTCAACTGGAGTCGCGTCAGTTGATCTTTGACTTCTGAAAGTTCTGTTTGTAGTACTTTTACTTCGATATCTTTAGTGTCCAAGACTTGTTTAAGCTGTGATATTTGATTCGGTTGTGTGCTATGCAGTAGTTTTTTTTCTTCCATCCATGAAAGTCTTTCGTTCGTGATATCTTCAAATTGTCGTTCGGACTCTCGCATTCTCGCCTCGTAACTCGTAATGAAGTCCCTCAGTTCGCTTTCCTTGTCTTCAATAATGCAATAAGCTTCCCTCAGCTGGCCAAGCAAATCATGCTTTTCGGACTTCAATCTTCTTCGCTCGTTGTTGATACAGTTTATCGTTTCATGTGCACGAGCGATGTCGTCCTTGTAGGAGCGAACTTGTTCATTCAATCTCTCGACGTTTTCAGACTTAACCAAAAGTTCTTGAAAACAGACATTCAAAGCATCATATTTCGCTTGAATTTCGGCCTTCTCGGCTAAAACTCTTCGTAGCTCGTAGTCGTCCGAGTTTCTTTCGTTTGAAATATCCTTCATTTCGCCCTTTATATGAAGCGCACCCAAACGACGGTCTTGTTTCTGAAGTTCGGCTCGTAATTGTTCAACGTCGCGATTTACTGCACCCAAAGCAGTGCCGATTTTGTCGATATCAAGAATTTCTCCTGCTTCAGTTTCTTATTTTCGTTCTCTGCATCTTCCATGAGTCTTCTCATGACACCCAAACAAGAAATCAGTTCATCGCCAAACTCCTGAAAGGCTATCTTCTCGTTTATTTTACCGGTCGTCTGAGAGGAGACGCGTGTAAACAATTGATGCTTCTCTCTCAACTTCTCAAATTCGGAAATAGCAGCATTTAGCTTCGGGCAAGGGTTATCCGTTATTTGAGCCGAGCTTTTGTTTCTATTCATAGATTGGGCCATGGTTTGCGGCCTTTTGTTCGAAGAAAGAGCTTGAAAACAACAATAGTGTCACCAGAAATAGTGACAGAGGAAAATAATATTTGAATATTGGAGAATATTGTGCGAAAAATCGTCACTTCCGTTATGCAAATTCAGGTTTTGCTTGCTAAACACGGTGTCTCAAAAAAACCTTGAGAAATTTGTTTATTGTTGAAATTTTAATGGGAATGAGTGTATTACTGTGCAGATTTTGCTGTTAGAAGTTATTTTATGTTCCTTAGGGCTGGAAGCCGAAAAGCTCGTGTGCTTGTTAGAAAAATACGTTATGTATGCAGCGCATAATGCACATAGCAAATTATCACAAAACGTCAATTTGTTTAAGGTATTGTTTTTTATACACTCTGTCTGTAATAAGACCACAGTAAAGTGTGGTAGAAATAATTTGGAAAATACCAAAATACCACAAATTCTTTTGATATCCTTTAAATTACGTACTTTTGACGACAGAAATTTATTCACAAACGAGCTTAATAAATAAGAAGCGCCAATATAAACAAAACCGAATACGACGTCCGGCTGTTTTTCGACACTTGGACGAGTGAAGGTGTCCCTGCCTTTCTCAAAGCCAATTTAAAAGAATGCAGACTAAAATTTCTCGCCGTTTTTGTTATTAAATACATGCACGATGAAGAAAGCTTTCTACGTAGCTATGATGTTTGTAGATCAAGTGATCATACTCATTTAAGTTGAAAACTAAAAAAAATTAAGCTGCTACAAAACGTTACTACTAAAAATAAAATTATTTTTTAAATTAATGGAAATAATCCATATTGATGATAGTTAACTGTTTACAGTACATTTTGATTTTACGCTAAATTTGGCTCGGAAACTTGAAACTAATCAACTCAGAGCAATGTTCTTGTATGATTTAATTAACAAATAGTTAACATTTAAGCGTTGTCTATACAGTTGTAGATACAAGAATCAATTGTGATAAAACGCAAAAGTGGCCACGAGCTGCAGGGGCGAGTGTCACTTTTAGTTTTTATCACAAATGACGTCTTACCCGTATATCTCTAACTGTATAGACAACGGTTAAATGTCATCTATTTGTTTTATATAATAAAATAAAAAACTTCCCAAATTAAACGGTCAAACAATTTGTTTTCTTTGTCTCTCAACTCTTGGAACTATGAAAAGTCTTGATTTTGCAAATATCACGCTTACGTACTAAATGTACCAAGTGCCTGTCCTCTGGTGCTCCTATCTAATACGTATATGCATTACACCCACGTGATCATTAACCAATCATTTAACGCAATTATTGCCAACTAATTAAATCAATTAACAATTTCTACAGTTAGATTTTATTGGGAGGAGGGAGTTCAAGTAAACTCTCAATTAAAAATGAAGTTCTTTGCCTTTTATCAGTTAATTTTACAAACTATCCATTCTAAAGTTTCGTGCAACCGACGCAAGAACGTAAATTTTTGTTGAAGCGCTATAGCAAGAGCTAAAGTCAAATCCAAGAGTACATCGTATGGTACGAAAAACCGATAAACTCTAAAGTTTACATCTAAACTGCAATGAATCAGTGTCTAAATATAATCGCAAGATTTTATACTCCGTTGGTGCGGTGCAAAGGCAATCGCGTAAAAAATCTATCCAGAGGGGTAGCTAATTGCTTTAGAGTAAAAAAGATTGACAGTAAAATTTCTGCAAATACTAACCATTTTCAGAAATGAGAGAGGAAATTATAGTGCAGAACATTAAACTCTTTTAAAATAGCCTGTGCAGTGCTTGCGCCAGACAATGATGCAACTTAAAAGCAATTGGATCACACGTGGTGTAAAATATAGCATATGCTATTTACGACGTATCAAAATTCTGGAAATCTGGCTAATGCGTACCCAAACACTAGGCATCCAAATCACGAATTCATTTTCAAATGCCATTCCTAAAGTAAGCGTGTTCATATATTTAGGTTTATTCAATAACAAATCATGCATAATTAATAAAACTGGAAATTAAACCTTTTCACAGTAATATTTTTGACTGACTTCATTTCGTTTAGTTATTGTTGCCAATTGACAACTGTTCAATATAAAGGGTCGAAAAATAAAAATGCAAATGTGACAATAGCGTTCTACTTATGCCAATTTTCAGAGCTATAGCTGTTTCAAAAGTTTTTCGTCGGCGAAATTCTCAGTCGAAAAATGTTTATTTTTATGTCACAAATTTACATTCAAATAAAGTCCCTGTATTAGAAGGACATCAATTATAGTATGCAAAACTGATAGCAACAAATAAGTGCAAAATATATTTCCCTTTTACATATATTGAGAACTGTAAATTATCGCTAAGTTCATAAATAAGTATTTTTGCTAGTTAAGTTAGTTAAGTCATAATTAAATTTATCTTTTACAGTGAACATGTGTTTTGCATAAATAAATTAATTTATTGCCTTCAGTGATGAACTACAGTTAAAAGTTTCATTTTTCGTATTATTTAGCACTGCTTTGCTTGCGTGACTGACAAAGTTAGAAAGTCTAAAATAAATCACAACATTCCATGCCTCGAAAACGTTAATAAATGTAACTAAAATCTTTTCATGAAAGCTTTTCTACAATGCGGTGAGTTCTTTTTTGTGACTTTGAACAAACTTTTCAAAGGAGCAGACTTTGGGATTGAGTTTCTTTGTTAGTTCAACACTTCGCTCAAAGTCAATTCCCTCTTGATAAAATCGATACATACTTGCCATCTCCACGCCAGCAGGATAAGGTAACATAGCATGTCGTTCGAGTGTCTGTTTCGAGTCCTAAGAAAATTAATAAAGGCATGTTATTTGTACATTTAAAGGAGCAGGGTCATCGTGTGCGCATGTTTTCTGCGCGCATAAGAAATGAAAAACCTGATTTTATTGACTAAATCGGGCTGAAATCAGTGCGACCGTTAATGAATAGTTTATAATAAAAAATTCGTTGATTGGTGCAAAACGCTTCTCCCTTTTCCAAATGTTGCAATAATCTAATCAGCTGGAGCTATCTAAGCTCATTAGATCTGGTAATAAAAATTACCAAGTCTGGTCATACTGGCTAATATAAATCACATCCGTGATATTCGCCATCTTCAATTGACTGAGTCGAAATTCTGCTAAGAAAGAATTCAAAATTTTAGTGTACTCATAATGATTATGCCCTTTAGGCAATATAAACGCTGATAAGCCTCGTCACAATAATTTTAATTTAAAACTTTACCAATCGAAAAGAGTAAATAAATTCATCGCGTTAGTTGTGATATATTGTACTATTATACTTCACCCCACCGTGCCTATTTTTATGACATTATCAAGGCGTTGGAAAGACATTAACCAAGGTGAAGTTGGGAAAAATTAAAAAGGAAGTGAATTGTAGTAAATTATATGCAACAAACTGCACGATATCGTGATTGCTGACAATGGATGTATCATAGTATTGGGCATTGCCATATATGAAAATTGAGGGTAACTTCCACAACTGAAAAAGATTGCTGAACGTTTAGAAACTAAAAAAATTACCTTCATTAACAGCAATAAATTTAAAAAAGTTTGAGCCCGAGAGTATTGCTGCATATTTGTAGATCTAGATTGTCAAGGTTAGTAGAGCCTTGAGAAGGACTGTTGATGTTGATGTTGACCGACGTTTCGACACCCTTAGTCATCTTCTGAGTCAAGAGTCAATAAGGTTGTAGAAAAGTCAGTTCTTCATCAACACAAACAGTCCTTCTCAAGACTTTACTAAACCAAGGCAATCCACATCTACAAACAGGTAATTAAATGCAAACTTGGTTGAAAATTTGCAAGAGTCTGCAAATAGTTATCCAGAGCCAAATGTGATAAATCATGGTGATCCATTGACAAATAATGGATAGCGAAAGAAATGAACAACTCAAATTTTTCGGCTATTATATTTTGAGAAGGTTGTGTTTCATATTTTTGTAGGGCATTTGAAGGGAGAATGTGAACATATGTGCATTTTTTCAGCAAATAACAGCTATCAAATCCATCGTTTGTTTACCAAAATTTACACGTTTGCCATAGTCAACGCTAGACTAGCTCAACGTTCAGTTATGAGTGCTAAGTTCCATTGAAAATCAGTTGTTTTCTGTGGATTATATGGCATACAAAAGTGAATATTGCCCTCCCTCCCTCGAATTATCAATGCTAGCTACGGAACTGACGCCATTTGGTCTACAGGAGATGAAAAGAAGGGCAAAAACAGCACATGTGAAGAAAAGAAAAGCAAGGAGTGATGCTACTGGACAAGGGGGGTTACATGCATAAATGCATGTTACAACACGTAAAAACTACGCTCGCTATATGAATTTTGCCCACTCCCACCCCAATTACTGATTCTCCTTCAACAGCCTGGCTGCTCGTCAAGATCACTGCTTGGTTCATTAATTGAAACAATATTCCAATATTTACCTTGAAAACAAGAGGAGTAAGGTTTTTTGTGAGTATTTCGCAATATTCATTCACCGTATGGATTCCACCAGCTAATCCCAGCACTCTTTTTGCGTATGTTTCTGGATCATCCAAAATCGCTGTTTATTTAATAAAAAAATACCACGGATTATTGAGCACTAAATATCAATCAACTGAAGGTGACACGAGATACACTCTTTAAGTTTTAATTCAATCCACAGACAAGTCTGGATTAATTATTGTTATATATCGATGTTGGTGTATTACTTACTGATGACGCATCTTCCTACGTCACGCACGTCAATTCCAGGCAAAGGAGAATTTCCCATGGGTATTGCGACGTTTCTCGTACCATCTGAGCTTGGAAGAGGTTTGTTAGATGTCAGAAAGGTGTTGAAATAAATCGGTAATCGAATAATTGTCCAGTGCTTGGTTGACGGGAAATTGTTTTGAATGTATTCTTCGATTCTTCCTTTGGCGTCAAAGTGAGCTAAACACGACAAAAATATAGTTACATGAAAAGTATCATCGGTAAATTTACGGAAGGAACCATCTGGAAATCTTTCATTTTCCATCAACGTCAAAAACGAAAGGCATCTCAAAAAACCCTGGTCATTTATAGTTGTAGCAATTTTCTCCTTTGCGCGTTGGCACAAAGCAGTTATGAGTCTGCCGATTCGTTTTTGGGACTGTATGCTTTCCAATTTGTATGCGCAGTCGACACACAATTTGCAATTTTACTTATAACTATTTCAATATAACTATTTTATATCACAAATAAACATTTTAAGCTTTTGCATTCACAGCCAGGAACGGAAGAAGCCTGACATTGTGTGACAACTAATAAATGTTTTTCATAAGTTCCTATTTCCGTTCTTCCTTAAGTTCATAGTATCGAATTACAATTATCCTATTATTTATTTAAATAAGTTCCGATAACAGTGGCGTAAATTTGAACCAGGCTTCCAGTGGTGATTCAGGGATTGGTTGCCCCCTCCACCAAAATCTGACGATATAAAACATCTTCTTAATAATTGCTAAGAGACATAATATAAACTGGATTTTAATTTGTATGCATAAAAATACCAAATATAGTGCTTTCAAAAAGCAAACAGGAACACAAATTCACGAACGATATGAACGCACTTTTTCATTTCGATTTTCATAAAGAGCACATTCCAGAAGGCACCCCTTGCAAGCTAACTAATGCGGGCCTGTTGCTCTCCTGCCCACTTAGAGCTCATAGCAGTTATGCCATTGGTCATTTAATTTGCCCTTAAAAGCTCTCTACGTTGTTGACTTATATCGAAAAAAGGTCCCACAGTAAAGCAAAATATACTAAAATCAGTTACCCGCATATTAAAGTAAAGAAGCTCCGAATTTATGCCATATATGCACTTATACAGCTGTTAAGAAAACATTTTCTAGATGGTCGTCAGTAAAAACCCATATGCCCTTGTTGCCCACCAAGTCAGTTACCCTGTTGGATTATTAAATGCCTTGCACTTTAATATATATTTGGTCCGTATATCATAGATCCTGCGATCTTACTCCGCCGCCATCCCCAAAAGAACAGTCCGAACTGCCCGTTCACAGGCGACTACTCAATTTTATCGTCAATTAACTTCTTTATTTCTGCAGGAAATATCTGAAATTTTACGATGTGAAGTGTTTGTTGAGAGAAAAGGCATGTTCATTTCCTGATATTGACAAACTAAGATAGCAAGTCCTGAAAACAAAGCATGTAGAATAACATGTTGCTCAAATATGTTAAATTCTTTCATTCTATTTTACAAGAAGAGTATTTCCTGATACTGACAAAAATTTTAAAGACAGCAAGTCCCAAGAACAATGCACGTAGAATAACATGTAGTTTAAATACGTCAATTTCTTCGATTCTTTTGTCGATAGCTCAAAAACGAAAACCTTTCAGTCATTGATTACATCATATCCTTTCTATGATCGTTAAGGAAAAAAGACTTCCGTAGTAACCAAAAATCTTTAAGCATTCTACTTTACATTTTTACAATATGTTAATTCTGCTCGATATGAACAAAGAGGTATTCAATAATTATCTTGATGACGTCGTAGGTGAAAGAATGTCCAGCGAAAAAGCTCATTGAAATATCCTAGCGTAAAGTTAAAGTAAATTCTACAACCTACTATTTTGTTTGCTTGCTTTCTTTCTTATAACTCTCCTGACTGGAAAGTTTGAGCGGAATTCATACGTTGGCGAATCTCCTGTCGTGACAAATTTGTATAAAACATTCCTCCTAGTATCAACAAATTAATCGACTACGATACAAACGCAACCATGCGTTCGACTTTTATCTTATTTAAATGCCATTCATTAAAACTTCACTTAAACCAACAAAATTTGCTGACATTTAGAGAAACTATTCGGGAGCCATATTTGGCATTAGTATTATACGTGATTTGAATAGTTCTCCGGAAAACAGTCGCTGCATTTACATGCCAGCTTATCAAACTTGTGTGTATCACTCAGAGTTGAATTAGAAAATAAAAATAGTGTGGTAAAAATTAGCAATAGTGTCACAATTATTTCTGTGTAAAATACTAAACAAAAAAACTTACGGCATGGATAGCCTCGTAGTTTTTTGACATATTCCTGGCCGCTGAAGACTAAATGTTGTACACCTTCTTCGATACAAGCATCTATGACGTTCTTTCCTTGCCGATACTCTCTTTCCTCATCGTGATGCTCCCAGAAATTTGTCACAAGAAAAACACCGTGAGCATCTTTCACAGCTTTCTTACATGCCTCGATGCTATCGAGGTTGGCCCTCATCAACTCGGCTCCTTTCCCTCGAATGATCAACGCTTTTCTGTTATCGGTGGACTTCGCAACAGCTCGTATGCGGTATTTACCGTGCTCCAACAACGCACTCACGACACTGAAACCCTGAGCTCCGGTGCCACTAAATACGGCTATCGTCTTACGCGGCATTCTATTGAACTGTGAAGAAGAACTATTGATAATGTATAAGGTAGTGGCTGATGACTCTTAAAATACCTGGCTTTCAAACAAATGGCTCAATCATTCACGATCGCGCGTCTATGTAGGTATAACGTATTCACATGCAAATATACACAATAGTTTGTAAATTACAAACGCCCCCACCACTTAAGAACCACTTAGGGACACATACATGCAATAACCTGAATGCTCGAGAAGAGAACAATGTCACTAATTGCAGGAACTGAAGTCAAATGAGAATAAATCAACATTTTAAAGAGATAAATAGAACAATTTTCATACCAAATTGTCGATCTTGCCCAAACAAGAATGTTCTTTGCATGACAATCGAGTGCTAGCTAGTTCTTAGATTAAATTACCATGTTGACCGAAATGAATAATAAACTGTGAAGGCAAAGTACAACTCCACATCACACGAATGCTATTAGCTTACACAGTACAATTAGTTAGAAATCAATCTTTGTTTTATGGTATTTTCAATGAAATTCCTGAAAGCTGAAAAGTGACATCACGAAACTTTATAAAAATTCAACCATATCATAGGGTTGTAATATTTTCATGTTGACTTTTTGTGGAAACCTTTTTATCTTATTATCAAAATCCCTTCATCTTTTCTCTGTTCCAACCAACAATTAGAGACATTTTATTGAAAGAATTGAAAGTTCTGCAGACTATTTTAAATTGAATTGTCAGTCGAAGCGCCAAAAACGTGAGCATAACGAAAACCAACTAATCAGTTTGATTATTTGTCGTTCGTGACTCAATATTGATTCATCAATTTATTCAATGTCTAGTTCCTTCGTCCAACTTTATAAGTTCATTGCTGTTCATGCATGTACAGAAAAAAACTATCAACGATACTTGTTATGTTGTGTTGTCAAGTGCATGATTTCATTCAAATCGTAATAAGCAAAACTTACCCTTGGAGAATCACGTTCTTGCAGTAATTTATAGTGACTGGTTTCTCATTTATAGGTTAGACAGGCAACGAAAGTTTCTTTCCAAACACAATGGCCATATATAGCTTCTTTACACAATTACGACTACTGCTGTTCTTTTAATGACACACATGTGACTCTGATAAACACCTGATTATCATCTGATCACTACCTCGTATGACACAATCTTTGACCCGTGTATCTTTACACGACATAAACTGAACTGGGCTCAACCCAAGTTAAAATTAACCTGGGTTTAGCACAGGTCAAATAATTTCTGAGTTTACCTAAGCTTATCGCATTTTCTAGAGTGACAAAGTTGCTGTATTTCATGTTGTTTGACTTGTCTCATCGTAATTTACTTGTTGACAATGGTAAGGACCGTTTTAAACGTACAACCTCACATGAGCCGAATTCACATTTAAAACAAAGGACAATTATAAATTTTATCTCATTTTCTTTTTTCTTCAATTCATTATGCGCATGTAAAGCTTAACATCTGAAACGGGCCTTAGCGGGCTGAAATAAATTATTCAAGAAGAATCAAAGCTATTGCAAAAATTAAAGCGGGTCAGGTTTCAGCTTTAACTGAAAAGTTAGAGGGATGACTCAAGAAATGCTGAGCAAGAGTTTTTCATTCTAGTTTGCGTCATCAGCATCATTACAACGACGTCATTAGTATTTCCGCTGTCAGAGAAAAATGTCCGCTGCTGAACGAGAAAACTTGCACAAGCAAACTCAATCACCCAGTCATAAAACCATTTTGGGCAATTCAGACCTTCCTAAATATGGATTACTGCATATTTATGTACAATTTTTATGCTAAACAAGATAATTTTAACCAAGGTTGTTGATAATTTTGTTTGTTGATAATTTTAATCAATGTTTATCAGCGAACCGATAGGTGGTAGTTCTTTGTATAACCCAAAGAATTTTTTAACCGATATTTTGAATCTACCTCTAAACATATTTCGAATGGAAAAACTATTTTTATAGGGTGTATAATAAAATTAGATGAAATACTTAACTATTTGCGTAAATGCATTGAAATACATAAAAACATTCTTGAAAGAATAAGAACATAAAAGCTTTGAGTTAAAACAAAGAACAACTCAAGTTTACGCATCTCCCGCGACTACTTTTTTACTCTTCATCACATTTTCTGAAATTTTCATATTTTGTAAACCAACATTAAAACCTATAGTACAAGAAAACAAAATTGATTTTTATCATCTTAATCCTGCTTCCACAAACCATTTGGAATGCAGTTTCTGTACACCGCTCTCCCGGTATTTCGATACTACTTACTTCACTTTTCTAAATTTGTATTTTGCTCTATCTATAAACATATGAGTGAGTGCTTATAGTGCTTATATAAACTATAAAGAGTGCTTATATAAACATATAAGCATTCTTTTATCTTGTGTACTTTTCATTTAATCTTACATTTTTATTGTCATATATAGATCAAATCGAGAATACTATAAACTATGAAAGTAGCCATAATAACATAAATCTTTGAAATGTTAAACTACGGTTAAAGTTTACTAAGGCTTGTTTCAAACGTCGCATTTTACTTGAGCCGAATGCATTTAAAACAAAAGAGAATGAGATAAAATTCCTCATTATAGTTTTTATATACCTGTAGATCACGCAAAATCACTCATACATATATATGTCACGCATCCGTAATAATTTACCCCTAATTAAAATGACCTAAATCAACATTCAGTGAAAAATGATTTATTGCATGTTAATGACCTCTCATAAATTGAAGAAAAGCTATCAGCCATTAACTCCACATAGGCCTATGCAGCATCGCTCCCTGCTTGCAGCACGCCACTGGGTTATGAATTTCTTTAAAATAAAATTTTGCCGATCGAGTGGATTTTAATGTGTCTGGTATTTTAATTAAATGCAAGAATGAGCTTCAGTAATTTATTTTAACATACCGTAGATCTGCCATTTTAGCTAAAAGAGAGTTTCTGTGTGCAAAATGATACATATATGTCCTTATTTTTGCTCTTTATTTTTTAATGTTTTGCTAAGCAATTAAGGAGCCAATTACTAAAAGAAAATATAAACACATGCAAACACATATCCTTCTCACCTACATATGACGCATGATCAAGCTACACATAAATTGGTTAATCTAAAAATAATGTTTCCCCAAGAGTCTGAAGATGAATATCGCTCATCTGAGATCAAAACGTCCGACTGATTTATGATCTAAAAATTTATACATATAATTTAATGACCGTTTTGACGAACAAAAAATAACTCAATAACTGAGCTCAGACAGCTGCAGTCATTTACCTGTCTTTAGATTACTATATATACTTCATTCACATGGAAGCATGTGAAAAAAAAGTTAAATTGAGTTGTTATTTGCATATACCTCGGTGATTTACCAAAAATTGACTTGAGATAATTTTTTCTTTACTCTTATACTACACCCATGAATTTTCTCAATTTAGCAATAAGATATATACGTGAGGAAATTCTCTGCCAAGGGATGCCATCTCCCAACAATCGTCAAACGAAATTAGAGTCTAATAAAATAATAACACCATTTTCGTAACATCACCAACTAATCAACTAAAACGCTCTCTTAGTGTTAAGACAATGTGAGTTTTTAATACATATATTTTAATACATGTATTTAATACATACACATAATTTCCATTACAAGTATTTAAAGCAATAACAGTTTTGCAATTGGTTGTGTTCTTTTAGTCGCTCATAAAATAATTCGAACGCTCATTGCTCTGCAGTCAACAAAAACTACAGTTTTTCAAAATCAGGCAGTAGTTATTCACGATACGAATTTGTTGTTTGACACCTTCATGTCCATATTGCTTTCTGACGTCAGGAACGATACATGTAGAAATAAATGCATGGATTAAGCAGATCTGATGTTTTAGAAAACATTGATTGATATTCGCGATGCCAACTCTCGCTTTTTAATGCATCTTCTATAATTATCTTTCAGCATGTCAAACTCTTTACAAACTACACTCTCTAGATTTTGAAAAGTAAAAACCTGTATATCAAACTTTGTTAAATGCATTTGTCAGAAGATGTTATGCCCTTCATAAACATAGTTGTTTAGTAGCCAATGAATATCAACTTCCATATAAAGCTCATTTAATACTATCATTTCTTAATTAACTGGCATTTTGATGATCAGTGTCACGTCACTGTTATAATTGTATGGGTGAGTATCACATATGAATAATATAATGTTTTAATAAATAGAAGGTGTAATATGTACTGCTTGCTTATTTTTACTCATAACGGCTCTGTTGTATAAGTTTTGTAAACTGAACATATCGCTTCTCACAGGTGAGATAGCTACTTGTTTTGTTAGACCGTCAACGATTGAAAAGCAATTATACATGCACTTGAAAAGCCATAAAATACAAATTAAAGATCGTATTTTTTAAGACTGACTTGAACGCCAAATATACTGATGTTTTCCTGTTTTTTTTTATAAAACTTAGCATACTTTTCTGTCATTTGTTAATGCATGAAATCGTAAACTTACCAGTCTATTTGCAAAATAGTTTCCCTAAAGCAAAAAAGACCCTGCACACATTTTGCTCTGTGAGTAAGTATCAAAAAGAAACGATCAGCTCAAACAGTACCCATGATTTGGAGCAGAGCTTGTTATGTTCTATTTGCTGACAACATGCAGGGAAGATCAAGGAGTAAAGATGACTGGAAGATGTTATTGACCAGGCAGAGTCTTATAAAAATGATAATGCTGTAAAGGTAATTGATTTATTGTCTTCCCTATCCAGAGTTATTTAATTTGATCATGGTCAAATTCTATGGATGGAGACAATGGATTCACTAATGAAACCTTGAATGCTTTGAAGTGAAAGTTCATGAAGCAAAGAAAAATGGCAAGAAGGTATTGTGTGTTTTGATGCTTAATGAAATTTCAATTCACAAACATATAAAAGGGGAAGGCCATAAAGTTTGTGTCTATGTAAACATTTGTACTGAGATTGATGATGGCTTGATGCAGATGTAAAGCTTCAAACTGTCTAAGCCATTGGGTTTTATATAACTTAATGTTTAAATCATGCCATATCTTTATCAAAATATTTTAGTTGAGTGTTGTTTAAATGTTACTAATATCTAATGCACTGTACTGAAGCATTAAAGATTTAGTTATGAAACCTTTAAAGTTACTGTACTGTATATTTCTTCATTATTACAGTTTCTGCTTTAAGAAAAAGTTTGAGCTTATTTACCTATTAGAGTACAGAATGGAGATTTATCATATGCATTATTGCTGCTTTTTTTAAAGAAAAGTTTTTTCACTTTTCAAAGCTTTTCCACAATTTTTTGCTTCTTATTTCTTTTCATGAGATTGATGATATAGAGGTAATATAATCCAATAACTTTATAATTTCTAAAAAGCTTTTAAGCTTCTACCATAAAAGTGCACTACTAAAGGTATTTCATCCATTTGGTTTTATTGCCTTGCTAACTCTTTGCGCAAATGAATTTAAAATTCATGAAATCATTCGTTTAAAAAAAAGATCATGTACGAGATCTGAGCTCTCACCTTCAAAATTGTAGCACGCCGCTCGACCTCTTGAGCTACAAAGCCCACTTGTATTGGAGACAAGTCAAATCTCTTTTTAAACTGCGTGCTGAAGAGATATTCTTGCCACGATTTTCAAAAGGTGTGAGTTTAAATCTCGTCCAAGTACATGTGCGTATAAAACCGCGTCGGCATTCATATTACGATTATTCTCTGATAATGGCTTTCTTAATAATGATGCTTTGGGCTATGACAGCACCATTTTAGAAACAATTTTTCTGGGAAAGGCACAGTTGCGTTTCACTAAATGAATGCCCTGAAAAATATAAAACTTGGGAAGCCCAGGGCATACTCTCTTGGAAAAGTTTTAAATGAAGAACCTCTAAAACACTAACAGTACGTTGATAAATGTGGCAGCATCGCCACCTGCCAGCACGCCATTTGGTCATAAATTTCTAAAATATAGTATTCATGCTGATTGAGATGCTTTTAATGAGTCTGGAATTGTAATTATGTCCAAGAATAAGCAGCAGTAATTTCTTTTGACGTACACCAGATAGTTCGCCACTTAAAACAGATATTATAAAAATAGTTTCTTATTTAGCATGACAGTGACACATTGCTCTTATCTTTGCCATTTCTTTTTTTAATAATTTGGTGAGAAATTACAGAATCAATTATCAAAAGAGAATAAACACATATATATCCTGTACACCTACATATGACGCATGATCCAGCTACATGAAACCATGCGTAAATCAGTTAACTTAAAATTAATGTTCCCCCAAGAGTCTGAAGATGAATATCGTTCAAGAGATCAAAACGACCAGGTGAATTACGATCTATGTATAATTTAATGACCGTTCTGACGTACAAAAAGTAGCTAAAATAACAACAGACATAAACCTGTCTTCGAAGGTAGTTTTTTTTTAACTTCATTTACATGCAAAAAACTGACTCGATTGTACATAGCTACTTCAGTGATCCACCAAAAAGGTGACTTGACACGATTTTTTCTTTGCTCTTAAAAACAGCTACGAATTTTCTCCATGTATCGACAAGCTATACGTTGAACTTTTCTTGCAAGGAATGCCACCACCCAACAACTGTTGCACCAAATGATAAAAAATGAAATAACAAATTCGATACTTAAAAAGGATTAACACCATTCTTGTTAGCTATACATCGCTTGTTCGTCGCCCAATTTAATTAAAACGCTCTTTCAGGGCGCGAAAAATGGAAGTTTAAGTAAATGTTATTTCTGTTTACTACAGTAGTGAAAGGAATGACAGTCTTGGTGGCGTTCTTTTTAGTTGTTTACATAGTAATGCCAGTGAACATTCTACAGTCCACAAAAAAAAAACAATTTGTCAAAACCAGCTCGTAGAGTTACTCAGGATAAGAATCAGTTGATCGACACCTTAATGTCCACAATGCTTTCTGACGCAAGGAACGATACATGTAGAAATATATACATGGATTGAGCAAAACTGATGTTTTAGAAAACATTGAAGGATATTCCCGATGCCTGACGGATAAGCTTCTACCGTAAGGGATAAGTTGACAGGAAGCCATGATTGCATAGGGCGTCCATGCCAAAAAAAATACAAAAATCGACACAGAAAGTCGCCTTGCCGTTTTCACCTGAGCAACGTAACTCTGTTTTGTAGCCTGGGCATCAGGTCCCCATATTCTGTTTGCATTTCTAAACATGCGACGTACGATGATAAAAGTTTTTATACCGGCAACCACAATGGTAACAGCAGGAACGGCAAAGAAAAACGTTATAAGAAAGAGACAAAAAGTAATGTTTGAAGTTGATCTGCTTTCCCAATTAATTGAACAATGGAGTCCAAGACCTTCCAATGCAAAGTTAGACCAGCCAAATAACGGCAAGCAAGATACACCTAGGCTTAACATCCAACTTGCCAGTATCAGATGACAAGTGCGCCGAATCGTTATCATATTCGGCATTGGACTGCTTAGAGTTATGAAGCGCTCAACAGTAAAGATTAAAATTTGAGAAATGGATGCTAAACCGACCCAAGTCGTTACAAACGCGTACCAAGCACAACCAAAATCGCCCCAGATCCATTTCTGTGAGACGGCAGAAGTAAAAGCCAAAGGGCATTCATGGAAAGCTTGTACAAAGTCACCAACGGCTATGCTGAGAATTATAAGGTCCTTCGGCTGAATCGTCATCTTTTTCCAGTTCCATGCGTAAGTCAAAAGGATCAAGCCATTCAAAAATGACCCAAATATAAACAAGATAGCAAAAGTAGAAGCTATAGTATAAGACTCAAACGACGACACCGACATCGATTACCATTTATGGTTTGTCTTATTGTGGAAAAATTTTTCGATGAAATTTGAAGAAATTAATACTGAAATTCGTCTAAAAAACAGGTAAAAGGATAATTGTGTTATAAGATTTTGTCTACAAGATAGCAATACAGTTTTTCAAAACATAAGTAAACAAGTGTAAACTGTTACATATGACACCCACAACCCATCCCACTCTTCAGCGCATAAATACACTTTATTAAAAAAGACGTAGTTTGAAGTTGAACGTATCGTAAGAAGACATTTTTACCCTTATATATTAAACTTAAACAATCTTTGCATCAGGACAATCGAGTGTTGATTTCGATGTCGGCTTCATTTGAACGCACTTTATTTCGTCGCACTCAGTTAGGAAGCAGTTCAAGAAATTCACGCCACGTAGATTTTGCTGGAATGTTTATAACAAACGTAAGACTGCAGTTCGTAAATTTCTTTTTCAGATTTATTACGGAAGATGATGTATAATTAAAAACGGCGCAAAAACATTGACTCAATGTTGTTTTCTGTTAATCTCACGATTAACACCTGTCTCTGCATGAAGGCGGATCTTCATCAGACGATTTTTATAATGACAGACTGAAAATAATAAAGCTGCAAATGCGCAATACAATCCAAAAAACGATCGTTACGCACCAAAGAAAAGTAGAAGTGCTTCGACTATAGGTTGATTACGCTGGAAATTTTTATTTGTACTGCGTATGTATCGTTACTTCATATGCCTTTAATTTCTTTAATGTAAAAGACGTGGCTTATTTGAAGCTACATTGATGTAGCTGAGGTTTTTCTGCATCACAAAAAATTTCTTGTGAGATCAGAAAAATTTCCTGGCAGCATGCTGCCCAGCTGGCGAATTTCCTCAAACCGTGCCAGCTCGTTATTAGTGTTCGTTTTGCCAAGTCTTCACACGAATATTGATGATTTTTGAAGTGCAAACTTTCATCAAGCACTCACAACAAATGATGTACATTATACTTTCACGACAAGTAACTAAACTAGCAGATGTTATAAAGAAGTTTCATTATAAATAACACATTCAAATTATTTACAAATCAGTAGCAGGCGGAATCTTACCTTTTTAACAATCTTCTTGGTTGTAGCAGCAGGCAGATTTTTACTATCTCCGACTGCGGTCCGGATTCCTATAGCTAAATATTTACGGGAAGGGTTGTTTTGTTTTAAAAAGGAAAGGCCGACGCTTAATTGTAATAATCTACTTTTAAGTGAATTTTGAGTTTTTCAAAGTAAAATGAACAGCAAGTTTTGATTGTTTTCTTTGCCGCCATTGTTGAATCTGACTACACAATCTAATAATATCGTTGGCTTTAAAAAAAATAAACACGATATGTACCGTTCATAGGTCGGTCAGGAGAGTAAGATCTCCCCATTCTCAAAAACGTCCCTTGGCCTTCAGTCTCGTGCTTTTTAAAGACTTCAGAAAATATTTTTCAATGCAGATCTTCCAGCTGCTAAATAAAAACATTTACACTTGTCTTCAATTTCGGTCAGAGAGAATTCAGAGAGAATTTGAAAGCTTTCAACTGTAACTGGGCGGCAGCTGCAGGACGCGATTTTGAGGTTTAACGAGGTTTTCATGCAGGATAAGTGACAAATTATAGAACAGTCATCTTCCCATTTATGTGTTGCAATTAGAAAAAAATATATAAATATTTTGAAAATAGCCATATCTTAAATATGTTTATTAAATACGTTCTATGCTTTAAGTGAATGCTGTCATCAATTTTTTCAGTCATTTTCAAACTAGCAAGAGAATGGCAACAACGTTATGACTGATTATGAAAATGAATGCATGCATATTCAAGTAAATCAAATGACTGCTTATCATACATAAATCACATTACATAGAACGTATAATAAGAACAGATTTGCTAAAATCTCAGCCAAAATAATTGATACATATGATAATTAACTGATAATATTTAACTTTTTTAGCACATGCCGATCAGTAAAAATTTTTCATATGAACGACAAAAAGTATGCATGCTATCTTGCGCACAGTACATGCATTTTTTTATCAAACGACTACAAACAAAGATATGTCTTGGGAATAGTTCAAGTTTGTTAGTAAGCAGTTTTGATCTGAGCTTCTTACGGAGCAATAACACATTGCGCATAATAAATGCATTAGCTCCACGAATCCATGTGTCCAAGACTTGAATCATGCTGTGCTAATGGGAAAAGAAGAAGCAGTTAACTAGACAGTGATTCAGCATTTTATGCATCATACCTAATTCATTAAATGGGAGTAAGTTGCTATGAAATGAAGGAGAATTATGATGATTGAAAAGTACTTTCACGAGTCAATAAGGTACTTGGTGACTCATCGATCAACCCATGCAATCATTTTTTGAACTCTCTGAAAGGTGTTGCTGCATGTGCAGAAACATGTGGCTTGACGGTGTACGTAACTTGGATGATCTACATCTACAAGCATGTTATGGACGAAATGCTGTGAAACAAGAATATAAAATTGGCAAGATAAAATTGCTTTCTATGTGATAATAACGTTTTACCTTGAAAAATCCTCGATGAACGTTGACCGTGGTTGTAATTCGTCGAAACTTTTCTTAAATCTTGAATATTCTATTCATGAATAAATAACAAGTTTCTTAATAAAGCGCTCTATGTGTCAAGTTCGGTTTGGTTTATTTGCTCTTGTCACAGTGCGTAGGTGACAAAAATGTAAAGCCAGAAAGAATGTACTTTTTTCAACTTTTTGTGAGTACTGAGTATTCGCTACGTCTTTCTTCATTGTGCTAGCATTCTTTCGGCACTTTTGGGATAAATGAGTACTGTTACATAGGTGTGTAGCGTATAATAAACGAGAGTTGTTTATGTTTAAAGAAAGGTGAGGCAGTTACAGGGCGTTTTCACCAATCAGTTTGCACTGAGGATATTTTTTTCATGAAGGAAAAGTGTGAAAAGGTTATAATAAATTCGTTTGACAAAAAATATTACATGTTTGTAAATGTAGATCGTCCAGGTTGGAATAGTCTTGAGAAGGACTGTTTTTGTTGTTGTTGACTGACGTTTCGACAACATTAGCGGTAGTCATCTTCAGAGTGAAATGAGGAGTAAACGTCAGGTTAGACGTATTTGTTATCTGGTTCTTAGGTCATTGTATTGTGGGTACAGAAAATGTGTATTGTCATTGTGAATTAGTATGAAGTGAAATGTTTTTATTTTTAATTGTGATGTGTGATTTAGGTCTGATGTTTTTAGTTGTAATGTGTGGGTGTCATTTGTGTATTTTCATTGTGAATTAGTGTGAAGTGTGATGTTTTTAGTTGATCGTTTGTTTGTATTGTGAATAAGTCGTTTGTAAGGTGCCGGTAATTGCTGTGATTTGTTCAGGGGGGTTTGTTCCAAGTTGGTATACCAACTTTCTAATGTAAGCCTTTTTTTTATAGTCAGTACTGCAAGTAATGCATTTTGCCGAGTCCCAGTCAATGTTGTGCTTTGTGATTCGGTGATGGTCGGCAATGTGACTAGTTTTTTGTTGTTTCTTAGTAGCTCGTTTGTGTTCAGTAAGTCTTATGATAAAGTTCCTGCCAGTTTCCTGATATAGGAGGCGTGGCAGTCAGAGCAGTTTATTTTGTAAACTGCACCTTGTCGTTCGTTGGGTTGTTCCTTGTCCTTTATGTTCGTTAGCACTCGTCGTAACGTTGTGATTGGTTTATATGCAACACGTATGTTGTATGGTCGTAAGATACGCGAGATAGTCTCAGATGTACTTTTGATGTAAGGTATCGTTGCTGTTGTCACTGATTTGTTCGTTTCATTGGGTTCGTTGGGTTTGTAAGTGTTGCGTTTGATAAAGTCAAAGTTATAGTTGTTTTTGTCAAAAACACGTTTGAGATAGTTGTTTTCGTTGTGTAGAGCGTCCAGTGAATCACATATGATTTGTTCACGTCTTGTTAATGTTCTGGTTGTGGTGGCTTTGTGTGATGTAGGGTTGTAAGAGGATTGGTCTAGTTGTCGTTCAGTATGTGTTGGCTTACGATAAACTGTTGTTCGTAGTTTTTGTTTGTCATGTTTTACCAAACAGTCGAGAAAAAAAAGAGTTCCGTTTTCTTCAACATCTTTGGTAAATTTTATGTGCCTGTTCTGTTTGTTGATATGAGTGTGAAAGTCATCAATCTCGTGTGCATGTAGTGCTGTGATTGTGTCATCTACGTAGCGAAACCAAAAAGGTAGTGCATGTTTGTAAGTCGTGAGCGCCCTTTCCTTTATAGATTGCATTACAATTTCAGCAACTACAACAGAAACGGGTGAGCCCATTGCTGTTCCATGTAGTTGTTTGCAGTATGTACCTTTGTACTGGAAGTAAGTCGAGGTGAGGCAGAGCTCCAGTCGCTCCATAATGTCTTCTGTCGGTAGTAGGAGTACGTTTCTAGATTTTTCACTGAAACTTGTTGTATCTTCAGTTGTTTGGTCTTGACAATGTAGCTACGTATATTGCAGGCATTGCGTTTGACCTTTTTTTCGCTTTTCATGTGGAAATGAACTTATATCAATTGGTTGCGATTTCCCCTTTTTGAAATATTTGTTCCTTCAATAGTAAAAAACTTACCAAACACGATTTCCAGCCAACAACTTTATGTAGTATAATATGAAGCATGATACGAATAGAAGACTCACGATTTGACAAAGAAACAAGAAATCTTTTATTTGGAAAGTTATATTTTGAATTTGTTACAAATTCATCATCAGACTATATTTACAAGGCAACTGGTGCTCTACTTATATGTGCGTTACATTATTTCAACGGAAGTGCGGAAAATATGAATTGGATGGGAGGGTTTAGATAATTGTGAGCCTGTGAAATCAAATAGTGACAGATCTTTGCTGGCTTTAAGCCCATTATTAAGTTAATCATGTTTGGGCTTTCTTCTTTTTCAACAGACCTTATGCGTAATGACGTCAAGGGTGATGCGTGCTGTGAATTGTGGTCTTAGTAATCACGCAAATGTAAACATAAAAATATGGCTAATATAATTTATAATAAGTCTGTGTCTGTCTCTCGTTTTCTTTTCCGGGCTTTTAATCCAAATAAATAACTTAAATCTATTATAAACTGTTGCACGGGTTATCAGGGATTTGGCTGTCTTCATTTAATTTCCCTCTGAACGGGAAAAGTCCAGTTTCTGTGCCGATTTCGGCCGAGCAAAGTGGAGAGTACAGTGACTTTACTTCATGTGTTCCTACGTTAACAAATTGCATACCGAGCGTTTGTTTTATTATTTTCCAAAATGTAAATACATAGAATACACAATCTTTATAAGAAATGTGTAAATTTTGTATCGTAGAAGAATTTTTATCAAAAGCCCGGTCGTATAGTAAGCTGTCATTTCGCATTCCTAAAAGACTATAAATATCACACGCGAGTGTTTTAGTTTAAGTGGCTAAATCAACTCCTACCGTCAACAAACTGTACTTTATGACCAGACGTTAGACAAAAATTCTTCTGTGATACCATAATTACCTATTCCACTTATAGATCTGTGTATTCTGTACGATTACAGTTCAGAAAATAAAAGAAAACTCGGGATGCATTTTGCTGTTGTAATAACGCAACAAGTGAAACCACCGTACTCTTTACTATTTGGTAGAAATTCCTTAAGATCTGTGCAAGAATTTATAAGAGAATTAAGGTTGTTGTTTAAACTAAAAGCTTGTAATACACGTCGAGAAACAGCGGCAGACTAGCTATCAATAGTAGCTATAGTGCAATGTTTACTTTCGCGGGACTACTAAGACCACAATGCACAACGCGCATCGGCCTTTTGACGTCATCACGCATAAGGTGTGTTGTGAGATGTTTTCAAATTTTGAATAGACCTGGTTTTGCTTACAAAGGAGTAAGAGCTTGAGGTCTAACTTCCTTTCTCCAAATTTATTTAATTTTTTTTCTCAAATATTGAGTTAAACATGAGTTAAGCATGTTCTTCATAATGGCGGACATCTCATAAAATTGGAACTATTTGTGTCCCTTCTTACGACAAGACAATTGATTTCTATAACGAGTAAACAATATACGTGTGATTAGAGACTATAAAATATAAATTAAGTCAACAAAAAAATCGTTGCATTTGTTCTTTAAAACTGCTCTTTGCCTTTCAAAACTTAGCTTTGCCTCTTGGAAAATTTTCTAGAATCAGTCGAGCAAGCAAATGAAATGACAACTGAAAAAGTGTAAAGAAAACAATCTGAGTATCTTTCTGCATTATTTTCTGGAGAAGGCAACGAACGCCTTAAAATAGTGACATTCATTGCTACCGTTCGTACGTTCTACTATTACAGAGGATTACGAAAGAAAACCTAACGGATACTTTTGCAGTGTAACTTATACCTGGAAATTGCTGTGCTCTAAATAATGTTACTACAAGCAGGCTAATACTAAGGTTGTTCCATATGCATGCATTTTGCATGTGTGAATGCAATATTGAAGAAAAACTTGCCGTCATACGTCACATCCATTAAAGCTGTTTCGTAGCATGTGTCCTCCAGCAGTTTTTCTAGAATACTGGCATCATTTTCTTTTTCATCATTTTTTAATAAATTGTTGAACTTATAACGATATTGCACTTCATTAAGAGCCGAGTTTATTAGCACATACACGTTAAAATTTATTTCTAATTTCAATAGTCTCTCTGCCATTTTGGTTTGTTTTCGTTTGGTTTTAGAAGTGATGGACACATAGAGAAATAAAGAGGTATCGTGTTGGCATCGATTTTTCATGGTGTCAACGAACGTTTACGAAACGGGAAATTGCAACGTAGCCAAAGCGGCTTTTTACTCCCACCACTATACAAATAGTTTTGTGTGCATTGACCAGAGAACATTAGATTTCTAAAGGAATGAATGATGGTAATCTTTCAGAATTTACATTGCGGATGTAAATCTGAAAGCTGGCTACGTTACTGCGAGCAATTAAGCACGGAACTTGCTAAATATGAAACGATGAATAAATCTTCATGTTTTATTCGCCAGCAAGATGGAATTAATGTTGGCGATTGCAGTATTTACTGACTTAAAAAAGACGTTGTTTATGCTATATCAATTAGGATCCCAAAATGAAGCAAACCTTCTGAAAAGTTCTACTTTTTGTGATTGTGCACTCCCAGGGACGACGGAACGGCAAAAGGGCAGGAGGGGCAAGCCTTTGTGGAAGGGCACATTAGTGAAATATACTAAAAATAATCTCATATTGATAAACAGCAAAGAGATGTGCTACATGCAATACACTGTACAGAAGCACATGTCCGCAGTGTTGGTCAATAAATATTAACGATAATATAACTATCAAACGATGTAACGTCACTAATTTACAATTTGTCATGTATTGTATTTTCCAAAATATTTAATTCTTCTTTCATTTCTCTGTGAAAACTCTTTGGCAATTACGTCTATTTCCACCATATTCATGTGCTGTTTCTGAATGTTGGAGAACATAATATCATTCAGATGATTTCCTTCAGTGTTTGACCGCAGCCATGTTTTGAGACGACGCATTACGCTGAATGTGCGTTCGCACGAGGCAGATGAGAGTGGCACTGTGTAGTATAGTATAATTAGTTTGTGGATCTCTGAGTACCTTTTCTTTGCTGATGGCATGGCATTGAATATCTCTGCTATTGTTGAAATACGCGTGACTTCTGTTATTTTTTTGTTCTGATCCGCGTTGTAAAGCCCAAGAATGGTGGGACGATCATCAAGCTGCATTCTTAGAACATCTTTATCAATCAAAGAATAGCTTAATCCATCTAAAGATACTCCTCTTTCTTTCATAGAGTTAAGTAACAGTTCCTCGATACATTTGATCTGGAAAAGATCTTCTTGTTCAAATCGCGATCCTAGACCTGAGATGATTGCATGAATGGCTTGGTAGTACGAGCTTCGCATTGGTGTTATATTCGTACTGTTGTAAACTGAGGCATCTGTGACGTGAAGGCTTTCTGTTATTAACATTTCTTCATTATTCATCCATCTTGGAACTTTTCTTAGTGTAGTGCCAGTGCCAAAATTTTCACTAAATTCCAGTGGAAACGACATCATAACACGAAAAACTTTCTTAGCGTCATCAAGTGTACGCTCAAACTCTTCTTCGCTTCTCATCTCATGAAGACGTTGCAGGACATGTCTTATTGAAAATAGAGCGTACTCAGCTGAAATATAAACCGCTTGGAGCTCTTTAGAAAGCTTCTCGAGTAAAGCCAATAGCTTTCTTGTCACGTTTAAGTTAAAGATGACGATTAAGGAAGACAGTTGTCGCCTTAATATTCCTCTAATCTTTGCTTTTGTGTCTGCCGAAATGCTAGGATCTTCCTTCAATTTTTCAAGGGTTGCATGTAGTTCAGCCGATTTCTCGAAAATGACGTCAGCAGCCTTTACTCTTGTTGTCCATCTCGTTGTAGAAAGACTTTGGAGTCGTAGAACTTTGTAATCGTTTGTTCCTGTTTCGTTTCTAAAATCTGCCTGTATTTCTTCGAACAATAAAATACGTTTTGGATGGGCACCTACGATTGCATACAGAGATTGGCATAAATCCAGTGATGTAGACAATAAATTAGATTGCTTAGCTGCATCCTGTATAATAAGTTCATTGCAGTGACTGAAACAATGAACATAAATTCCGTTTGGTGCAATATCTTCCTTGAGCTTTCTTGCGAGGGATTTCATTGCTGAAGCCCCATCAAAGCCCATAGCTGCCATTTTGTGACCTTCCATGCCACATCTGAGAAGGATATCTTTGGTGTAGTGCAGTAATGCATCAGATGAAAGTCCTTGCGAACATTCATAAATTCCAACAAAATCTTCCGATACTTCGTAATTATCATCACAGGTCCTTACGGAGAAAGACAGCTGTTCTTTCTTAGATACGTCTGATGATTCGTCAGCTAGAATTGAAAATGATTCTCTTACGAGAATTTTATCAATCAAATGTCTTCGAGCATTTAATACAATCATCTGTTTCTGCTCGTCCAGGATGTCGTGTGCAGTAACGTATCGGTTCTCGTCAAGTAAAAGTTTTAGTGCCTTGTCGTTGATAGCTTTATCAAGATTGAACTGATGAATATTAGATTCAAAATCCGTTCTACCTCTAATCGCAATACCTTGGCGTAATAGTGTTTTTAATGTTTGAAGATGTGAAATTAACCCTTTCCGTCTTAACTGCTGCGTTTCAAGAGCAAGCGAACTGCAGGCCATGCTAATAGACAATTGCCTTTTGTCTGATGTGGCATAAGCTTCTTTATGAGCGTAACTGTTTTCATGTTCGTTGAATTTCTCACAGCCTTTTTTCCAGTTATCAAATCCAACTTCATAACTGCCAAACACTCCCTTTATCTTAGAGTGAGTAGAACAAATTTCGCAAAAAGCCTTATTTTTTTCTTGATTGTACACTAGCCACTCATAATTTCGTAACCACTGACCTTGGAAATATCGACCATGCTTCACACTACTTTTCTTGTCTTCACTTGTAAAGTCTTTCTCATGTTTTACCCATGTCGTTTTCATGCATATCTTTTCTGTTTTACAAATCAGACTTTTCGGTTTGGACCATTTTTGTGACTCACAGTCTGAGACTTTTTCAGTGTTGACAGTTATTACAGTGTCAATTCCGCCTGTTGAAGCAGAATCAAAATCATGGCCTGTGTTTCCTTTTGCAAACAGCGATGTTATTTTAGATTGACCTGGTTTAGCCGCTGCTTTCGCTAATGCTTTTGCTGAATCTTTTTTACATCTTTCTGCTCTTGGCATTGCTGAAAAAGCGATAAGATGCAATAAATATCCCTTTCAAAATCATCAGTGTTTAGGTAACTGAGCCATTTATGCCAGCAGATGTTTACCATTAAAAATATCTTTGCTATACGTCATGTTCCTGGCACTATTTTGGATAATAATGAAAGGAATTTGCAAACGTATTGTGATTTTTAGTTGTTTACATTTAAAAAATGACGTTTCACGGTTGTCGAGGAATCCGCTCCTCAGCTTGTTCACTAACACTCTTCGTTTTGAACCTTTTATTTTACAAGCCAAACAATCTACAAGTACATCACTGGAGTATTCTTACGTTATCTATTAAAGTTAATTATTTACATGTTATTTATACTATCGGTAATTACATAAGTCGAGCTTTCCTTTACGTCATTAGCAGTACTCACTCTTTCATTGCGTTTCAACTTCTCACGCGTTGCAACAAAAAAGAAGAACTAACTAAACGAACAAAGAACTTGCAAAAACGTACTTAAAACAAAGAAATGTTAAAGTGAAACTAACATAGTTACGACAATTTTATTGCTAAGCTCAAAAGAATGCAATATCCCACAACGGTTAAGTAGTCTTTATCTTGGATTAAAAACAATAAATTTTCAACCTGTGGGAAACTTTTGCCCCCCTGCCCATCTCCAGAAAAGGCAAGGGGGGCCGTTGCCCCCTTTGCCTCCCAGTTCCGACGTCCCTGTGCACTCCCCCATCAATCCGTAAAATCCCCGCTGATAATGATACCAACAGACATCCACAAATCGAGATTTTAACATTATATAGGTCAGAAAAGGACTAGGCCGAGTCATATCAAAAATGGTGAGCTTCTATGCTGGTGCATGGCAGCAATAAAATTTTAAAATTTCGTTTGTTTTTTAAATAATCGTTATGATATTTTGTATAATCGCAAACGAGTGCTTTTAAAATTCATGTGGGCCAAAAAAATTTTTGTCAGCTGCATATTTCCAATGAAATTGGTAACCAAAATTCACCATGTTTTTGACACAACTGTCAGGCTGAATTATAGGAATTTGGATGGCACGCCTTCTTAAGTCTTAATATAATTAAATAAAAATAGCATTCATTGAAGTTTGACGTAGAACCCATTGAACTACAAGAATGAGACTCAGTATGAGACAGTTGCAGCATCTCGGTCTTCCGCATTCCTTTGTCACACCTCGTTCTATATCATGTAAAACTTAGCAGCTGGCTTATAATCCATATACATTGTTCTTACACTAATAGTTTTGTACGAGTTTGCTATCCTGATCATCATCTTGCTCTGACATGGAGGAAATGGACGGATCGAATTACAATCTTGTTACAGGAACTCTTCGCCCTTCAAAATCAAGAATTATCACCGGGATTTTAGTAACATTTGTTGCTTTGTTGCTTGTTCTGTCGATTACCTTCGTCGTTCTTTACATTCATGAGAAAAATACTGGAGATGCAAATGTTGGCAACTCACCTGGAGCTAGGAAAGTGGTTAACGTGCCTACAACAAGTGGGAAAACATTTAGGCATTCCAAAATCGATAAAGTGTGCTATAATAAATCTTGCATTGTGGCAGCTGGAGGTATGGTTGCACTATTATGTCTAATTATGTTTATTTGTCGCAAAAATTTATTATTGATGAGAAATATTCCTGTTTGCGTAAAAATTGATGAAAACTATTGCTCAAACTGTTGTTGAAATTTGGAAAATTTGACAAGTTGTACTTGTGTGTTCAGCTATGTTCAATTGTATCAAAAAACAAACATAATCCATCAATCGTTCTATTGACTGTGCGATTTCGGATTTTTGTTGCTTATCTTCCGTTAACTTAAGTTCAATAAACTCGTATTTACGTTAAAAATCAGTGCAAATTGCGAATTAAATGCCTATTGTGAGTCGGCACCAGAAAGCCGTATGTATAATCCCACGCGTTATAAGCAAAAGCTTAACTCAGTTGGCATTTAAGCGATAAAAGCCGTTATATAACCCACGTGCTGTCACTCATTATGTGAATTGCTTTAAGTTATTAAAGCAAAACGAAAGCAGATAGCGCACGCATTATCGATGTAGACAACAATAATTTGTCAAAAAAAATGATAGACCAGGAAGAACGCGTGATTTGGGGGAAATTTGAATTTTTCAATATATTTGCAAATATTTACATGACAAAGCAACTTGTTTCACAAGCTGTGGTCCGATTCAAAAGAAAATAATTCACTGCTCAAGACACCTTCCCTTCGCTATAAGCTGTCATAAATATCAACATATTTTGCTGGTCGGATATTTTAACATATAACTACCGAATAACATCAAACAATATAGAAGACAGCAATAAAATATTTTATGCTATATTTTGAAACAACGGTTGTCTTTTAAAGTGGAAAAATTGATTGTGAGAATTAGTGCCTGAAGACCTCCTAAAAGACATACAATTTTGCATTCTCACATCCAGAAAAACGCCCTCCGAGACCTTAGACATGGCAGAAAATATAAACACGCAATGCCACGTCATTATAACTTCCTCGTCAATGTCGCGCTGTGGTTGCCAAACCTTACCTATATATACTTTATCTCCATAAACAATAGAGAACAGCTTCATTAATGCTAATATACTACAGAGCTTTAAAAGCTTATATTAAATGGTTTAGTTTAAATTAAATACGGGCTGCAACAATTGAATCCTGCATTATAACAAATGTACTGAGCAATGTGAGAAATTTATTAAAAATTTTGCATGGACAAAGGACAATAGAAATAAAAACACTGTTGCTAGGTTAATTTTTCGTTTACATTTCTTTAGGAAGTACGTTATGTAAGCTCTTTTTTGTTTAATCAATTTTTCTTTTAGTTGTAAACGTGAGAACTTGAAACGCAATCAAAGATTAAGTATTGCAAATGACGTAAAAGGAAAGATCAACTCGTGTTTATTTTAAAATAATATTACTCTGCAAAAAATGATTGATTAAAATAACTATAGGATTGATTAAAGTAAGCATAAAAATATTGGTTAAAGTTGTTAAATACATCTGAGGTAAACAATTTTTCTGATTATTTTAACTGATCATTTTTTACACCGCTAGTATAAATAGATAAAAATATACAAGGTGCATCAAAAAAGAAGACTCATGGATAAAGTTCTTTAAAACAGGCAGGATGCGCGTGGAATCAGCCAGAAAGTTTTACCTCTGAAATATCTGTTGTTTATAAAGTCCTTCAAAACAGGCCTTGCGCACAAAACATAATCATAAGAACAACAATTTAATCCTCTTGATTGATAACATGATCAGTGTTGTACAAGATACTTTTTTTTTCGACACATTGTTCTTTGAGTTAGATTGTCATGAAAATAGACTGGATTGAAAGAAATAGGAAATGAAAAATTTGAAAAAAAATAATTCGGCACAGAATGGTCATTAGAGAATCGTAAAATTGATCGTAACTGTAGTTAGACAAATGATAGACAGTGCCGCAAAAGATAAAAAGCTGTTACACGACTTCAAAACCAGATTGAAAGATCAGCTGCTAGGCATCCAGTCACTTCACGCTAAAGTATTAGATAGTTGCTTCACTCCCGCTAACTTTGCGACGTCGTCTTTGTTGATATCACGACGCAAAGTAAACAACTTTCACGTCATCTTAAAGACGCCAGTGTTTCAAGCTTTTTTTTCTCTCTTTAGAAGGTAAGTATTTAAAATATATGGCTTTTGCATTTAGATAACGTAGTATCAAATCCATGTTTTTTCGTTAAAAACATATCGAAATTGTTATAATATATTTGTACATGAGTTATGTGACTTATGTCATGTTAAATGTAAGCTTTTTTAAATCATCAATCAACTAAAAAGTCATATTGCACATTTATTTTTTCGACTTAAAATTAAGCCCCATGGAGACACAATGAGAAAGAAGCGGCAAAAAAAGATAAAAGAAGAAAATCTATTCCATCAGAAATTTGTCGACAGTACTTACACTGATAATATTTATTTACAGTAAGTTGACAGATAAGTGAAGAATTGGCATCATGTTTATTACTTTCTTCTTTCTACAATTAACAAATTTCTATTTCAGACGGGTCATTGAATGGAACGATGACACAGAATGAATGCTTCTGAAGGAGATGGCAGGCCAAGGGATAATGCAGCCCAAATTGAGATCGAGAGAATGGGGGGCAGCATGGCAGAGCGTGACTAACAGTTTGGTACCGTCATTTTCTAATGCGAAGATGACTTCAAGAGCTGTTAGAAATCACTTGAAAGTAATGGAAAGGAAGCATTGGTTTAAAATGAGAGAGGAAGAGAGAGCATCAGGTAATGCAGGACAAGAGTTTAAAGAAGCAGAGGAGCTACTTGAAGTGCTAATAGAGATGAGTGACGATACAGTAAAGAGAGTTAAAGAAGAGAATGAGACAAGAAAAATTGGTGTGGAAAAGGAGAAGATACAAGAAATGGAAAGGAGAGAAAGAGCAAAGGAAAAAATTGGTGAATCGAGAAAGAGAAATGATTTAAAGAAAAAAGAGAAGAGTGGGAGAGTAGAAAGGAAGAGCGAGTTATGTATGCTCAGCAGCTGCAAATGATGCATGAAAACAACAACATTCAGCCCCACCAGTTCATGAAGCAACATCAAGAACAGTATTGTCACCAACAACCAGTGGCGTAGCTAGCGAAAAACATTTGGTCGGGCTCACGAGGCGCCACAATGGTTGGCGCCGAGCGAGAAAATTTTCCGAATTTAGACTCACTAGAACGTCGGAAACGGCTATCTTAGAAAGCAAATGCGTGATATTTATGCAGGAAATAGAACCATTTTGGTTAATTTAAATTGCAGGAAATAGAACCATTTTGGTTAATTATAGTAAAGCATAGAAACAGTTCAAAAATAGTTGCAGATATGTGATTTATTTTCTCAACAACACATACATAAATAGATACCTATGTACATCTTGTAAAGAAACTTTGGCAAAAGAACCGAAAAAGGCTCAGATTTGTCATCAACAACTATCAAAAGTTGTGATGAAATTGTCGTGCTGAAATGACAATCATCATTGACTGCATTAAAAAGTTCCCGGAAAAATTCTCACATGCCATGGACGTAAGACATCATCAGCAAGCTGATGATGTCTTACATAGTGAGATGTAATATATATGAATACCTATTTGTATAAGAAAGCAAGTCTTCGTGGTTTTTCAATGAACTTCTTTACTACCTCATCATGCAATGTGTAGGCGTCTTCTTTCTCTGACATTATGTCTTTGTGAATGGAAATCCTGCAAAGAGAACTAAAACGTCCTTGGCTCATAGTATTTCTAAGACAATTTTTTACCCTCTTCAAACAAGAAAATGACCTCTCAACTGAAGCACTTGTAATTGACAAAACACCATTTATCTTTAACAGTTTTACAACTTCTGGAATACTAGATTGATAATGGAACTGAAAAATATATTTCAATAATTCATCGCATGAATCACAGTGAAAGTCTTTATCTCTGTAAATAAAACAAAGTTGGCTAACTAGCATTGGTATGTCAAACATATCACCATAAACCTCCTTTAGAAGACTTATCTTTTCTGAGGGCACTTCACCTTTCCACATCTTAAACACCCTAGGTTAACAAGGTCAAAAATCTAAAACGCTCCATATCCTGAAATCGTTCAGTCAGCATAGTCACAATTGTGTCAAGAATTTCAAAATACATTTGTTTGTAATTATGCCGTTGGTCATACCTGGTTACTGGTGGTCCCACTTTCTCAACATCCAGGTCATACACCTGTCAACATCCAGGTCAACATACTGTATCATTTCTCAGAGAAGCAACAAAGGCCTTGAATCTCTCAAACCTACTCATTCCATAATGAAAGTCAGTGTCCTTGTCTTGCAAGATAGAATAAAGTATGGATGACTGCTAAAGAATTCTCTGGAAAACATGTACCAAGAAACAAAACAAGAAGCAATTAAGGTAGCCAAGTAAACCAGTAACCTTACTTAACGTTTCATCATCCCAACCTTTTGGATTATCAGTAAGATTTTCAAATATGTCTATCAGTAAATAGTTAGAATGCAAGACATTGATGACATGAGCCCTATAATATCATCTTGTATCACCAGGACTAGGAAACTCAAGCGTATGGGATGATATTAAAGCTTTTCTTTTGGGGGGAATTGCTTGTAAAGTTGCAGAAAGCACTAATATTAACAAAGAAAATCTTAACAAGTGAGATGGAGGATGCAGCTTGACAAAATCCTAGATTTAGTCTATGGGCAGCACAGTGAACAAATTGAGCATAAGGATAATCCTGCTGAAATTGAGCTTGAACACCATTGAGATGACCAGACATAACAGATGCACCATCATAAGTCTGTCCAATAAATTTCTCTTTCACATTATTGTACTGACTTAACTTACCCTTAACTACTGATGATATAGCAGTTGCAGTCCTATCACAACTAACATCAACAAACCCAAGCTGTCTTTCAATGACACTTTCCCCTTTGTCCATTCGAACAATTACACTCAATTGTTCTTTGGTAGAAACATCAGTTGCCTCATCAACCTGTATAGTTAAGAAAGTGCAGCAATATATTTCCTTTAAAATCTCATCCTCTATTATCTTATCAAGACAATCAATCAAATCATTCTGAAACTCAGGAGAGACTCCAGTAAACCGCCCTCCCCCAGCAAGGTGGGTTTCAGCAAGCCTTCCATGTAATCGCCTTTCAAAAACAGAATCCATCTTGGCAAAACTTTCAAGTAGCTCTATATAATTTCTGTTGAAAGTACAGTCATAAAACAAACACAGTATCGAGTAATATAGTTTATTAAACGTGCAATCCAAACAGCAACATAACAGAATAGAAAAGTATTGGAATAGAAATTAAACAGTAAAGATACTAACTATATAAAGCATGCAACAGTATCAAGTAACAAACCAATCATCATTCACATAGATATGTGACCTTTGTAACCCACGTTCTTATAGTGTGATCATTACATGCAAACTACGTCACTTAAAATATCACTTCTTAACAATTTCCTCTATTCATGCTGCTACTAGATTCATCATGCCCCCTAAATGCAAGCTCTTGCCTAGACAAGTATAAAACAGCTTCTGTTATGGTTTTCAACATTTCCCTGTTTTGCCTTACCTCCTCGTTATGACGCTGAATCTCTTCACGTCTAGTTTGTGACATGATACAGTCGATACGAGGCTGAAAACCGTAGGTCTTCCAGGTCTTGTAGGCACCCATGTGCGATTTTGCCTTCTCATGCTTCTTACAATCGGATAGGAAATTCTTCATGTTTTTAAATCCCGTCTGCGTCCATGAAGATGACGATCCAGGGCAAAATAAAAGACAAGGCCAACAGAATAATGCATTCTTTTCTGAGCTACCACAAAGCCAATCTTTCTTCGAGTACCAACTTTCCTGAAAGCTTCTATTGCCTGTAGTCGCTTGTAAATTTGGAATTGGCCGCTACTTTACAAGTATATTTTGCTCGCCTGATTGTCGAATAGAAAAGAGTTTCTTTTGTAGTTCACTTATTATATCGATTTCATTAGCCGAAGCCATTGTAATGTAAGTTATCACGATTTCCGAACGTATAATTCGAAAACTCAAGATTCAAGTCACGCTTTTGAAAATGAGCCCGACTAGATGTTGTTAAACGTTTGAGTGTGTTCACAGCTACTCTCAACCAATCAGATTAAAGATATTCCCACTATAGATTTTATTACTTGGTCGGGCTGAATTTTCAGAGCCCGACTAGATGTTGCGAAACAGCGCATTTGAGTTTGCTCAGTTGCTGTCAACCAATCAGATTGCAGATAATCCCACTATAGATTTTACTATTTGGTCGGGCTGAATTTTCAGAGCCCGACTAAACTGAGTTATTCCTGGCACTAGAAATGCACTAGTCATTGTTGCTAAGTAACTTTTAAAAATATGATAATTTTGCTAATAACGACGCAATTTGACAAATATTACACTAATAGACTGTGGATTATTCCAAAAAGAGTCGCAGAATTTAAAAGTTTCGCAAATCCAATTTTAAAGAAAACAAATTTTTCATTTTTGGGAAAATATTTGGTCGGGCTGGGCCCGACCAGCCAGACCGCTAGCTACGCCACTGCCAACAACAACAATTTGCCATGCTGCAACAAAAGATGCTGGCCATCATACAACAGCAGCAACAGCAAATGCAAGTATTAACCAATTTAATTAAAAATAAACGTAATTAAAATTATCCATTTTTAGCAATTATATTTTGCATGTATAGTAGAACCTGTATTTTGCAGCTTATATATATTTACGGACCACCTGCTTTTTCCAACATTTTTTTTAAGCAGATCGCTTGTAACATTTAAAAGGATTTATTGCAAAACACACATTTTACTATAATAAGAAATGAATTTAATAGTTATTTATGAAGTATGTTTGAAAAATTGAATTTTTTATTGTTATTTACAAGTTATAATTATGTATTCTATTAATGAAAATGAAAATTGTTATGTACAGTGTAATATATTACTTACAATGTTGAATTTTAAATAATTAATATATGTTTAAATAATAATTAATATAATGTTTTATTCATGAAAAATGAAATAAAAATTTTTAAAGAATGTTATGTAGTACAATGTATAACATGCTTGAAATTTGTCATTTATAACAAAAGTGCTACCAAAAGTATTCGTTTATTGAAGGTGGGTCAAGCTTAAAAAACCTGAAACTATGTTGCCATAAAGGCATGTGTGAGAATTTTTAAGCAAAGCACAAACAATATACACTTTGCCAACGGCACTTAACTTGATCTTCGCTCGTCTTGTAAAATCAATGAAACTGAAAAATCTTGTAATGTCACTAAACATCCATTCCACAACCACCCTGACTTCACTCATTGCACTGTTCTATGCTTCCATTGGTTACGTAAGATGGGCATTTTTAAAAGGCCCTTGAAGTTGAACGCCTAAAGGATATGCAGGGTCACATATAAACAAAGTGGCTCCTCATTGTAGAAAGAAACACGTGGTAAATTAAGCAATACTCGAGATTCTTGCAGTATGGTGAAATCATGTTCTATGCCTTCATATAGACCAGATCAATTTGCAATCAAACCATTTGGTGAAACAATACTTTGAAATTTAATGGCATGGACGCCTTATGGCCATTGTGCATTATTCTTTGGTTGTATTTTGGGCGTGGTACTTTTTGAACAGTATCACCAACAAATCCAAAGCAATTAAGTGATAGAGTACCACGATCATTTACTGTATGTGCAAAGCTGTGCAGCTTTTTCTGAGATAAGAAAGGTTGGTTCCAATTTGCCAAGCGATGTTGATTGTTGTTGTATATTATATCCAACACTTTATTAAAAATAAGACACAACTCTGATTGGCTTCGTCCAAATCTATGAGCCATATCTCTATATCGACATGGTTATGCCAACCGCTTCATTTCAATACACAGACTTTCTATACCACTGTACACTGTACCTTGATCACATACAATTGTATCTGGGATGCCAAAACATCTCATCAGTGATGACAAATCATCTTTCTGAAAACGTAACTCAGTCACACATTCAACATCATCCCAACTGCCAATGTTAAACTTATTAAACTTCACGTAAGGAAAAAGTGGTTTTGACATTTTATAATTATAAAGCAATACGAATTCATCGTCGTCAAATTGTCGGCATACGAAAAAATTAAAGTATTACGAACATCTTAGTTATTAGCCTGGATTAGTGTGAAGTGTGGATTAGTGATTAAGTTTCTCGTTTTTGTGGGTGGCCGCTGCGCATTCGACTAACCACTATGCTACACTGAAAAAGTGTCTGTCCGTCTGTCTGACCGTCGTAATCCTCGCTAATAGTCGGATATACGAGCGATAGCGAACAATACCGTTTTGTGCGTTGGTCGCTTTGTCGGAAAAATAACGTGAGTTGTTTTTCATTCGACATAAATCAAGTCTATAACGATGAATCCAAGCGCATATACAATAATAGGAATAAAATAATACTTTTCTTATGCATGAACTGTGAAGCGTCTGGCCGCGTACAAAGATCAAGCAGAAGTTTTTTGCAGTAAGCACAGAATCTTCGGATCATAATCCAAAAAAATGTTGTTATTTTGAGAAATATTAGCTAAAAACATTACAACCCGAAAATTGACGTGTACAGTTGTACGATATTTTTTGTCATCTAGTAGCGGATCCAGACTACGTCAAAATAAATTACTGCAGAACATTTTGGCGTATATTTAGCTTTCTAAACACCTTAAAGAGTAATCCATTGGTAAAATTATATTCTTTAGAAATTAAAAACCAATCGTGCTTTTCTGAAAGTGATTTGAATTTAGAATTGAAGAGCTATAATTTATTTTGACGTACACTAAATCAACGGAACTAAGCATGAGCTCGATTTATGGGATGTAAAAACAAATAAATTAACAAAACTTCACGTAAAACTAGTAACTAAAAATCAAGATATTATTCAAAATAATGCAGGCTAGCAATCGATCACAATTATTAATTATATCGCGTTCCAGCGACCAATACTAGCAACTTGTACTTAGTAGGATGTATTGTCTGGTATATAGTCCAATTCGGCATTATTTACATTACTTATACATTGTTTGGTTTACTCATAAAGACTAACAGTACTCTGTTGGTGAAATTAATCAAACGCTGAAAGGAAAAAATTGTTATTTTGAGAAACCAACGTTCTTATCGCAAACCAACACACACTGACCAATTACTAGACCAATCATCGTAAAACTCTACATAACACAAAGCCACCACAATGAGAACATTAGCAAGACGTGCGCAAATCATATGTGATATTTACCAGACGCTTTACACAACGAAAACAGCTATCTAAAACAAACAACTCAATGACAACAGCAACGATACCTTACATCAAAGGTACGTCTGAGACTATCACGCGTATCCTACGACCATACAACATACGTGTCGCACATAAACCAATCACATCGCTACGATACATACTTACAAACATAAATGACAAAGAGCAACCCAATGAACGGCAAGGTACAGTTCACAAATGCTCCTCCTTTATCGAGGAAACTTTCACCTTAAACATAAGACTCACCGAGCACAAACGAGCTACTAAGAAACAAGACAAAACCAATCACATTGCCGAACATCATTAAACAAAACACAACATTAACTAGGAATCGGCAAAATGCATTACTTACAGCAGTGACTATAAACAACGACTCACGTTAGAAAGTTGGTCAAAGAATATCAACTTTGAGCAAAACCCCCTAAACAGGTCACAGCAATTACCGGCACCTTACAAACGACTTATTCACAATACAAAAAATAGAACAACTTAACACATTACACCTTACGCTAATGCGCGATGACAATACACAATTGACATCCACACATGTTTTGGACACACAATACAATGACGAAAGAACCAGATAACAAATACACCCAACCTGACGCTTACTCGTCATTTTACTCCGAAGATGACTATCGCTAAGGTTGTCCAAACGTCAGTCAACAACAACAGCAACAGTCCTTCAGGACTCGACTAATTATTTCTATAGAATATGCACACGTTCATGTGTAGTTCACGTTTTTTTAGATATTTTCTTGCTTAAAGCTCCCAGTAATTTTTTTATATTACTGGCTAAACAATCAATAATTAAACAAGCCATTATTAATCTATTGTTATATAAAGGTAATTTTTTTAAATGCTGAATTATTTATGGGACAGCTTATAATAAGCAATTATTGAATAAGAATGAGCTTGATATCAAGAATTATAAAGATCTCGGTCAATTCTTTTTATTCACTTTAAGGCCCCGTTCAAAAGTGGCATTTTACATGCGCCGAATCAAATGCAAGAATTATATGCATGTAAAATTTGTTTGATCGATTAAACTATTTTGTCTATACAAAAAAGTATATCATAGTTCATCTCCACGGTTCACGAGAGAGAAGTTAGCTTATTTGTTATCATTGCTATTTTGCTTCTTTTCATGCAATGGGCAATGGCTTTTTTCGCCACAATTGTAGGATTTTTACTTGTTTCTTAAAAAAGTAAATATTAAATCTCTTTATATTTACGGATTTTCTGCAATTGAGTTTCATATTAAATTTCAAAAAGACTCAAGTCTGCATAGGCTTGTTAAATGAAAACAAACAATATTGTATAGAAATTACTTTATGTAACCTTTTTGTGATGTTCTGAAGTGCAACTGCATCAAATACTTGTGAAGTTGTAGCACATTTTGATTTTGTTGTATTGATATATGAATTGGGCAAAATGCAAATAATCATCAAAACACTTATGCTTCCAATGGTGTTTATAATTCATTTGTAGTTTTAATACTTCTATCTTACTTTTTCACTTTGTTTTGTTTTTCCTATATTTGCAATATAAGTGCACTATAATTTGAATGATTAACACAGTCTTCACCTCAATAATAAATTTCATAAGCAGTTGGTAGTGCATTTTGTTCTCTGAGTATCCACATCTGGTGTTTTGTTCATACAAGAATGATGAAGTGCAAGTAGATATGTCATAGCAAGGCAATATAACCAAATGAATCAAATACCTATAGTGTACTTTTATGCTAGAAGCTTAAAAGCTTTTTAGAAATTATAATATTATTGTATTGTATTAACCATATATCATCAATCTCATGAAAAGAAATAAGAAGCAAAAAATTTGTAGGAAAGCTTTGAAAAGTGAAAAACTTTTCTTTAAAAAAGTAGCAATAATGCATATGATAAATCTCCATTCTGTACTTTACTAGGTAAATAAGCTCAAACTGTTTCTTAAAGCAAAAACTGTTATAATGAAGAAATATACAGTACAGTAACTTTAAATGTTTCATCACTGAATCTTTAATGCTTCAGTGTAGTGCATTAGATATTAGTAACATTTATACAACACTCAACTAAAATATTTTGATAAAGATATGACATGATTTAAACATTAAGTTATATATAACCCAATGGCTTATACAGTTTGATGCTTCACATCTGCATCGAGTCCTCATCAATCTCAGTACAAATGTTTACATAGACACAAACTTTATGACCTTCCATTTTACATGTTTGTGAATTGACATTTCATTAAGCATCAAAACACACACAACATTCTTGCCATCTTTCTTTGGATCATGAACTTTCTCAACTATCTCACCTGTGAGAAGCGATATGTTCCTTTTTGTGGAAACTACGACATCCAACAATTGAACGATTGAAGTGTTGGCATTATAAAAGAAATGCCAAAAAAGAATCGTCACAGAATATGGAACTAACGATATCTATATTCTGTGATATCGTGTTTGTTTTTGAAAAGTTCTTTATAATTTACTATAGACACCGGGGGTCGAGAATATTATTTTTCTGCAAAGCGATCATTTCAGCGGAAATACGTCCTTTGGCCGCTATTTTGTTGGCGTCCTCGCCCCAGTAAAGTTAGCCGCTCCAATTATTATAGAACTCAGTGGCATAAGCTAAACATTTTCCTATCCGCCATTTTAGGAAATTAGTGCAAGAAAATGATTAAACTATGAAAAAGTGGAAGCATGACTATAATAAGCGCGACTATTAATTTCGACGTCTGAAACAAACTACGCATAAACTATTTTAATCGACTAAAACTCAGATTTCATTCGGCGCATGTAAATTGCGACGTTTGAACCGGGCCTAGCTGTTGCTATTCATTTTAATTAATTGAAATAATATTAGAACATATAAATATAAAACACTTTTCAAACCTTCGCTGTTTGTTTTTGTCAGACAGTCTATTTAAGCTTGTCTTTTTTAAATATGTTGTAAATGTGTTCAAAACCAGCTTGGCTGCTTTTTTAGTGTTTTCCGCAGCCTTTTTTCTTAAAAGCTTTCACGTCCTTTTTAGAAACTGCGGAAAACGTTGCTGCTGTTTGATTTGTTTACAAAATCGGCTTTTAATGGCGGCCATATTTGTTGAAACACTTATCTGTAGGTTATGACGTCATTACCTACTGATATCGTGACTTATCTGCAGGTAGTTGACCAATCACAGCCGAGAATTTTCACATAGGGAATAATAATTATAATAATAATAAACTTCCGCAGATAACAATGACATCGGTCTGAATAATTCTTGATATCATGTTCAACCCAATAATTCCTTATTAATTGTCTTTCTTAAATAAAAAAGTTACTCAATTGCACAGTCACTTATAAAGCCGCTCGAACAATTTTTTTGAAAAGTAAACCATGTTAATCATTCCATTTTCATTTTTCTGATTGTTTCCAGAAATATCAAAAAAGCTAGATCCAACTGTAAACCCATGTGACGACTTTTACCAGTACAGCTGTGGAGGCTTTGTAAAGAATAACTTCATACCGGATGAATTTAGTTCACTCTCATCTTTTACCATTGTCAATGAAAGAGTTCAAGACAAGATTGCAAATTTTCTCAATAATGGTTATTCAAAAAAGGTGAAGTTTCGTCTATTATGTAGTTGGGATTTTTATGACAATCTTTTTTTTACAATCAGCATGAGGGCAACTCTGTTTTTTTGACAAATGAATTTTTTTCCTTTTTATGATGCTGACAGTAATCATTTATGTCTAATCATATTTCAGTACGAATCACCGTTTAATAATCAATGGAGTTTATCTTATTTTACACTGTAATTTAATTGACTTTTCATTCAGTATCGTATTAAATATTTGCATTGCTAACTCAATGTGAAAATACCAAATGAATAATAAAAGATGAACAGTAGCGCAGCCAGCCCGCAAATTGCGCTCTGCTTTGTTATATTTTTTGAGTTTACTCACATTAAAAAAAATAGATTTTTAAGAAATGAATAATGTTAATACCTAAAATTTAAATAGCAGGACAAAAATATGCGAGCTAGCTACGCCACAGAAAAAGTATTATATTAATGGTATAAAACTGACATATATAGTACAGTATACGGTACAGTTTTTAACTTTTTTTCGTGTTTTTACACAAACACAAGATATCATTTTTCTTTATCTTATTACAAAGTTTTTGCAAATAAAATTAGTGATTAGTGATTGTTTTATTATAAAAAAAAGTTAAAAAAATAAAAATACTTTCTTCTGCATTTTAATTATAACTGACGTGCAATTTTTTCCTGAATGTCAACACACTAATGTCTGTCGCTCATTTTTTATCAGATTTCAGGTACTGCTATTGGCAAGATGTTTGACTATTACCATTCATGCATGAATGTAAAGTACATTGAGAATTCCGATCAATTTCTCATACACAAGCTGTTGAATACTTATGTTACAAATCTTATAAATGAATTACCCTCTCTCGAAATAACTTTGGGTCGTGTTTTGGGGAATTTTGGACAAGGAGTGCTGGTTACTTGTGGGGTGACTCCCGTGCCAGAAGATACATCTCGTAACAAACTTGCTGTAAGTCCTTCAAGTAGTATGTATGCTATGTAATGTCTTTCATCATAAAATGAATTTATCAATGATGGCTATCGTGCTAAACAGTTTTGTGATAGATCCATTGTTTGAGATAAAAAATTCAAGAAAAAATGTCTTCTTAAAGTGTTACTGTAGCGAATTTCTTTTCTGCTTTTATTCGCTCAATAAAATATTCAGGTATATACAAGCAATTTAATGAAAAAATGACTGTCATAAACTCAAAAAAGTGGATTAGTTTGGCTTCCAAAGCTCATTGCTGCATGCGAACTTTATTGTCTCTATGTGACGTCACAACGATGATTAAGGTCGATATGCTAATATTATAATTGTAAAGCGCTCGCTTTACTCTGTGAATTCTTTTGATTTTAAAACAAATATTTTTAAACAAAACTAAGTCTACATCGAAGAGAAATATAGCGTCGATAGCGTTGTAGCGTTGAGCACTACAACGTTGAGCACTACTACTAGCTTCTGATAGCGTTGTAGCGAAGAGCACTACAACGCGAAAAGAAGTTAGTCTTCCCAAACGCACACCACATTTGTGACAAAAAAAAGCTTTGTCACTTGATTGTGCACCACATTTGGCACAAAATATAACTATACAAGGAGCGTGTGGTGCTATTAACGCTAGTTATTTCTCTTATTTATTTTTCGCTTCAGTGTCGCAACTCGCAAGAGCTTGCTTTCGATTCCTTTCCAAATGTAATTTCAAATACTTCGCAGTTAAAACAGTTAAATACGACGACAAGTCAACCACATGTTAAAATCACAATTACACATATCTGATTACAAACTGATATACAATAAACGGATATTCAGACTATCCGACTTTGCAAGCGCCCGTAATCTTAGTTTGTGTGAGTACTGTTATTTCGTGTGTGTTTAATGCATTTTGTGTGTGTATAATGTACTTTGTGTGTGTATTAATATCTTTGTTTTGTATGATTCTTATTATTTTGCGTGGTGTCCTTTGTGAGCCACCGTAATTGGAGGATTGCTGCTTTAAAGAAATGGGACCAGTAGTAAGAATGACAACTTTTGATGACAGCTTTGATTCCATTGAACATATCAATTGCATTACTGCACATGATTTTGTACCAATGACCTTCCAAAATTCTTGTATATTGTTGACCAACTTTTGGACAGAAATGGATAACCTTATCGATGACGCGGATACCACACCAGGAATGAATGATCACAAAAAATAGGAAATCAAATGAGCTATTTGCACCTTCAAGTTCCATAGAATTACTGCTTCCAACTTAATTGGCTTAAGCAAAGTAAACAAATTTTCCAAAATCAGACATAATAAACAACACATTCATGTCATAAGTACAAAAGAACTCACAATAAATGGAATTATCACGAAACTATCCAGTGATATTGCACTATACCGGAATAAGTTTAAAGTAGACTAGTTTTAATGATGAATTATTAAACAATCTGTAAGCACCATGTTTTGCATTGTGACCCATTCAATCAAGACATCCATCTCCTGACCATGCCTGAGATTCATCTTCCTTGTTCTTTATTTGCTCAATCAAACTAAACTTGTAAGCTTCCCAATGTTTGAAAATAGATAAAGATAAGAATTCTCTTTGAAGGCTGTGGTATACTGCAATGGCTTATAAATTCATGTGTCAAACATCAACATAACATGACTAATATTGAATAAAGACATCAAAATGCCAAAGCTTGTCATGATATTGCCAACTGGAAATATGTCTAGCGTACGTTGACTTCTCCATGTGTTGTTCTTCAAAAGCATTTACTGCATGCTCGTTCCACATCTACACAAAACCAAACGCAGTTGATATGGACCGATGGATTTTGAGATTTACAATAAAAGCAGAACGTTCCAAACAGGCCCTTGAGACAGTTGTAGTAAATAACAAACTTTAATCGTTGTATGGATTAGTTATAATTTCTTCATCAACCTTATAGCAAAAAAGTACATGCATTTGTATCTAATCTGAACACCATTCAAAATTAATTTGATTGTGTCTATACATAGCTTGTCAGCACTACAGGTTATTTCAAGAACATATTTTGAGCAAATTTACATATTACACCTAAAAACATGTTACCAGCCTGACAGTATATTTCTTGTGTGAACTTTATTTTCTTCTATAGACTGAATTTATTCTTCAAGAGATGAATAGTCTATTAAAATTCCACCATCAGAATATTCACTGAATTCGTTGCTGTGCGCATTCATATCAACTTCAGTCAGTCCTGCCAAGATTTTAGTTATTTTTGCTTAGCTGATTCAGTAAAATTAACCATTTACTCTCCTCTTCCAGCCCCTGTACTTTCCTCTGAAACTTTTCTTAACACTTTCTAATCGATGTGTTCGACTTCTGAAGGCATTTAATTCTCCTCCTCACGTAGTGGCATGATGTGCAAGAAATACTGTCATCAGCTAGAGGGTCATCAACATGTAAGTGAAAACCATTTGTAGTCATGCTTTTTGTTGCGTGCTAAGTCATTGAATAAAAAAACACGAACTTTTGAGAAGACAGTTTTTTGCGGTGACGCACAAGCTTAAAAAATGAAATATCAGTAAACAAACTCAACAATAATATCATACTGAAATCAGTATGTGCAAACATGCTCGTCCATAATTCGAGCCGAATAATGCATACCTGTCCTTGTTTTCTCTCTGTTGTTAACTCCTCGGCCACAGGAAAAATTCCTGCCACATCAACAGTAAGAATAGGATTACCTTTCAACATTGCTTTAGTTTTGAGCGACTTAATCATCAAAATATTCACGTTATAGCATGAATCATCAAAGTGGGCTGAACAAAAATGCAATGTAACCGAAGCATGAAAATTTTTTCCATGTTTTCGGGCAAATTTTTCCCAATTTCTCTTTCGTTTCGTATCTTTTTTTTATGAAAAGGATGCACTGATATTTCTTCTGCAAAGTGCGCATTCGTCCAATTTTCTATCTTTGGATGGCCAGCAACACAACTTCTACCTCTACGAAAGAGTTTATCACTATAAGTTCTATAAACCATATTTGGGATTGATCATCGTGTTGATGTCACGAGACAAAAAAAGTTCACACAATATTTACCGAAAATCACAACTTTAAACAAAGCTATAAAAACTTTTAAAAGTGACCAATCCTATTTCCATTTCCGACTAATGTGTTTGTAAAGCCTATACTTTGAACCAAGTAAATGTGAATTTTGAAATTTTATTCCAACTATGCGCACATATCGTACTTTTTTGTGGTCTGAAAAAGCATTGTGATAATCGCTTGGAATAATTCTATTTTAATATTTTCCGTAACGTATCTAACAAGAAAGTATTAATTTTATTTTTAGGTCGGTGGAGGAGTCGTAGGTATGATACAGAAATTGTCAATGACTGATGAAGATCAGCCGGTAAGTGTTTCTTATTTGTTTTTGAAGGATTATGTAGATTGGCTTATCTGTATTTATCAAATTTCTTTTTCAAATTCTTCGTATTAAAATTCTCGAGTTATTCTATCCATTATAAAAATATATTCAGTTGGTTTTTTAATCTTTCATAACACATTTTTCATCTTTTGCATTCATTAAACTTATGTAAACAACTGTAAATCCGGCACTTGAGTCTAACAAATTAAATCAATCTTTCTGTTAAATTCGTGTTTTCTTGTCTGAAGCAGGTAGTGCACTGCAGTCTAGTTAAATCAATCTTTCTAGAATTAACAAAGTGAAAAGATGTCATGATAGCTGCAAAAAGAAACATTGGCACAAGCGTTATAATTTTGTGAGCCGTTAAATTCTTACATAATTACATAGTATTGCTTGTTAATCAGTTATATTATTCATTATGTAAGCAATGTCGGCTGTGACTGGTCAAATACCTGCAGATAATTCTTAATATCTGCAATTAGCTATGACGTACGTCTTATACATATTACAGATAATAGTTTCTACAATTATGAACACCATTAAAAAAAATAAAACAAATGCAATGTTTTCCACAGTTTCTAAAAACGGAATGCAAAAGTATTAGAGAAACAGACAAAAAAAGATAAAAGAGAAAAAGAGAAAAACTTGAACAAACCGTCTGACAAAAACAATTTGGCAAAATTTTGAAAAATGTTTTATATTGATATGTTTAATAATTTTTCAGTTAGTTAAAGTGGATAATAAAACAATTATTAAAGTAAATGGTTTGAACCCGGGAGTATCATTACATGTTTGCAGATGTAGATCGTCCAGGTTAGTATAGTCCCGAGAAGGACTGTTTTTGTTGTTGTTGACTGACATTTCGACAACCTTAGCGGTAGTCAAATGAGGAGTAAACGTCAGGTTAGCCGTATTTTTATTTGGTTCTTACGTCATTGTATTGTGTGTACAGGAAATGGGTGGGTGTCAATTGTGTATTGTCATTACAAATTAGTGTAAAGTGTAATGTTTTTAGTTGTGATGTGTGATTTAGATGTGATGTTTTTAGTTGTAATGTGAGGGTGTCAATTTTGTATTGTCATTGTGAATTTAGTGTGAAGTGAGATGTTTTTAGTTGATTGTTCGTTTGTATTGTGAATAAGTCGTTTGTAAGGTGCCGGTAATTGCTGTGATCTGTTCAGGGGAGTGATGATGATGACGACGATGAAACTTTCTTAAAAGAGGGTAACACGTGACACAACAAGTGTGAAAATTTTGTGGCTCTCAAACTAACAAACTACGAGATCAATAACAATTTAAAAACCAGAATTACACAAGACTAAAATACTAAAAAAACTAAATAATAAAATATTCTGTGAGCATATCTGTATTAGCTTTATCATAAAGTTTCTTTTTAAAAAGTGTAGCTGATGAATGTTTACTCATAGTAAGAGGTAAACTGTTCCAAAATCGACTTGCAGTAGCAGCAAAAGATCTCCCACCATCATTTTGTCTCTTTATTTTGGGTAAACAAATAATTAAGTCTTTATAACGAGTATTTCTATTGTGGCGACTGGCATTTGTTGGTAGAATATCAATAATATAAGATGGACAGTTACCATAGAAACGTTTATGACAAATCATGGCCTTTCTAATTTCCACTTCTTTACTAAAAGGTATCCAGCCCAATTTGGAAAAGAGTGGAAAACTTCTATCGCGTGTTGAGGCATCTAGAATTACGCGAGCTGCTCTCTTTTGTAATTTTGTAATTTGATCCAAGTTATCTTTTGTTGTATTTGACCAAACACAGTTACCAAACATCATAGCAGATTTAATAGTGGCATTATAAAACGCAATGCGTTCATCCAATGGTAGATAATATCTTAACTTTTTAAGAAGGCCAATTCGTTTAGCTAATTTGGAACATAGCTTATCAGTATGATTTGAAAAACTTAGGTCTTCATCTAAAATGATTCCCAGAAGCTTCTGGTGAGAAATCTGCTCTAACATATTCCCATAAATATAAACACACAATAATGTAGATGAATTTACCACTTTCTTTGCAATTCTTTTTCCAGTGATAAGCATAGTTTTTGATTTTGTAGAGCTAAGCACCATTAAGTTTTCATGTGCCCACGAGTTCAAATTAGTTGTATCCTCTTGTAAAATGCGTTCAATAGAAGAAACATCTGAATAATGATTAGATTTAATAAGAGTGGTATCGTTAGCAAAAATATTCGTTGAGGCATTTTTTATTGATTTAGGGAAATCATTAATAAATATGATAAACAACAGGGGGCCCAAGACTGAACCCTGTGGTGCACCATGATCAATAATAGTTGTAGCAGAGGAGACGCCATTCACTGACACGTATTGATACCTGTTCGACAAATATGAGTTGAACCATTTGATGGAATTAGTACTAAGACCACAGGCTTTAAGTTTACCCAAAAGTAGTTTATGATTCACCATATCAAATGCTTTTTTAAAATCATCAAACAGCAAGCCACTAGGATTGTCATTATCGAGATCAGATAATATCTGATCAACAATTTTAATAAGAGCCGTTTCAGTAGAATAGCCATTCCTAAAGCCAGATTGAAGAACATAAAACATGTCGTTGGATTAAAATTCGCGAACCAAATAATTATAGACATGACGTTCAAGAACTTCGGAAATTATCGGTAGCGTAGAAATAGGTCGATAATTATCTGGATCTGTAGCATTTCCATTTTTAAACAGGGGAAAAACTTTAGCTGTTTTCCATGACTGTGGAAATTGACACGAAGTAATACAATGATTGAAAAGCTTTGACAACGATGATAAAATAATTGGGGCAGCAGTCTTCAAGATCTTTACACTAATATTGTCTGGACCAGTTGCTTTTGATAAGGGAATATCTTGAATTATTTGAATAACTTGCTCAGCATTTATTTCAGGAAGATCTAAACTCAAATTGCCAAAAGATAAAAAATCATTATCATTTATAACAGTGGTATCATCTAAAAGATTAGAAGCCACATTTGCAAAGTGCAGATTAAGCGCTTCCGCAATTTCGTTGTTATGATGGAAAAGAGATCCATTAAATAATAATTCCTTCACTTGAACGGGATCATTTGTATCACCAAAAAGAGATTTGAGTATTTTCCAAAACAATTATTGATTCACTGGACGCTCTACACAACGAAAATAATTATCTCAAACGTGTTTTTGACAAAAACAACTACAACTCTGTTTTCATAAAAAGTAACACTTACAAACCCAATGAACCAAACGAAACGAACAACTCAGTGACAACAGCAACGATACCTTACATCAAAGGTACGTCAGAGACTGTCTCGCGTATCTTACGACCATACAACATACGTGTCGCACTTAAACCAATCACAACGTTACGACAAGTACTAACGAACATAAAGGACAAAGAACAACCCAACGAACGACAAGATGCAGTTTACAAAATGAACTGCTCCGACTGCTACGCCTCTTACATCGGGAAAACTAGCAGGAATTTGAAAATAAGACTTACTGAACACAAACAAGCTACATAGAAACAAGACAAGACTAATCACATTGCCGAACATCACCAAATCACTAAGCACAACATTGACTGGGACTCGGCAAAATGCATTACTTACAGTACTGACTATAGACAACGGCTTACATTAAGAAGTTGGTATACCAATTTGGATCAAAACCCCCTGAACAGATCACAGCATTTACCGGCACCTTGCAAAACGATCCACAATACAAACGAACGATCAACTAAAAACATTTCATTTCACACTAATTCACAATGACAATACAAAATTGACACCCTCACATTAAACTAAAAATATCACTCCTAAATCAAGCATCACAATTAAAAACATTACACTCCACACTAATTCGCAATGACAATACACAATTGACACACCCCCATTTCCTGTACACACAATACAATGACGAAAGATTTAGATAACAAATACGGCTAACCTGACGTTTACTCCTCCTTTGACTCGGAAGATGATTACCGCTAAGGTTGTCAAAACGTCAGTAAATAACAAGAAAAACAGTCCTTCTCATGACTATACTAACCTGGACGATATACATCTACAATTATAAAACAATTATTGAATTCGGCTTTCGCATGATATCAAGAATGATTTAGACCTCTGTCAATTTTATCAATAATTATCTATTATACGAAATGGTTGAAGAGTGGATGCACGTACGTGTTAAATTTATTGAGGGAATATAATTTAAATGACAATTAACGACAATATGGTAACAATTGCTTGAGTTTTAAAAGTGCAGGATGAAGAAATTCATTTAATAGTGTCACTAAATTAAAGGAAGAGTCTGAAAAGTGCATGTATGGTTTGAAATTTATAACTTTTTGTACATTATTTAGAAGCTAAATAGTTGTAAATAGAAAAAATAAGAAGCTTCCCATACACGTTTTTAGTCAATGAAGGCAATGCTGATGAAGTATGACATAAACCGAAGAGCATGATTGTATTCTTATTTATGAACCTTCTTCAACGACTAAATATCAAAAAGTGCAATGGCATTGGAAGTTCCCGTGTAGTTTGCTACTTAAGAAAAAGAAGTTATGATTTCAAAAATTGGGAGGGTTTTCTTTAAAAAAGAAAATCACTTTCTTGTTAAACAAAATTTTTATAAAACTCCACTGCAAAATAATTAGTTGGATTCAAGTCGCCATCATAAGTTGTAATCAGTAAATATACCTTAGTTCAATTAAAAGAGAAACAACACGAAATGCATGCTTTATTAAGAAATAATATGTAAGCTAAATAAAGTAATTTGTTATTCTTTCAATTCATCTAGAGCTATTAGAGCTATCAATTAATCTAGAGCAACTTATGAAAAAGTTGTAAAACACAAAGAACAATTTCAGAAATTGTTAAAGCATAAGATGGTTGTACCCAAAAAAAGTTGTTAAAAGCGTTAAAGTCAGCAAGAAATTTGCAAATAAACTAGTCCAGCCATGAAAGTGTGCTACCAAAGATAAAATTCACCTTTTTTATTGAATAGATTTTAACAGCTTAGCATTAGGATTTACTACTCAACCACTGGCACAATCAAAGCCAAAATTTACATACAAATCTTGTTCTTGCAATTTTATAGAATAAAAATATTATTATTATTGTGCAATGAGCATACACAAAACTTAAGGATATCTTCCTTATGATATTACCTCTATTATAGTAAACTATCTCGCTTTTTTTCTTTGTTAAATTTAAATTAAAAAACAGATGTAGTTATCAATTGCTAACTTCTTAGGTTTAATTTCTTTAATTATGTCGATTTGCAGGAAGAAAACGTGTTAGAAGAAGGTTACAAGCAATACATGAACAAAACTTTTCAATTGCTTGGATATTCTTCCTTCGTCGATGTGCTGCAAATAGAAAAAAAGTTCTTATCTGTAAGTGACTGAGTTGACCAGACACAAAGACCTAGTTGAGGCAGTTAACGTATTTGAGCAAAAAGAAAATAAAAAACCGGGTTTTGAAACATTAATTTGTACTTCGTCTTCGATAACAAAATTTCAACAAAAATGACAGCCATTGTTTGTATATTGTGTTAGCCAATCACATTTTATCACGTGATCAAGCTAGCCAATAGCATTTCTTCATTCCTATAGATACGTAAGCGCGATATTTGCAAAATCAGGACTTTTAAATGTTCCAAGTGTTGAGAGACAAAAAAAACAAACGGTTTGACCGTTTAATTTGGGCATTTTTTTATTCTATTATATAAAACATATAGATAACATTTTAACCGTTGTCTATACAGTTATAGATACACAGTAAGACGTCGTTGTGATAATAACAAAAAGTGACACTCGCCCCTGCGGCTCGTGGCCACTTTTTTAGTAACGGTTATTTGTTTAGTATATCACACTGGATAACGCAATCCTGTATGAAATATTGTACGAAAATTGAAGACGTATATTGGCTTATTGCTTACGATTTTCGGGGAGGGATCGGTCCTACTTTACTAAAGTTTTGTGTAACAAAATCTCATATTTGCGTTTTAATTCGTTCAACAAACTTTTGATTTAAGCAAAACTTTCATGAAGGGGACAGGACGACCGGCAAAGATATTTAATCCTAAAAAGTTTGTATTCTTGGCATTATAATGCCAGAAAATTGAGAGAGTGAAAGGTAACTGCATTGTTTTGAAACAAACTGGAGATTGTATGATGATGCTGCTTCTAAAAAATGTAGAAATATTACAGAATCCTCATACTTCCAACAAAACACTTCGGTTTCTTGACAAACTTAAACGCCTTGTTTTGCGTTATTTATATTGCCGAGATCATAATGATTTCACAATACGTCTTTATTAAAACAGTAAAGGAACAAAAGAAATCAACATAGAAAAATAGTTAAAAAGACAGTTTAATGAAAATCAATAAGTTGAAAACGATGTCCTCAAACTATACAAGATGCACATCATCAAAATATGCGAAAGTGCCTCTCTCGGTTGCATTAAGCAAAGCAAAGTTGTAAACCAGTTGCTTTGTGAACAACTTCAATATCAATGAATTTATTGAAGATATAAATACCTTTGTCCGTATTTTGATTAAATGATGAATTCATCTTCGAAAAATGACTCGTAGAAATGAAATTGTAATCGTCACCTTCAACTTTCAATTTTCAATACAACTTGCCATGTTATTTTTCAGTCGTTACAAAGCCAAGAAGATGGAGCTTTAGGGTTAAAACTGTCTACCAATCTACCTCTACATCTCATTTTGCATTAATCAGAAGTTTGTAAAAGGAATAAAAATGTGATTTTGTAATACAATAGTATGGTAAAGTCGGACCGATACCCCCCATGAAGTCAAGAGAAAATGATCGAACTTGAGGCTTCAATTTTCACAAGAGATGCGTTATTCAGTCCAATATACATATCTGTACTTAGTAGAGTAATTTGCCAAACACGACATTTCATCTAAGACGTCGTCAAATTTTTGAGAGGAATCTGGGTCTAGGACACCACCACGTCGTAAAGTATTTGGGACTTAGCAGACCTTCTTCAAAGAATAGCATGAAACAAGTTTCATCCATTTTAGCATTTTCCTACTGGCCAGTTTTTCCTATGACTTAAAACTTTTTTTTTTATCAAAAATATACTGCAGTATATTTATTTGAATAAAAGCAAAATCATTGACATAGAGCTTTTTGACTAAAATTGTTTGGACTCAAAGGAACCCCCTGAAATTATGAATATATGCAGACCTATATAATCTTTTAAGATGCAAATATCAGTAATATTTCGTTATTTTTGTTCAAAAATTGAGTTTGTTTCTGCCGTCGTCGATAAGACGTCAAATTCTTTCTTTTCACATCGTTGTTGTCAACAAGACTGCCGTTGTAAATTGAACCGGAAGTAAAAGGAGCATGCCACGCCATTTTTAAGACATCTCAAATAAAAGTAATCAGGCTTTTGTTGACATTTTGGGCTATGAGCGCAAGAACGCATTAAATGACAAGAATATAAACATAACAAGTGCTGCGTGCAACAAAGTTGCTGCAATTCACCATTTAGTTTTTGAGAAAAAAAAAAAACGCTTGCATACGATAAAGTGAGTACTTTTCTTCAACTTTACCCTGGGGATTTTTTTAAGTTGTCATGGGTGGCTTGTGTCCGATAAATTAAATATTTTTGGGCTTCTCGGTAGGTTATGATGTATAAATGTACCAAGGTGCCTTTGGAAGTCAAAGCGTGATTATTTATAGCAAATTGTTGGAAAATCCTGAAGAGTTGAATTTTAGATAATGTGGATATAGCATTTTAAAGAGTAAAATCATTATATGAAGTAAAACCGTACATAATTTTGTATTTTGAATCCAGCTAAACATATTTGAAGCTAGGGCATCGATAACATATTTTTTGACAAATTTTCTCTTTCTGTTTTGATAAATGACTTATTGCAGTGTTAGCTTTTAATTTCAGCTAGTTTATGTTTATATTTAGATGAACACACCTACAAAACTAGGCGTGTTTTCTTGCACGTTTCAAACACTTTATATAAATTTTATCGTGGTAAAGAAAGTCTTTTTGTGTTTGCTTCAACGAAGAAAAATTGTATGACTTAAATACGCTAAAGAAGTTATAGTACACCCTATATACATCTTATGAGTCGCCTTCAATAAATAAATTTATGATTGAATTTTTTAGATAAGGTATCATGGAGACAAAAAAAATAATTACCCCAGGGAGATGACTGTGGCTAAGCTAAAGAAGTACACTGAACACAAGGTTAGAGCTAAATTTTTAACTCAATTTAAATTGCAAGATTTCATAGAAATGAATTACAAGCAATTAAAGAATAAATTAACAACTGACTTTATGTCCATACTGTATGCTTATTTGTATGCCCTTGCTTAAAATTGTGTTGACTTCACTTTAAACATGTTGAACTGTAGTATTCTGCTAGAAACGGATTCTTGCTTTTTCTAATGGTTGGAAGTTTAAATCACTCCTACGTGAGACATTATTTTTTCACCCTCTCAGTGTGCATTTTGTACTTTCTAACATTCATGCATTTTTGGGCCCAACAGTTTTGCTCTTGCCGACAAACTTCTCTTTTTCTCTACTCCCTTCTTCCTTCAGACATATAGTTCCTAAACCTGTAGTTAAAAAAGTTGTCTTACAAAGGTGAACATCTCGTTTCTATTTGATTTTAATTTTCCATTTTTTTAAGAAATCCTCCTCAATTGATTTTTTTCTCCAATGGACATTAAAAAATAGGATTAGTAAAATAAAGAAAGCACAATAAAAGAAGTCTGATCAAAAAATTAGCTAAAGAATAAGAAATTAGTTAGATTGTACCCAAATAAACTAACTATCGCTCAAATTTTATTTCTAATTGAAACATTTGTGTAGAAAACATTGGATTTATTTATGATCAAATGAATCACGAAATATTTTGTTTATCTGTAGTTTGACTGGTTGGTCTATTTGAACGAAGTCATGAAAGTAGCAGGAAAATCAATTAATGAAGATACAGAAGTGTTAGTTTACTCACCAGCCAAGCTAAAGTTGATTATAGACTTTATGACTAAATACCAAGCAAGGTACCTTTGAGTTTTTTACTGTAATAAACGATTGCTCCTGTACAGTTTTCTATTATGATAGGTCAATGGCACTTACAAATCTACGTAAGGCACAAATGTGTTAATACAGACGATATAATGTTTTTAGAAAAATGACTAGTTTGCTTTAAATATTATTTGCAGTGTATTTCTCATTTATTTTAAGGATTCCGTATCTTTATTCTTCTAGTTTCAAAAAAAACTTTCCGTAGCACAGAAAAGCAATTATTAATCTTACAAACTTTCTTCTTTTTTGTTTGTACAGATGAGTTTCTTCAGTTACTATGATTATTTTGTAAAATTTCGTTCGTATTTTGTTGAATAAATTATTGCTTTATTTTGATTAGTTTCATGTAAAACAGAAGATACTATAAACAAAACCCATTCCATTTTTCAAGTTGTGATTTCACTTTACATTGACCTAATATTAGAATATAGTTTTCAGTACTGTCCAAAGAACATTTTGCATTTTCTTATGCCAGGATAAATTAATATGGTCTCGGTATATCTAACGAAATCTTTTTCGAGACTTATCACTACTGGCTTTCTAATAAAGATTATTTTCCTAAACAATATCAGAAATTGTTGAACTTTATTTAAAAAAACACATGTTGAGGAATATTTTTTCATTAAATATTATCACCTCTTAATTGATTTCGTTACTCTCAATGTCAAATGTTACCTCGTTCATAAGTTTCAAAAATTTGTTTTAAATTTGTTATCAATTTTATGCAAGCAAATATTGGTAGCAGTATAATTATAATAGTTACTACCTACATTAAGAAGAATTTCCATAATTTTTCAAGACCATTCACATCTTTTTGTGATATCTCATGCAGCAAATACTTATATGCAACATTTACATATAAGTATTTGCTTCATGAGAAGAAAAGGTAGATTTTGTCCAAAGTTTTTTTTTCAAGTTACATTATGAAGCGGTACAAGAAAATTTTCAATTTACATCTATTTTCATTAAAAGCAGCTTTTGCAATATTTTTGAATGTATGGTTTTATTTTAAGAACGATCGCCAATGAAATCGCCTGGGTTATTGTAAATTCCATGATGACAGCATTACCCAAGGGTTTTCGAGATGCACGTAATGATTATGTAAGCTTGGTAACAGGGGTTGAATCTCCACTAACAAGACGAAGAACATGTGTTGAAGAAACGAATTTATACTTCGAGTACCCCATCGCAAAGTTGTATGGTGAAAAATATGTTTCAGAGGAAGCCAGGAAGAGGGTACTGTATTTAATAAAACTAGCTACAGATAAAGAAAACTTCTCACAAAAAGTCATTAAAAAAGAAAAAACTCTTAGTAGAAATTTTGATGAAAAATACAGCAAATAGTCTCTTTTCAATTTCCATTAATAAATAACATTCGATGCTATTTTCAACATATTTTGGCAAGAACAGAAAGAAGCCGTACGTGTACGTGTACGTGTACGTGTACGTGTGTACGTGTACGTGTACGTGTGTACGTGTGCGTATTAGGTGTACGCATGTACGTTTGCTTTATTAAGCATATAATGCCAGTAAGCATTCTTTTTCTATTTATTAGGCGTTTAATCTTTTTCACGAAATACGAATGCAGTTCATTGAAGGATTAAACGAACTTCAGTGGATGGATTATACATCTAGGGCTAAGGCCCGTTTAAAGGTACACAGCTGCGTATTGAGAATTCCAGCCTCAGAAGGATTTTTGTCTACGCCGTGTAGTTATAGGACCTGTAGGAATAATATTTTTCTATTTAGATATGCTGCATGCTCACAACTATTGTTAAAGACACACAATTGAGCAGTTGTTAATTTACTTCACAATAAGTACTTTCCCTTATAGTTAGAGAAGATGAAGGAAAGCGTTGGTTATCCTTTATTCGTTAAAGACACAGCAAAATTGAACAAAATGTACAAAACTGTAAGTCGTTATTTATAAAGCCCAGCGCACCCGACAGTTATTTGCTGGCAAAATAGCATTCGTGCCAAGTGGCTTAAGCCAGTTGCTCTCGTGAGCGCGTGCTTTTTTCAGTGACTTTTGCTATTCCAGACATGACCATTGAACTAAAATAAATGGAAGGTTACGTCAGTCGATATTTTGATGCCAGTAGCGTGCAGTCTTGTAAACACAAAGGCCAATAGAAGCAAACTAAATAACAACGTATTATGAATCTCCAAAACTAAAACAAAAATTCTTTTTTGTTTTTACTGGCAATCAAAAACTTTTCAAATGAAACTTAACATCAAGCATACACAATTTTTCGACAATTAATTATTTTTGAAGGAAGCCATAGCCAACCATAACCATAAGGCATTTTGCAAGAGTTGCTTGTTTTTGTATGTCTGTAAACACGACAAAAAACTAAAGCTTTTTTGCTCCAAAGTAGCAACTATTACGCGCAAATCACTTTACGAATTTCGTATAACATAAAAAAGCAAATGAAATTTTAAACAAACATCAGCTTTAGTAATGTATTTTAACCCAAACCATTAGTAGTAGTTCGCTTCCGTGGACGTATAAATTTACAGAACAACACAATTATAAGTACAAACTTACATAGGATTTAATTTTAAAAGATAAATTGAATACTAACCATCACATGTTACAAAAATTTATGCACGGCAAAGGAAATCCTCTAAAGGCATTTTATCTTATAGGTATCTCATAATTTTTTGTCTTTCAGAACTTTTAGTAAATTTAGCTTTGTGATCGAAAAACAAACATACATTCAACATTATTTCAAACATCATTTTTCTCGTCATTTTTAAAAAACTAATCAATTCTGTAAATTTATAGTTTTACGTACAAATCCCGAAATATTGCTAGGAGAAACACATGTAAATTATTGAATACACTTAGTTAAATTCTTTCGAAATAAACTAGTACTAGCTGCACTGTTTAAGATGTGTATGAAATGAACGATATCATTGTTTTTCACAGTTTCCAAAGTTAATGGCTTCCATTTCAAAATACGTATTTAATGGTGAGAATCATTATCGACCGAATATAAATCAAGCCTTATCACCTTTAATGCTACAATACCTTTCCTTGTTTATTCTTTAAACAAAATCAAAAAAAGACTTCGGTAAAGACATGTTTTATTAGAAATCTTACATGACGTGTAGCTTTGCGCGTGTGATACACGTAAATTGGCAAGGGTGTCTGGAGGTCAAATTTTTGTTCAAAAAATAATTTGGCTTTTCTATTGAAGGTAACCTTCCATGTACTATACTTCAGTGGGCAGGACTGGCAAATATCGAACGTGTATGAAACTTTTTGCCACGCGTTGCATATGCTTTGTCAATTTGTCCATGTACGCCGTCTTGAAGCAAATTGTTTTTGGTGTTTCTACCTCAGTGTGTGCTCAATGAATTTCATATCAAACCAAAATGGAGGCTTCCTTAAATGAGTAGAATTCTGTGTCATTTTCTGATGCCGAAAAAAAAGACGAAGTAGCACTTTTATGCCTGTTTCTAATTCGTCGTTGAAGCAGACTCTCTATAGTCTCCGTTTATAAAATTTGCTGATCAAACGTGATATATGCATAGGTAATCAGGCAAGAGATCACTTGTTTATCATCTAAAATTGCTCCTTCGACTAAATCATGTTGTTCAGCCATTGATATGTATATTACACACCGATATGTATTAAACTGGATAACGCAACTTTGACTTTCTGAAGCCAGTGGCGGCCATATTGGACTGTCCACTTTTGTAGTATTGATTGATAGGTTTTTAGTAGTAAATTGTTTTTTGCAACATTTTTTCGCATTATATGTCACATTCTTGGGTTCGAAATGATTAATTGTAATGGCACGACTATAAAAGGAATGATATTGGAGGAAAAATGGTTATTTTGTCTTAGATACGTCTAAAACTTCGCGCTAATAAAGATTCTATGATAAATCGCTGAGCAAACATGGGTGGATTTTCGAAACTTTTTAAAACTTTCAGTAACAGACCTCGTGAAAATCTCACTAAGGACATGATCTTATAGAAATTTTATCTTGGTGACAAACTGCGACTAAAATGCACTTTGTATAGCGCGTGAATGGTAATTATGTAACATAATTTTGACTTGTTTGTATCGAAGTAGTTCCGCAGTTGCATTAAAATAAACATAATGTTTTGTACAGGCCGTCAAAAATGGCTTAGATTTACATTAATAAACCAAGATATTGTATAATATAATTATGGTTTCACAAAAAAATGAGATGTACATGACTGATTTCTGTCGAGCTAAAGATCGTGATTGCAGATTGGGTTGCTTGATTCTTCTCTGTGAGTCCTATAACTGATATTTGTCATTGTTTCTTTGAAGTAAATGAACTTATTGCAATTTTTTTAACAGAAAATTTGTGTGTTGTGATTTCATCATGCTGAATGAAGCATCACTTAGTAGTAGAATGCTACAGAATTTTTAATGTTGCATAAACATGCTTGTGTCACACATTCCAATAATAAATGTAATAATCCAGTTCTAGACACAGAGCACTAAGAGAAGACTCATATACAATCCAAAACGCTGCTCTTGCAATAGCTTAGACTTTGGGAAGCTTTTCAAAATTACTCGCCGACATTTTATAGAAACTCTTAAAACAAAGAAGAGCAATAATGGGGAACAGCTTCATTAATTTTTCATTAACTTTTACTTTCATAATCTTATATGTGCACCAGTGAGTGTGAAAATTTGGCCCTATCTCGGCAGGAGAAAATGGAAAAATCTCGAGTGTGTAATATAAAATATACACTCAAAGTAGATAGTCTAATATGGCCGCCGCTGTCAGAAGTTGGCTTCAAAAATTTTCTAGGCATTGTATTAAGTTGTGTTATCCAGTCTTTATATATATCAGTGATATTACATGGATTGCGCATTCCCAATATAGAGAGTGCAAATATTTGAAGTCGGAAGTAGACAGCTATAATTAGATAGGCCGCCAAATTGAACAGTCTCACTCAATAATAATCTATAGTAAAGAACCAAGATAGCAAAGAATTTTAGATCGCATTGTACTTATACACCGTAAAATATGATTGAATGTGAAGCTACAAGCATTCTCTTGCAATAATATTTCTCAAATGGTGTCACGAAAATTTTTGAATAAATTCTTTCTTAACAGCACAACTGCTTCCTACACTTAATCTTGTTAAAGCTAATAAGTAGCAGTTTTTGTCAATACACCACAAGACACGATTTTCGCAATTTTTTATGTCATAAATTGACATACTTTTCATGTCAACCTCGTGAAATGGGGCTGTTTAATATGGCGGCCTTCTGTCTTCAAGTTTCATTAGTGATGCACAACCATGTAATATAAATATCAGTGGTTCAGCCAGGACCACCATTTTCGTTTGATATAAAATTTATTGAGCATGCGCTGTGTTAATAACACACAAAAGCAATTTGCTTCAAGACGCTGCATATGGAGAAAAATATCTAATATGTTAGATATTTTCCAATCCTTCCTGGAATGGCAAAAGTCGCCGGCAAAAGCACTTGCGCACATAAGCAACTATGGCACGAATGACACGTGGCTACGCACATAGCTCTCGTGTGGGACGGGCTTAGTTATCCATCCTGAGCAAGGGCAGTTCCTTATTTTCTTCAGTTTCAAGAATATATGTAGCATTATAATAAACAATAAATTAACTCATCAATGTTAACGTAATTTTACCATAGAAAATTGGTCGAAAGTTTATCAAAAAAAAAATTTATAAATTGCCTTAATCACGGAAATAATGCTGTTCTATTATTTTTGTAGTATCTTGTGGACGGCAATGACTTCTTCAACAACAAATTGAGAGTTTTGAAAGCTCGGTTTGTTGAATACTTGAAGACGATGGATAGTCCACCTGATGACAAAAGGTTTGTGTATGGACACAAGTTTGAATTCACGTTAACAACGTCAAAACGTTTTTGCTACCAATCCTCCTATAAATATAAGATGGCAGAAAGTCATTTTAAACCAGTATTAAAGCATAAAAATGAGCAACAGCACGCTATTTAGTGATCAGAAGCAGCAATTAAACTATTTGATAAAAGTCATAGGTAGTAAGATAGCAAAGCCATAAACAATAAAAATCAATACTAGAGAATGATAGTAATAATTAAAATGTAAACTAAATAAAACTATCGTTATTGTTAAACGGCATGCGTCTTGAAAATTCGGAAACATTCTTAAGGTGTATAAAGTCAATTTTGGAGATTAGTAACGCCAGGTTGGAGTGTGCTTGTGTTAGTTGTGCTGAGAGGACGCGTATACGAGCGTGTTTCCCGTTTATTTCTTCTTGAAGGAGTTTATTTTGGCATTGGCGATAAGCGCTAGAGTTTTGTAAGCGACGACTAGCTACTTTGAACCACAGGAATCTTGGTATCACAGAGCGCTTTCTGCATGTCGTAAGAAAATCCAAGTCGAGTTTTGCTTTTCCTAGCTTGAGTTCAAGTCGTTGGAATTTTCTAAATGCTTCGAGTGCTCCATCATTATAGCGATGATTTAAAATTGTAGCGAGAGACTTGCCGAGCGGAAATCGAATACATGTGATAAAAATTAATGCCCAACATAAAGTTCTGATTAGAGCCATAGAAATAGACCAAAAAAAAAAAAATTGTAAAATTTAAATTTATTGTGACGTTTCGTCTTTACTCAAGACATCTTCAGACAAATAATAAATAGGACGTTAAGACAAGGTACTATATTTACAAAAAGGTGTTAAATTACTACTAAAGGAAGCAGTGTCGAATGAATACATGATAAGGAAGTTTGGAAGTGAAATGAAAAGAAATTAAAAGAGGTTAAGTGGAATGGAGTTTCCTTGCACATTAAGTGAAGGCTTGTGTTTATTGATTAGAAGGCTTTTTTAATGGAGAGTTCATAAGTATCGTTGGAAGAGGAGATTATTTCAAAGTCGTCTAAGTTGGGGGTGTGTCCAGTTGCGTTAATGTGAGCAAGAATGCTTGATGATGCAGGGTGGGAAACTTGGTTGCCTGTAAAGGGGGATATTGCCAAGTGCTCCGAAAATCTGGTGTGTAGATGACGCGTGGTTTGACCCACATACGAAGCGTTGCAGCTTCGACACTTGAATAAATAGACTACACCAGATCTCAGAAGTTTGGGAATTTTGTCCTTAAAGGGGAAGAAAGAAGAGATACGTTGAGAAGGGCGGAAAACAAATTTAATGGATATATGTGAGAAGGCTGCAGCACAAAGGTTATTGATTTGTGTGCGAATTTGAAGGGAGTGTATGCCGGTGAAAGGAAGACAAAAATAGATGGGCATTTTGTGAGCAGTCAAGACAGGTGGTTTAGGGGCAAATGTGTTGTTAAGGAAGCGACGTGTGATTTGGTCAATTATACGTGAAGGAAAACCGGGTTTTTTTTTACTTTTTCATAAATTTTCTTTTTTTTACTTTTTCATTCCTCCGATCACGTCCCTCTCTTTCTTGACTACCTGAACCGACAACACCCTAACATCACATTCACATCTGAAGTCGAACAAAACAGAAAGCTCTCATTTCTTGACATTGATATCTCTCGTACTAATGGAAAATTCACCACTTCCGCCTACAGCAAACCTACTTTCACTGGCCTCTTCACCAACTTCCACAGCTTCATCCCACTTACTTACAAACTTTCATTAGTCTCCTGCTTACTTCACCGCATCTTCAATCTTTGCTCTACTTACGAAAATTTTCATACACAACTCGAATTTACCAGAAAGTCACTCACCAAAAACGGTTTTCCTTCACGTATAATTGACCAAATCACACGTCGCTTCCTTAATAACACCTTTGCCCCTAAACCACCTGTCTTGACTGCTCACAAAATGCCCATCTATTTCAGTTTTCCTTTCACCGGCATACACTCCCTTCAAATTCGCACACAAATCAATAACCTTTGTGCTGCAGCCTTCCCACATATATCCATTAAATTTGTTTTCCGTCCTTCTCAACGTATCTCTTCTTTCTTCCCCTTTAAGGACAAAATTCCCAAACCTCTGAGATCTGGTGTAGTCTATTTATTCAAGTGTCCAAGCTGCAACGCTTCGTATGTGGGTCAAACCACACGTCATCTACACACCAGATTTTCGGAGCACTTGGGAATATCCCCTCTTACTGGCAACCAAGTTTCCCACCCTGCATCATCAAGCATTCTTGCTCACATTAACGCAACTGGACACACCCCCAACTTAGACGACTTTAAAATAATCTCCTCTTCCAACGATACTTATGAACTCTCCATCCGTGAAAGCCTTCTAATCAATAAACACAAGCCTTCACTTAATGTGCAAGGAAACTCCATTCCACTTAACCTCTTTTAATTTCTCTTCATTTTACTTCCAAACTTCCTTATCATGTATCCATTCGACACCGCTTCCTTTAGTAGTAATTTAACACCTTTTTGTAAATATAATACCTTGTCTTAACGTCCTATTTATTATTTGTCTGAAGATGTCTTGAGTAAAGACGAAACGTCACAATAAATTTAAATTTTGCAATTTGTTTTTTTTTTGGTCTTTTTCTATGGCTCTAATCAGAACTTTATGTTGGGCATTAATTTTTATCACACGTATTCGATTTCCGCTCGGCAAGTCTCTCGCTATAATTTATTCACTTTGTGTAACTTACTTACTCAACTATTTGAAACATATGTCTAAATTAATAAGAAACCTATTTTACATCAGTCACTGTCAAACTCCCCCATGAGATCTAAAAATTGTTAGAAGGTGAAAAATGTCAGTTAAATAACAGGGAGGCAAAAACTTATTAAGTCAACCTTGACAAAAGCAGTACGTTTTGGTACCTGTATTGATGATCAACAACAGCTTGGAGAACAATAGAGTAGAATCCTTTTTGATTGTAATAATCTTGTGCAGAATTTAAAGGTTCTACAATTTGAATATGAGTGCCATCAATTGTTCCAACGCATTGAGGGAAGCCCTATGTCGTTAGAAAGGCATCAATGATACTTTGCAGTCTATCGCCCGTTGGCCATTTGATAACAAGACGCAGTAACACGTCAACAATAGCTTGGCAAACCTCGTTCACGATTTCACAGGCTGTACTTTTTCCTATACTAAAACGCCAAGCTAAAGAACGCAAATCTTCATTGGTAGCCAAGTGCCAAAAACAAATTCCTACTCTTTTTGGCACAGGGATAGCCTTTCTGAAATTTGTATCTTCTTGCAAAAGAGTGTCATTGATCTTGTCGCAAATGAAATCGAATGTTCCCTTAGACATACGAAAACTTTCTAGCCACAACCCATCATTTTTCCACATATCGATAGTTTTTTCCCAGAACAAACCGGTGCCTTTGCTTTCATCCACCCATAAACGTCTTTCACTCGTTAATTTATTTCCTAGAGCGCCAATAAACCAAAAATAAAACTGGCCATCCCTTCTTTTACTTCGCTGCTTTCTCAGTTTCAAAAAATATTTCTTTCTTCTTTCACGACGCATTCGCATCTTTTTGTGGTATTTGGATGTAATATTGAAAATGGTTACGATCACTCCGCCATATTTGGATTGCAATAATATAAATATTACTCTTTGTTGTCAAGAAAACTAGCTCGGCTTACGTGTAGCGCCAGTTAAGTGTGAACGCTCACAAAATTGAGCTTAGCATTCACAAGATCGATCTCAGATCGATCTTAAAGTGAGCTAAGTGTGAACAGGCCATATATCAACCAAAAGTTTCCTTGAATTTAAAGAATGTTTACCACAACGACACATTTTGCAAAATGAAGTCACAAGTTGTGTATATCTAACTTCATACATTACAAAAATTTCAATATCCTAGACATTTAAAGAGATAAACATAAACTTATTTAAAAAATGCTCTGTCCGTTTCAAAGTTCTTTTCAATAAAAATATAATTCACATAGTAAAGTTTTCGAGATGCATGCACTTTAACGTAATTGGAGACAAATTGTACGGGCCACACCGTTTCTACACGTATTTGTATGTTTTGTACTCAATAAACAGATTATTTTTTAAATAGATACGATCCTATCAAAACAGTAAACCGACAGACAAAAATATTTGATTAACATCAAACAAACTCCATACACCAATTGTGGTTTCTTAAAAAAATCATACACACATCCAATCAATCAATTTAAATGTGACTTAGAGCACTATTTGTTGCTTGGTTTCTTATACAATATAGATGAAAGATAGATGAAAATAGATGAAAAGCATTGGTCTCTTATAATTTCATTGAGGATATATAGAGAGATAAATAGATAATTTGTTGCTATCTCTATTAAAAATCAATGCTAAATCACTAACGAGAATAATGTGCCTCAAGTACATATTGTAGCACACTATACCTGATCTATTATTCCGACTAGAGAAATTGATAATTAGCCATATTTAACTTGGATAAGTAAAATACAATATAAAGAGCATTAAATTTTTATAGAGAATTGTTGTTTTCTAATAAAAAGATCAATTTTTCTTTATTCTATATCAGGTTTCCATCACCTCCGACTGCAGTGAACGCCTATTATTATCCTTTAAAGAACAAGATGTGTAAGTATATTAAAATAAACGTCAATCTTTTCAATTTTTCATTTCATAAAACTATATTGCGAAACTGTGTGTAAAAGAAATCTTCCACTTCCTCTAACATGTTTCCGGATAAACATTTCGAAGTTTATGCATAATGAACTGACAATGTTCTGAAATGTATGTTTATTATCGGCAGTGTGACTAGACTTGGTAATGTTTATCACAAATTTTGCTCTGGTGAGCTCAGACAGCCCCTCTAATTAAGTAACTGCAATAATAGGAAGCATTCTGCACGGATTAATGGAATTTTTTATAATTAATATTTATGTGTGGCAACACTAATGATTGGTGATTATTCTTTAAAATATTGTTGATAATAACTTTAATGCTATGTTTTACAAGCAGGAACTCTTTCATGTGACCATTATCTCGAAAAGTTCACAGTCGAGACTTTTATACCCTTCTTAATTCCAAAAAGTTTAATGGTGTTATGTTGTTGACATTTTCTTCGTTCTCTGTACACATAAAGTACCTCAACTTCATTCTCTGATAGTTGACTCTTTTTCAATAAAATGAAAGAAAGCTGCAAATATTTAGATTAATTGTTCGAATATACATTAAATGCGTAGAAAAAGTAAAGAGAAGCTATAACAAGTATTGCCTGTATGTTGAACATAAAGCAACTTAAACTCAACCAGATATGTTTATTGACAGCTAAACTGATCCTCGTTCACAAATTTTGTGCAAACAGTAACTATTGATGCAAACTGACGCAGATCAAAAAGCTTTTTTTGCGCCTCAAGTTTAAAACAAGCATTTCTTTTATTTATGATTCCCAATGACGGAAATTTATTAGCCAATTTGCTTCAAAACTTTGTCTACTATACGAATATAAGATTTGATCCCATTCACATGTTTTCACTTAACGTCAAATTGACATCTAATGAAAGGACTTGAAACTTTCTTTGTAATACGATGATTCATTTGATAGTTAAAACCTGATCTTCCCTGTTGGGATTTTTTGTATTGCTTATGCAACACAAATGCGACACTTTCATGGAAAATATCTTCCTTGTAAGTATCCCTCAAAAGCGCGGTGGCCCTTTTTACTGTCCATGATGCCCTCACCTTGATCCGACCCTAGTGATAGGAGAGAAATGCTATTTCAATAGTTATTAAGAACGGATTATGCACAATTAAAACACAGTTTTGAATGAATTAATAACTATTCTGGTCAAAAAATAAGTTTTTATATTTTCAAACATATGGAAGAAAAAACTATAATTATACCCTATTTTATCTATTCATAATTTCCAAGCAATGGACATTGTTTTTATCGAAAAAACGAGAGATTACATTTCACGTACTTTCCTTCAACATACACTAATTGCCGTGTTTTACGCTTTTTACTGCCGAAATTATTCGTAGATTTCTGTACATTTACCAAATTCTTCACTCTGGACAACATGTTTATCTTAATTGAAACTTTGTAGAACAATGCATTGTAGTGCAGTGCAAATTAAAAAATTTAAAATACTAGAGTTTCTTTTAGAGAAAAAAACTTTACGAAGTGTTTCGCCTTTTTCCAATTCTATCGTTGTTAATTATGTGTAGCATTATATTTCTTATTATAAATAATAAATCAAAACAAATATTAAATTTAGCTGTGCTCATTTAAATTCTTATATTATCACATAATGTTGTTTTATTATAACTTGGTTGTAGAGAAAAAATGGTGCATTGTGGGTAAACATTTCTATTTTGTGATTATTGATCTGTATTTATGATAGTTATTAAGATCCGTTGGATACGTTTATATAATATATTTCATTTATTGATGACTTTAATATACGTTACAGAAATATTACAAACTCGTCCCTCCCTCCCCCCTTTAAACTTTTGAAAACTATGACTTCTCTGTTAGATCTCTATTGTATTTGTTATTTGCAGTTTTTAAGTAAACTCTTCGTATTCCAAGCTCTTTCTAAAAGCTTCCTCTTTCGTCCACCACTCAAGTTAGAAATTTCCTTTTACCTCGTTTTAGATATTCTCGCTGGAATTTTAGAAAAGCCTTTTTACGAACCTGATCATTTGAAGTAAGACATTTTAAAATCGTAGAAATTTGTCTTTAAATACGATGAGCCTGCTTGCGCGTATTTTTTTGCATTCAAAATGGATTTGAATATTGAGATATAAAATGGGAATAAGTGGTTACAGGGTGAAATAAAAAATAATAGGAAGGGCCTGGAGTATTTTTACAAACGAGCAATTTCAGTACGATAAACAAAGATGAACGAAGAATTCAATTCGTAACATATTTTCAACACTGTTTTTGAGGGGCTTTCAAGTATTTCGTCTTGCAATTTCATTTTTACCGATGACCATTGAATTCTCCTCACTTTATATTAGGGCGTTGAATTATGGTAGTATTGGCATGGTCGTCGGTCATGAAATGACGCATGGATTTGACTTTAAAGGTAATTGCTTTTTACTTCGGTGTTGTTTTGGTAATATGCTTCGCATACTAATCATTTGGTAAAGATATAGAGTAAATGAACCTTCTTAGTAGCACGTAGTAAAATTGGTCGTTTCTAGATGGCGAGTTATAAATTAAGTTATCAATGTATAATGTATTACTTATTATTTGTTATTGTCGGGCTCAGTTTTGAGCTTCATTTTCTTACCTCAGTACATTTCTTCAATTGTTTTTGATTATTAATCATTTATAATCTTAAGATAATTTTATTGTGTAATTTCACATATGAATTATTTTTCACATGTGAAAAATTCACATATGAAGAATTAAATGTTATATGTGAAACTGACTTTTTATATGTGAAATTAGCATTTTATGTGTGAAAGTGTAATTTCACATATGAATTGTTTTTCACATATGTAAAATTCGAATGTGAAGAACTAGATGTTAAATGTGACATTTAAGTTCCACATATGAAAATTTAATTTCACATGTGAAATGTTTTCTTTCATATATAAAAATGTCTATTTCATATATGAAATGCGTTTTCTTATATGAAATCAAATGTGAAAGTTTTGTTAGGGCAGCCTGTACATATTAGTTTAAATCAGGGGTCTCCAAACTACGGCCCGCGGGCCAGATGCGGCCCGTTGGGCTTCTCAATCCGGCCCGCAGAGGCACTTCAGAAAAAAAATATTATTAAACAAAATAAATTTTGTGCAGAAAGTTCACGTTATGTCGCAAGCTAACTAGCAAGAGTGGCTTACGTCAATTTTTCTCCCAACTTCCTACTTCCGTTTCAAGCACATTGCGAAATTTAAAAAGCTGAAGGATAATGTGGAAATATTTTATATTCTTTGGCCCTCAACATGCTGGATAAAAGTTCATGTGGCCCTCTGGCTGTAAAGTTTGGAGACCCCTGGTTTAAATAATTAGCTCATTATTGGTATTGTAGTTATAAAGTCGTGCATTATCGCTCAAAAGGTTGCATGATTTAAGTGCTCGATGTTTAAAGTTATTAATTGTTTGCAAAACCTCTTTAACATTAAAATTTGAAACTTTCATTTTATCAGGACGTCTTTATGATGAAAAAGGAAATCTTAAGCCATGGATGACGACAAAGGCAAAACATAATTTCTTAACTAAAGCAATATGCCTGCTAAAAGAGTACAACAATACGTATGTCTACGGTAGAAAGGTTTGTGTTTATTGTTTTTGTATAATCCCTTATCTAACTCCGCAATCCTACAATGAAAACAAGATGTATGAAACTGTTGATATCTGAAAGTGAAAAATAAATGATGCAACGTTGGTAAACATTTTGTAATTATTTATTTGTAAAGAGAGGTCTTGACAAATTTTTGGTGATTGGTCCGAAGCCATGTTGAATCCCAGCACAAACGCAAATTAAATCGTTGTTGATACTATTGCTATTTTATTCTCTCATGTTTTAAAGAACTAACAACTTTGCTTTTAATTACATAACAAATAAAAGATGTTTAATGTGCACACATTTAAGAGAACTCGAGAGTAGATCAATGTAAGCCTGAAACCAAAGGTCGAGGGTATTACTTGCTTGGGAGTTCTTACAAACGTCTACGAGGTTTGCATAAGCCAGTACTAACGCGACAAACATTTTTTATTTCTTTTATTAAATAACATTATTATATTGCTAGCGTCACTTCTGGCAAAATGGTTTACTTTGATTGCCTGAGAAAGATTTTTGCAGCTCCATTATATTCCCGTAATCGACCACGGTCCAGAACGCGTAATTTTATTGTCAAATGTAAACAAACTTCGTAATGCAAACAGCAAAACGCAAAATAAGCGAAACAAAATACTATTTACTAATGTGAGTCAAAGGAAAAAATCTCGGAAAACAGTTTAACTATCCAGGCGATACAATTTGAAAGGATTTGTTTTTTACTGACTAAAAATATAAAAGTGAGGGGCAACCCGTAACAAACAGCAAAGATGAGAAGGAAAACAAGCTTCGCCTCAAATCAAATAATGCCATATAATAGAGATTTTACTAACTTCGCTTTCTAGATCTTTACTGAGAAATAACTAGCCTCTGTCTATTTGTGCAAATATTGCCTTACTGGCTTGGTCGGTACAAAAAGACCTCCCTCCGATATTTCTCCGTAAAGACCTAGAGCTCGGCTATTAAAAGATTAATTATGCAAAACATACAAATATAGTGCGAATGTTTTAATATTCTTCTATATAAAGTTTATTCATGATTGATTAGCAAATTCTCTTTGATTGATTGATCGATTTGATTGGTTGAGCTCAGACCATTTTGCAACGGCTATTGCTAACACAGCTAGTAACCAATCAGTGCACGTGTTTTATTGTGTTTATTTAATATTTATTTATAACGCATTTAACATTGTGTAAAGAAATAAATTTAATGATACATATGTAATCGTCGGAAAATCGCTGAATGCTTAATTTTTACATACCCATACTCTTATATTTTCGCTCATTTACAAACAAGATTACATCATGTATTTTTTTATAGTTAAATGGACTGTTGACACTCTCTGAAAATATTGCCGACAATGGTGGACTCAAGTATGCCTATCGCGTAAGAGAAATAATTTGATAGCATATACACAGTGGCGTAGCCAGCTCACAAATTTGGTCCTGCTATGTTAATTATTCTGTGTTCACTCACTGTTGAAACAATGCATTTCGAAAAAAATGAATAATGTTACTATTCTAAAATTTCCATAAATAGACCGAAAGTTGCGGGCTGGCTACGCTGCTGCATATACCACACAGCACACTGTCATATCAATGCAATTCAGAGAAAAATTTTGTTTTATGTTGGTTAGAGTCTGTAGCCTGCAGAAAGTTGAAAAAACTTTAGCGAGACAATATGATATTCCTGATGATGTCTTCTTAATATATTTTTCTTTAAATCAGCTGTTTAAGCGTTCGTATCATGTAATGTCTTGCAGTTGAGACTTTCATGTTGTTATTACTTTAAAAAGAAGCCCGAAAGTTAAAGCTTGGCAATAAACTTTTGTTAAATCTGTTGTTTTACTAGGCTTATGCAAAGTTAACTAGACTTTGCTCATAAAAAAGCATTGAAGTATGTTTAGGTTAAAGATTACAGAGTTTCTGCCCACTGCAAACGAAAATAATTTGGATTATCGCTAAGATAGGACATCGTATTTCTCAATGAAATGTGAAATTTTTACTTTTCTATTTATATGCTTGTTAATGCCTTATCTTCTTTTCACCAGGCGTACATGAAGTGGCGTAAAACAAACGGAGAGGAGGCAAAATTACCAGGATTAAATTTTAATAATGAACAACTTTTCTTCATTGCTTTTGCTCAGGTAAAATTGCACAAAAGTATACGCAATTGTTGCCAGTGAGGTTCCAGGCGGGAAACGGATTCTCAATATAAATATTATAGCCCAAACTATAATTTTGAACATATTCCTATCTCAGCATTTTCCAATCGTTCACGTGTAATCTAATGAAAGGAGAAATTTTAATAGATTTTTATTGCGTTGTTTTTCAATGTTTCGTTTCATTTTCTCGACATGATGAACCTTTTATTTGTTTTTGCTAGTTTCGTTTAGTAATGTTATTTGTTAAATGGGATGTAATAGTTATTTATTGGTCTTTTGATAACTTGTTGCTTTTGTTTATTGTTCTCAGCCTTAATTTGATGTAGCTTTTCATCTATTTTATTGGTATGTTTCTTTGGCATAATACTGTGTTCCATAATAAGCCATGTTTTTCCATCACTTTTTGTATTTTATTAAACATAGATCACGCTTTTGTATATATTAATGGATGGCCGTACAAGTAAATGCTATTGTGTTGAATTGTGATATGTGCTGCTCGCCCTTTTACCTCATTTCTTCTATCTCCTTTAATGTAGATTTCTTTACTCTTTATTAATGACCATTATCATCAATGATTGGATAAAAATTTTACTACTAAAATTTGCAGGTTGCAAACATGCCTTTGCACAATGCTCTATCTTATTTCACTTTAACTTTGACTCTGACTGTCTTGTTTTTAGACTTGGTGTACAAAATATCGTAACAAAGTGATTGACTATAATTTGAAACACGATCCACACTCTTTAGATCCAGCAAGGTAAAAGCGCTATGTATAAGATAGTGTTTTTAATTTATGAATACAGTGTTCACATAGAAAAGAAATTGTTTAATATTTATAGAATGTTAGGAAAGCAGAAAGTTTGTTTTTGAGAAAAAATTTAGAAATAACAAATACAAAATATCTTTTGACAATCAGTTATTTCTTTTTAATTTGTTATTTAGCCTATATCAGATCGAAATTTTAAATCTTTCTAACAAAAATTTTACTTTCTTTCTACAATTTCATTGCAAAACTTTTCAATTTGTTGCATTTTTGCATAGACAGAACATCTTTTAAACTTTTATTACTTTCCATGATGTCTTTTCAATGTTTCGGATAATTGCAACAATTTAATTATCTAAGCATTCAGTAGCACAATATAGTAAAAAATCAATAAAGATCATAATAAAAAAGTGCTCAATAGATAGCTGCAGTATCTGAGTTATACTTCCTATACTATTGAAATATCTTCTTCCAATCTAAACAGTTTGTGTATATGTATTCAGTGCCAATATAAATTAATTAAGAAATAAAAGTGTTTATTTTGTTTGGGAGAGTGCAAACCGAGGAGAACTTTCGTAGAATTAGAGAGCATGTCATTGCAAGCCCTAGACCGACAGTCAAACTCAGCTCAAGAGTTGTTAAAAAAATCTTCTAGGCTTTCATAAGCCAGGGCAAATACAAAAAACGTCTTTAATACCTTTTCTAAAATAGCAATAATGTAAAACCGACAAATTTAAAGCAAGCGTCTTAATTTTTTTCTGCAAGATGTATTCATGACTGATTAGCAAATTCTTTTTGATAGATGGATTATTTAATTTTTTTTTACCTCAGATTGGTTTCCACGGGCCAATCCAAACTCTGATTTAGATCAATAAGTGCTTGCATATCATTTTTTTTGGATAAATAATAAAAAAGATGCACCTAACTCTGACATTTGCAAAATGCAATACTAGTGTGGCGTACATGATTCATCGTTTAAACTGTTTTAGTGAATAAAAAATTTTGATTGAAAGAATTTCTCGACATTCTGTGGTTGTCGGAAGTACAGAAACGCAGAAAACTTTTTTCAATAAATTTTACATTAAATTATATTATATTGCATTGCATTTTTTGTTATATTATTTCATAATATCATGCTTCGTTTTTCATGTTATTGTATATTATATTCTAATGTATTATATGGTATAATATAATGGATTAAATCATGATATATTCTTGTTTCAATATATTCTTAGGGTGCGTGTGCCGTTATCAAATTTTCCACAGTTCAGCAAAGCTTTCAACTGTAAAGCACCAAAACACACCTGCGTTCTTTGGTAATATGTCACCGAAATTATGTTTCATATTTTTAAATCTTCTAGTTTTGAACTTTAAAAACAGGCAATAGTTTTAAAAACTTTTTACACATATCTAATTTAGTATTCATAATTTTTACTTAATCCAAGCACTTCTCCTAAAGACGAACGCTATTTACAATTATTAAAAAAATCACGATTGTATATTTAGCCATATGTGTTACAAAAACCTATACTAATACTTAAATTGCGTTTACAATACCCAGAAGTTGACTGCGTTTACATTGATCCGCTTAAATTCCACTAATGTTTTGTTGGAGTTTACACATAACGTCTCTTGCTGTCAAAATTCGTTAGTTGTTTGCAGTCTACTTGGAGTTTATTGGTTGTTTGTGAAAGATAGTGCCATTTTGTATTGGCATATTGCTATATGTTTCTAGCTATATGTCATAAGAAAATGATCTGTACAAATTACAGAGGAATCAGTCATTAAAAGCATTCCATAATACAAAGTGATCAGTTTTGACTATGAGCCACAATATGGGACGAAGTAATGAGAACTGGTATCTAAAGTGTAGCGAAATATATATATATGTTGTTCACCGGCTGTGAGGTCCGTACAGAAGAATGTTTTCACGAGGTCTCAAAAGCTGCCCAAGGTGGAAATTTATTTTCTATTTTTATTATGAATAAATTTGCATAGTGAAATGGCCAATGCAACATGATGTTGAGACTAAATTTAGATTGTTTTTTGCAAACTTACAAGCTTCAATTTGTTTTGATACTAAACTTCACTCTTGCTATGATAACTTTTATCAGAAAACACTTTGCTTTCTTGTTGAATAATTTACATCGCGTCCAAATCATATTTAAAAAGGGTGAAGGGAAAAGGAAAATACTTTTTGATTCGACAAATGAGTGTGTAAAGGACAATGAAAAAAATTTAAAGTAATTTATAAGGAAGGAATATCACGTGCTAGCCAACAAAATGTATTTTTAAACAAAGAAATGAAAAATTCACATTTAAATTTAATAAACCAATTATATTAGATGATCTTTTTTTAAACTCCATGTGGTTATTTTTTAGATTGATTTTTTATACAAACCAATTGTAAAATTTCGACATCCTTTTATGATGACTATTTGTGGACCATCACAATGTGAAAAAAAATATTTTATTAAAGAATTATTAAAATTTAATGATGAAATCTTTGATCCTTTTACAAAACTTTTTGACAAAATAAAATCTACTATTAATGAAGAAAAAAAATGCAGCCCTGCAAAATTAAAAATTTATCAATTATAAATTGCATATACCCTCTGTAACTGACATAAAACAAAAATTAGGGAAACAAACATTAACAATATTGGATGATTTGAAGATTAATGCAACGGACAATAAATACAACACAAAATGATTGGACGAAATTGCTAGACAAGGCTGTCATCATGAGGAGTTTTCTATCATATTCATTTGTCAAAATTTAAATCACGGAAAAAAAGTAAAGAACAGCTAGAACGAATAGTAAATACATTATTGTATTCAAAAATGTATAAGATGATAAACATCTAAAATCATTACTGTTTAATAAAGAATTATTAAAAAAATTTATGGAATGGTTAATAAATCATGTGAATGAGAATAATCATGGTTATATTGTTTTTAGCAATCATTTAAAAAGTATATGGCGAGATATGGCGAGAGATAGAGATATGGCGAGATATGGCGAGATATGGCGAGAGATATGGCGAGATATGGCGAGAGATAGAGATGTGTGGCGTGGAAAAATTCATGGACCGGTCAACCCCCCTGGCGGGGATTAATACTGGCCGGTATATAAATGTTGTTTGTTTGTTTGTTTGTTTGTTTGTTTGTTTGTTAAAAAGTAAATATAATGTAAGAATTAGAAAAGACATTTTTCCCAATGAATTGAAAACATAAATGATGTAAATATTTAATTTTATTTCTTAAATATACTTTTTATTAAATAAATACAATTCTTTTCTTTACGAATTAATGACTTATATAAATTGAGGGTAAATTTTTAAATTTGGTATAACACTTCTAACAAAAACAAGAAAATGCTAGCAACTTTTTTTAATGTAACAATCACATTCCATTTTTCAATGTTAGTGAGAATTTGATTAGTTTAAAAGCATAGTAAATAAAATAGAAAAAAAATTGTAGAGGTACCATTTATTAATGAAAAAAATGAAGAGATATACCTTGATGAAATTTTGTCATGAAAGTTTGGAAGCACTTTCTTGATAATTCATTGATTCCTGAACATCTAATCAATGGTGTTATACAAGTTACTGAAATTTGTATTTCATATAAAGAAGGTTTTGAGAAGAAGAAGAAAGAAAAAAAGTAAAATTTTGATGAAAACATCTTACTTAAAAGAAATGATTTTCACTTTTTTAAATGTAACAATTCCATTTCAGTTTTTCAATGTTTAGTGTGAATTTGATGTGTTTAAAGACATAGTAAACAAAATAGGAAAAGAAACTTTAGAAGTAACATTCTTTAATGAAAAGGACAAAGAGATATACATTAGTGAAAATTTTATCATGAAAGTTTGGAACCACTTTCTTAACTATTCATTTTTTCTGAAGTTCTATTCAAGAAAGAGTTATGAGTTTCTGACTTCGTGTTTCATATAAAGACTTTGAAGAAGAAAAAGAAAAAGAAAAGAGATGTCAGTGATAGTAAAACCTTACTTGCAAACATATGAAAAAGCAAATTTTACTGTGAATCTGAACGTATTTTTGAATATGAAAGACATGGTTGATCCTAAATTCAATGAATATACATACGATGAACTTGAATTTTTTCATTATGAAAAATATAATTAATTATATACTAATAAAGAATTTTTTAAAGAATTTTGGAAGTTATGTGTTACCTATGAATACATAACCAAAAATATTGATGAATATCCTGATAGAAAGTTTGCATATTATAGATAATTTATTACTTAAATATTTTTTTATAATAACATATTTGAGTATTTTTATTCTCATTCTTACATTTTCGTTCACAAACTTTTTTAATGCTTGGTAAAAAGATTTTAGATAAACTTAACAATTTTTTATCACTTTCTAAAGTCAATTTATTATTACTTACATTCAGAATGCTCATTTTTAAACATTTTTGTAAAACAAAAAAACGAAGGCAAAACACCACAAGTAGCTATATTAATATTATGATGACTTTCATAACAAAGTATTTCAAAATTTACTTCTTTATCATTTGCAAATTTTTTCCATCATTTATTTTTTATCGTAATGTTCTAAAATTACACTTCTAAATAAAATTTTTTATGATATGGATTTATTTCTTCATGTAAAATTATTTTGTCATTTAAAATATTTTTTAAATAAAAATCAAATTGTTTAATGTATTTTTATTTTTAACTAATTTTATTTTATTTTGTACTCTATTTTTTGTTTTGAAAATTCAACTAATTTGACAATTGCTTTTAAAACCTCTTTATGTATAATATTTTATTTCTCATCATTATCATCGTCATCATTACTATCATCAGTATCAAATTATTTTTCATTATCATTCAATTCGTCAAAGTTATTTTGAAAATCACAATATTCCCCCTTATATTTTTTCTTTAATTAAATTTTTTTATCTTTATTAATTTCTTCCATATTTTCTTCAATATTATCTTAATTTGCAATATCATATTTTCCTTTTTCATTTTCACTTTCTTTAAATAATACATCATCCATAATAGAAAATTACGGTTTATTACTGGATCAACGTATATAATTTGTTTTTGTAAGTGAAAATCAAGATCATTTACTTTTCTATTTTTTCCTTTTAATTTTTTTATTTAATTTTAATTTATATGATATTTTTGCTCTTTTCATGTTGAATACACAACAATAATGAAAAAATTAAAATCAATATACAAAATATATTTGTATTTTTTATTCATAATTCATTTGATTTCTAAATTCTCCAAAAAATATAAGCATATGTAATTGCTTTTTTTTAAATTAATATTAAATCTAAAATCACTCGTATTTTGATGTGATAAAACTTTGGTAAAACTATCTTGATGAGGAGATAAATCAAATGCAATAAATTTATTTTCAGCCTTAAATCGGTGAAAATCAAAATTCATTTTTTCATTTTTTTATTTAAAAATTTGTTTAAATTCAAATATGCTTCTTTTCATTCATAAGACTCGTGGGTTACAGCATGACTGGTACGTGCTCAACAATAAGTGAAACTTAATAATTTATATAAGCTACAATTTTTTGATATATACAATTAAATCTTGCTGCATCTTAAAAAATTATAAAACTCTTGATAGTAGACCACCTAAAAATACATCATAACAGTGAAATGCTTTGGATCCAGTGGGAAGGGTTTTTGTAACAACTTTCCTATTCATTACAAAATAAGGACACTCTGTATTTTCTTGTATCAGTTTTTTATGTATTTCCACACTCAGATGATCATTTGGCTTAAATATTCTAGTATTAATTTTCAAATTACTAAGAGAGATATTGTAATTTTGAGGATTATCAGCAGTTAAACCAATCAAATAATATTGTTTTTTTAAAGCAAACATGTTTTGGCATACTTTATGCCATCTTCAGTGCAAAGTGAATAAACATAGGAAGTTTACATTATATATTATATTTATAAAGCAAAAATATCGATTAGTTATGAATAATTTACAGTTGAATAAGGTCTTATAAAATGTTTGTGTTGGGTTTTATCAAAGGAGAAAAATACAGAGAAAATAAATAATACCTGATTAGGTAGTAATAGCTATTTACAGGTCAAAGATAGTGTTAATATGTTGTATTTGTTTGTTGAGGTTAGATTTACACTTCTTGATACAAAGGGCTTCTTTGAGTTTAAGAGCAAAAGGAGTGTGAGTGGTGTCTAAAGTGTGGAAACAGGATTGCGTGTAATTGTTTTCTCAGTGTGGCGACGAGAGTAAGTGTCTGAATATGTGTGAGTTTTTGTCCGTGGCTGTGTGTTCTTTAATCTGTGTCAAAAGATGGTGGGTGGTCTCCCCAATGTAACTTGAATTGCATCCAGCACAAGAAAATTCATAAACCACGTTGGATTTTAAAACAATGGGAATAAGTTGTTTGAAGCTAAAGTGATTTTTGATTTTGAAAGATGAAATAACTAGTCTGATGTCTAAGTCTGTGCAGTAGCGTTTTATTAGTTTGTGTAATTTTCGTTCTGTGATTTGTAAAATGTAGCCAATGTAGGGTAGTTTGAAGAAG